ACAAATAATTCGTGCTTGTTTACCGAGTCATCAGCACCCGATTGTTTACCGTTATGCGCATCTGCAGTAGCAATTTTCTTCAAGAAAATCGAAACTTGACAAAAGTGTATGGGAGTTTTCTCAAATTACATTTGATTAATTTGTTATAAGAAATAGCTAGCCCATAACCTACCTCACTAACCCTAAGGATTGTAAATGGGTGCCTAACCCTTATGATTGTAAAGGGATGTTTGATCGGCAAGTAGTGCCAACCCTAAGGATAGTGATTTTGTTTTATTTGTTTTTTGTTTAACGCCGCACTCAGCAATATTCCAGCTATATGACGGCAGTCTGTAAATAATCGAATCTGGACCAGACAATTCAGTGATTGACATGAGCATCGATCTACGCAATTGGGATACCATGACATGCATCAACCAAGTCAGTGAGCCTGACCACCCGATCCTGTTAATCGCCTCTTACGACAAGCATAGTCAGCATTTTTACAGCAAGCATGGGTTGCTGAAGACCTATTTTACCCTGTATCTTCACGGGTCCTAAGGATAGTGAAGGGATGTTTGATCGGAAAGGGGCACCTAACCCTAATGATTGTAAGGGTGTGCTTGATCGGAAAGGGGCACCTAACCCTAATGATTGTAAGGGTGTGCTTGATCAGAAAGGGGTACCTAACCCTAATGATTGTAAGGGTGTGCTTGATCAGAAAGGGGTACCTAACCCTAATGATTGTAAGGGTGTGCTTGATAAGAAAGGGGTACCTAACCCTAATGATTGTAAGGGTGTGCTTGATAAGAAAGGGGTACCTAACCCTAATGATTGTAAGGGTGTGCTTGATAAGAAAGGGGTACCTAACCCTAATGATTGTAAGGGTGTGCTTGATCAGAAAGGGGTACCTAACCCTAATGATTGTAAGGGTGTGCTTGATCAGAAAGGGATTCCAAGGGATAAGAATAGAGTTGGGGGTAAATTACCTTACACAACAAACCAGGGATCAAAGAGGCATGCAAGATCTGGGCCCACTTACACAAAGCGATCTTGGCGCTACGACTATTGTAAGCCTATGTTAAAGTATGGGAGTTACGATCGTCTATATGCTAAGATCGCTTTGTGCAAGTGGGCCCTGGTGAAGTGAGAGTCAGTCAGCAGCCTGAGCCAATTAGCGCTGTGGTAAGCTGCACCCGGTAAACTGCATTGTTGCCCTTTTGAGTAGTAGACTTGGATAATAGGAAGCAAGAGACCAAGTATGGTAATAAAACTCTCAAATATATGTATATATATACATACAGTTGAACTGCTGTTGTTAAGTTTCTACTAAATGTTGAATGACAAATATTTGTTGTCTAGTTCAGTGTAATGTAAACTAAATTTGTTTCCTCATATACTGAATGTACAGGCTGATATTTATTTTTAATGAATGTGTTCAATATTTTGTGCATAATTGAGATGGTCAGGTGTGACGCTACGCTGTTGCTATCATGGAGAATATTATTGGTTTATAAAGGTGCACATCCCTGAACTTCATGAACTCTTAATAGTCTTTACAATCTATTCCTTGTTCAACAATCATTTGGGCCAAATAGTTCAGCAAATAGTTCAGCAAATTTTTCATAAAATCCTCATAATTTGTTCGCTGATAATTAACTCTCATCCAGGTCATCATCATTTATATTTTCTGCTGCTTTTTGTGTTTGCATTTTTTGCTCAAGTATGTATTTAATTATGAAGATTTGTTGCAAATTTTACATGATCAGTTAGCAGAAAAGCTGAGACGCAAACATTGGTGCATATCCAGTTTCCGCTTCCCAGCAAATACACAAACTACACAAGGAGATAATACAGAACACTAGTATTGCTTACTTAACTGTGAATAATATCCATTGAATGCTGTTTCATGCAGACCTACTGGTTGATTTAAGCAGTGGCCATGGCTTTGCTCAGCTGTGTTTGATAGCTGTGTGGTCTAATATGTGGTTCTTACATTGTATCAATTGAATTCCTGTATCTAGATTTCTATGTTGCGACCTGTTTTTGTAACAAGATGCTCAATATGTCCAACCTTTCATTCCTTGCAATGTTACGTGTAATTTACTAAGTTGAAAATTTAAAATGTGTCATGTGACTAAAACAATGCTTCCTGCTTCTTTTATGTAGCATGGACATTTGGTGCAGAAGTTTGTATGTGTTAATTTGTGCTAGTTTCACACTGTTTGATAACACCCCAGCAATGCACGTCACTCCAACATATGATAATATCGGCTTGTGTATTTACTCCTATATTGATGCAATGCTTGCCATGTCAGGTACCCTCAATAAACTATATTCACAGAACAGATTTGCAGTGTTGTGATTATTTTAGTTTGTTTGTTAGTTGTTTAATGCCGCACTCAACAATATTCCAGCTATATGACGGTGGTCTGTAAACAATCAAGTCAGGACCAGACAATCAAGTGATTGACATCATGAGCATCGATCTTGCCAATTGGGATACAATGACATGCATCAACCAAGTCATCAAGGCTGTCCACCCGATCACATTAGTCATCTTTTACAAGCCCAGTCGCCTTTTACGACAAGCTTGGTTGCTGAAGATCTATTCTACCCAGAATCTCCATGGGTCGTGATTATTTTATGTCAGTTCTATAAACCTGTGGAAATGATGTTGAAAAGTTGAAATAAAGGACAAAAGTATGCAATAATAGTCAAATGTTACGAGATCATTATTTAAATATGAATAATGAACTCAAAATACAACACAATACCATCAACAACTCACAAACAAGACGTCATGTAAAGAAAGAACAATGTGTACTAAAGAAGTCTGTTCCCAAAAAGGGCACTAAACTGCTAAAGGACAATAAAGAATGTCAGATAGCGCTGCAAATTGTAAAACATTCTCAGTTGATACTAGCTCAGAATGTTTTAAAATAATTTTGAAATATATTCAACTTCAGGAATCCGGTAGAATCTACCTTATTGGTAATGCAAAGTAAAGTTGATAGAGTCTTGCCTCCAGGAAATGACAAGCATTCAGAATGCAGTAGTTTCGAATGTTTCTGTTTCAGGGGGTTACTCATTGTAGAGGTGGTGCGATGGACCAAATTGTGCATTTATGTTTTGTTTCATCTTCCGACATTTCGAAGAATTGCTGCTGTGGCTGATAAGAAAGGGAGATAATTAAACTGAACAAGGGAGATAACTCTCCAAACACTTCAGTAATAATTTTCTACTCAAGTTGTCATCATACTCAACTTGTAATTGGATACTCAGGTAAAATGACCTCTTGGAGACCTCCACAAACCTATACATGACCGGGAAACTCTACATCCATGAAAATTCAAGGTTCAAATTGGACATCAAATATGCCTGTATTAAGGTGTATGCTGCTTGTCTGTCCATGTACTTGCATACAAGACTGATGTTCCTTATGTGGTAGTAACAACACTCTAACATAATAAACCTACATGGGCATCTTGGCTTAAAGAAGAATCAAAAAGGTTTCTGGCTTCAGAGGTTAGCTGGATGACACAGTCCCCATTTGTTAAGATTTGAAGCTTAAGCCTGGATCTGACCTTTCTTTAAGCAAACATTGGAACCGTTGAGTTTGAGAAAGTTTGTTCCCATCCATTTCATAGACGCAATAACATGAAATGAATACTCAATGGTTGAGAGGTTAAAAATGTCATTTGTATATGAGGCGAGGTGAAATTGGGTTTCACGTCACGTCCGAGATTATTGCACTTATATAGCTACGTGCATGCACGTGTGTGGCTGCTTTATGATGCTGATTTATAGTGCTAGCACACCGAGATAACATGCCACAGTTTAACGTGAATACCCCACTCAGACACAGTATACTGACCAGTCCTTGTTTTAGCCCTTAATGCTGAGCTCCAGACAGGGTAACAACAAGTACCATCTTTTAGCATCTTTTGGTATGACGCAGCCAGGGATTGAACCCCAGACCTTCCACTCTCCGGGCAGACGCTCTACCACTAGACCACGGAGGCGGTCCATTTGTATATGAATGGAAACAGATTATGATATATCACCTTGTGTGTAGGGCATACAACCTCGAGCTGATCCTTGTGGAAACTCAGACAAGTTCAACCAAAAGTTAGGAACCATTGTACCCAGCCAATCCACATTTTCATGTTAAAAAACCACACACCCAAAGCAATGTTTACTTTGGGCCTAGTCTGCAACAGTACCTTCCAGAGTACACAGTGACAGACAACTCTGTCCATGTGTATGACATCAGCACAAACTCAAGTCAGGTGCAGCAAGCCAGCAGCAACTACAGAAGCAACAAAGACTGTCTTCCCGAGGCAAGCGTGTCCACTAGCCTATATCAAAGCCTAGTTTCTACCCTTGCCTCATCAAGGCCACTTTTTCTGGCTTGACCCTGGCACCGCCTCGCGTAGATCACGAGTTGTGCCACTTGTAATGAAAATGTGATATTCAATGATAACACTGTTGTTATCTGGTATAGCTTCACAAAAGATGGCAACTAACATAGGCGACGTCCAATGGGTGAGCGAGTATGGTTTTACGCCACTTTTAGCAATATTCCAGCAATATCACGGCGGGGGACACCAGAAATGGGCTTCACGCATTGTACCCATGTCGGGAATCGAACCTGGGTCTTCGGTGTGACAAGCGAACGCTTTAACCACGACGTCCAAATCGATCAGACCACGAAAGCATTCGCGATTTCATCCCTGACACAAAAACATCGACAATCTTTAGGGGGTGGGGGTGTTTGGTTTAAAAGATGAAAAAGCCATATTCTAGCATTAAATCACTTTCATACAAAGGTGTACCAGTCGTGGATGTTGATTTTGTGAAACATTCTCTGACTGGACTATCGGTATATGCGATAGTCCAATCATATTAAGCACAGGAAAGGGGGCTTGATGTGGCAAGGGTGGAAACATGACTTTGATAAAAAGGCTAGTGGACGCTCTTGCCTCGGGAAGATGAATAAAGACAACAAAACACAGCAATGACGTATCAATAGTTTACTTGATAAAATTCACTTCAGAATCTTCAACACTTTAATAACAAGGATTCACTAAACAGTTTAGTAAATAAAATTAAAAGTATCCATATTCTGATGGTGTTTATCATCCCTAACAAAGAAAATGGGCTCATCAAATCTATTAAATTCCTGTTGATAAACCAGTAGTTTATGTCTACTGAAATATCAGCCATTGCTTAGAAGATCCTTTCTAGGTTTCCATTGACAGTGATGCTGTTGAATCTGTATCGACTATTGATTCAAGAGACATCAAACCAGTACGGAAAACAATTTAAAAAGTATGGGTCCCTCAATACATGTGAAAATATACAGAAACAAGACTTGATGATGGCTTGTACATTACACATAAATGCCACATATGAAAATGGTAATGTATGCCGACATGAATGGGAAGTTACACACAGGTCTATTAAAGGATAGGTGCAATATCCTAGTTCCAGGTAGCTTTATGTCTTAATTTGAGTTTTCATTTAACACATGGTCACAAGCCAAAATATTGCATTGTTTACCAGTAAACCATAGAAAACAATGCAAATCTGTGCACCAGTTGATAAACCTCTGTGAACATCTGTCATACCATTACCCATCTGACCATGTCATGTCAACATCACTGACCATGTCATGTCAACATCACTGTCCACAACAAAGACATGTCACACAAGAGCGGTTCATCTCTTCAAACACGAGCTTTCCCAAATATCTGCCTCCAAAGTTTCTCTTCAAACACGAGCATTCCCAAATATATGCCTCCAAATCAATCATATCCAACATCAAATTAAAATATTTATCTGTTGTTAAATCCCCCACCTCTTCCTCCCCTAAATCCACCCCCACCCCGACCCCTAAAGCCACCACCCCCTCTGAAGCCCCCACCCCCACGTCCTCCCCCGCCTCGTCCTCCGAAGCCTCGACCACCACGAAAACCTCCACCTCGACCACCTGTAACAGATAAATACATCAACTGAATTTAAATATATATTTATGGAACATCAAATAACTAATGCTTCTTCCTGTGTCTAAATAACCATATGCACAAGGCTATTTTCTCAAGTACAAACTAGTTATTAACTCCTGTTTTTTTCTCCACTGGTCTCTATTCACAGTACAAACTATTTCTAAGATAGTAATTTCTCAAATTTAGATGATGTAATTTAAATTAAAAATAGTAGGCGGTTTGTGTGTATTCATCCGCACTAGACACACTTGTTAACTATCCACACTGAATACACATTTTACTTCAGTAAATTACTCACCATCTTTACAGTTTTAAACAAAGGTATAATTAACAGTATTTAAACAAATGTGTTAACCACATATGTACGAGAAAAAATGATAATTTCCATATGTTATCACTTAGAATGCTCATTTGTTTAGCATATTGATCCACTGACGTGATGAAGCGAAATACAGTGATGCCAAAGTTTAAAGATTATTGTGGCACTTATCTCATTTACTTATATATGCAAACATTACAGCAGCAAACATCAAGGACCCCCCATTGAGTTTCAACACTGCACTTGATTTCCAAAATGCTAGGCTGCACTACTTCTATGGTATTGATAACCGACACATAACACTACAAGCTTCAAACCAGTACAATTTCCTAGAGATCACACTAAGCCTAACACTAAGAGACATCACTCCTCTTACATACCTCGCCCTCCTCTACCCCTAGAGATCACACACAAAGCCTAACACTAAGAGACATCACTCCTCTTACATACCTCGCCCTCCTCTACCCCTAGAGATCACACACAAAGCCTAACACTAAGAGACATCACTCCTCTTACATACCTCGCCCTCCTCTACCCCCAGAGATCACACACAAAGCCTAACACTAAGAGACATCACTCCTCTTACATACCTCGCCCTCCTCTACCCCTAGAGATCACACACAAAGCCTAACACTAAGAGACATCACTCCTCTCACATACCTCGCCCTCCTCTACCCCCAGAGATCACACACAAAGCCTAACACTAAGAGACATAACTCCTCTCACATACCTCGCCCTCCTCTACCCCCACGGTCTTTCCCCGCCCCTCTCTGCCCTGCTGCCCGGGGCAGGAAGCGCTGGAGAGGAAGCAATTTGGCTGGATCTATGAACATCTGAAATTAAAAAAATATACGCTAAAATAATTCGGGAAATAAGGATATGATTTTCATTTGCTGAGTATCTACTCGGTGAGAAGGGTTTTACTGTGTAGTTATTGAGAACGAAGAAGTTCAAGAATGGGTGCAACAAATTATTCCCACTTGGAGAATCAAACTGATGGCTTACATGCAATGAACAGAAACATGAACACGATAAACACAATTTCAATTTTATAGAAATTATTGAAGTTCCTCCCGATGTGGTGATGCACTATTTTTCAGTATCATTTAAAATGAAAACAAACATAATTCCTTTTTGTTTGCCTCAATCAACCAGAAAAGCTTACCTTAGTTGCTTTTGAAAATGAGCTTGCCTTCATATCAGGGGACAGTTTGACAGAAAAATACTGACAAAAGTTAAGGATGGAACTAAACAGCCAGTGCCAAAAATATACAAGTCAATAACATTTGCAACAGATTAATACAGATTATAAAACCTGTGTTTATTAGTCAGAATTGGATAAATCTTGCACTTCCTTGAAATATATTAATATTCATCTGAAATAATCCAGAAACCACATCAATTTGATCATAAGCTTTATGAACAGGATCTACCCTCCCTTAATACAGCAGAATTCAACTGGATCTTCCTTTGCAAGAGAATTGTTCTTGTCATAATTTGGTACTGTGTTTTGTTTTTGTTTAACTCCGCACTAAGCAACAGTCCAGTTATATGGCTGTGGTCTGTAAATAATCAAAGTCCGGACCAGAAAATCCAGTGATTGATATCATGAGCATGGATCTACACAAATGTGATATGATGACATGCATCAACCAAGTCAACAAGCCTGACCACCTGATCATGTTGGTTGCCTTTAACGACAAGCATAGTAGCCTTACGACAAGCATGGGTTGCCGAGGACCTGCATCATCACAGGGGGCCATCAAGGAAAGAGGATATGCCTCGTGGAATAGGCTTGTTTGTTTGATGTGTAATGCCACTCTTAGCAATTTTCCAGCTATATGCCAGCGGTCTGTAAATAGAGGAGTCTGGACCAGACAATCCGGTGATTGACATCATGAGCATCGATCCACGCAATTGGGATCGATGAGTGGAATAGGTCATGGAATGTCAACACAAGATTAAAAGCTATCATTCTATATTAGAAAAATGCTCTGCAAATCCAATATACACCCTAAACATGCTAAATAATATGACTAACATGACTCACTGTAAATCTGTACCTCTCCAATGGCAGACATTTTTACCACATCCATCTTGTATCCAAGCAAACACACATGGATGCCCAGGCTAATTTCTACTGCAGACACTTCAAAACTAACATCCTTATCTTTATACCATCAACATTCAAAAGGATACAAAGTCCTTAATGGAACCAAATATTTCATCAACTTTTCCAACTTGTTGCTTATTTTCCAAGTAGATTGGAGCGTTGAAGTAGGGGATCTTCTCATTGGTTGCCCTGCACACAAGATCATCTTCACAGGGGTGGGTGAACAGACCCATTTCTGAAACACACACATAATTATGGAATCAAGTCCCTCCTTCACAGAGGACATCAGGTCATTGTAAAATTGTGAAGAAATCATCAGCCACCTTACCAAGGTGTGGCATCCCTAATTACCCAGTTATTTTATCACCGTTCTATAACTACCCTGGATTTCAGCCAGATTTGGATGTCATGATGCCACAATAGCTGTCCAATCAAATGACTCTTAGGAGAACTTCTGTGCGACAGGAGAAAAGAAATCATTTCCAAAACTAAGCTGTGGTGGCCAATTTGTACATTTTGTTTGTTTGTTGTTTAACGCTGCACTCAGCAATATTCCAGTTATATCTGTAAGTAATCGAGTCTGGACCAGACAATCCAGTGATTGACATCATGAGCATTGATCCACACAATTGGGATACGATGACATGCATCAACCAAGTCAGCGAGCCTGACCACCTGATCCCCGTTAGTCGCCTCTTATGACAAGCACAGTCACCTTTTACGGCAAGCATGGGTTGCTGAAGACCTATTCTACCCCAGATCTTCATGGGTCCAATTTGTAAAGGGGATTTATCATCATAGAAAGGTGATACAATACACTGGATATCAAGGCGTGTCAGAGTGTTTGCTGCAACTTGTTGAACACCACACTCTGCAATATTCCAGTTATACAACGGTGGCCTGTAAGTATGTGAGCCTAGAAAAGACAATCCAGTGATCGATATTATGAGCAATGATCCCAGCCGTCTGGGTATGACAGGCATAAAAACCAAGTCTCCGAGACTGATCACCTGATCCATTAAGCAGTCTCTCCTAACCAGCATAGGTCGCTAAGGACCAATTCTAACTCACAATGCCCACAGGGATACTCAATTTGTAACAGTTGTATGTAATGTAACTGGATGTTTTTAGGAACAAGCACATACCACAGACCTTCCAGATTTTCACTGGTCTCTGAACCAGTAGACCAGTGGCTATGTAGCCCTAGGCAAATTTAACATTTGGTTGCATGACTTGCTTTGTCAAACTGGGTTCTTTTTTTTTTCCAATGTCAGGACAGCTTCCAGTGGACAATACATATAATCATTTGAGACTAACTGATAATCAACTTACCCATGACCTCTTCAGGAGGGCCATAATCTTGCCAGCCCCCACCCCCACCACCACGTCCACCTCGACCTAAAAACAAAAAGATGTGATCAACATTCTGCAGACATGGTGTTTGTTAAGAACAGGCACACCTTACTCCATAACTAACTGGGGACTTCTCCTTTCCCTATAAGCAATGAAATAACAATTTCTATACCCAAATACTTGCAAGTACAGTCGGCTTGACAGAGCACTTACTTAGGATCTATTTGACAGTCTTACCTCCTCTACCCCTGAAGCCTCCCCCGCCTCCTCTTCCTCGAAAGCCTCCTCCTCTGTCGCCACCACCACGGTAGCCACCTCCTCCCCCTCCACCACGGAAACCTCCTCCTCGACCTCCCCCTCTTCCACCACCAGGAAAGCCCATATTTCACAGATGACCTGAAAACAAATTGAAAAGTTGTCAGCACGAAGTAAACAGTTTCATGTGGATCAGTGGATGATTCTGTGTTTGTTTAACTTTCATTTAAAAGTTTGTAATTGTGAGACAATGAATAAAGAGAGTTTATCGATGTCAACTTCTTTTTTATGAGGAACACAATGTTTTGGAATATCAGGTGAGGGAGTAAGTAGATACTCCAAAAGTTGTGTTCCTCATAATAAAGAAGTTAGAATCCATAATTTCTATTTACAATCTGCAAACATGGCAAACGGAAGAATTGTTTCATAGGCATTACTTAGAAGTTGACGGAAGACAAAGTAGACATAATTTATGGACTTCATTATATATAGAGCGGTATAGTTGATATCCATAAATTGTGTCTAATTTGGCAACAAAACGAAGAGAAACATCATAAAAAACAAGCATAGCAATACCCACTCAACACCGCTAAGGTCTAAAAAATTTCATCTCAATTCTCATGAAACGCCATGGCGCAAAAAAACACAAAAGGAATAGTATTTTTAGGTTGCGATTATAGCATCTGTTCGCCACCCAAAGGAGAAGAGAACAATTTCCAAAGTGCGGCTCCGAAGAGGTAAAATGATCAATCGGTCCTGTGCTAGGAGATCAAGAAAACATAATACGGTGCATATTTCTGACAACAGTCCAATAATTGTTGGTCCTTACTAAAGAACGAAAACCTACAATATGTATGACTAAATACCAAAGACGATGCGAGTTGTTGGTGCTTTAATAACCATACTCACGATAAACTTGTTTTGTTTTCGCACGTGGTTCAAGCTTAAATCGTGCGCATGTCTAGTCCGGATAACAATAAGTCGTAAAAAAACCCAAATTATACAACAGAACCAGTTAACTATAATTAGATACCAAAACCTCGTTCAAGTGGAAATTAAAGTGTTTTGATGCACATTTTACTGAACATGACCCACAATAAAATGTGTATTAAGCACTAACAATTGAGCGACACACCGGAAGCCGGTTCATTATAACCGGCGTTTACCCAACGTCCAAGTTGGGATGAAATACAACTGTCTTTGAAAAAAGAAATTCTTGGTCTTACCCATATTGTAGACAGGGCTTGGAAGATAAAAATGCCTAGAGATAGCAGGTAGGTGATTTGATATTGTTGATAACTTGAATGGAAAGCATTCGATCGGCAATGTTTTGTCAAAAACGAGCACCTGCTTCGTGTCCCATAAATTCGGGATATTTTAAAGTATTGTTTCCTGATTGTGTTCCCTTTAATTCAATTGTATGTTGTTTTATTCTTGCCTGCTGTGAAATTCCTCCAACAGGCACAAAATCTCCAAATTAGGGAATGACAAGACCTGTTAATCCGCTAAAAAACAAAAAACATACTTTTTTGTACACGTCAACCAAGTCATTGATTAATTTACCAATATAGGTTTACTGTCTAAATGTGACAAATTGTTTGTTAGGTAAATCATGTAGATACAATCAGAAATATTGATAGGTTTTTCTAGGTTTACTAAAAATATTACTTACATCCGAAAGATGTTTTAAAGAAATTGTACAATGTTTATATCCATTTAAGTAGTTAATTACCCTCGCGTAACCTTGATTCGTGGATATAAGGAAAGTTCACCATGTTCAAGCAAATTCTTGGTTTAAATGTCCGATTTTGTTTTGTATACTCACTTATCATTTAATTCATCTATCAAACTATAAGAAAATGACGAAGATTCCACTCGTGACTGAAAAGTTTGTTTACCAAAGCCATTTGCATTCATCAGCCATTCATGTGCCCACAGAATTTGACGTCACCTTGATTCGTGGATTACGTAGTAGATTATTGTATCGCTATGTACGAAAGCCCAGTACCGTTACAGTGTAATATTTTTTTTATGAATTCGAATCAATACCTACCAGCATTTCTGTGTCGGCTGATAACAGTTGAAGAGCATAGTTATTCCACACACAACTCCAAAATGAATCTTGTCAATAAAGTTATGTACACTATTTACAGGTAGGTTTGTGTCCTAGCTCTTTCAATCCCTACTCTTCCGATGGTTTGCATGGCAGACCATGGCAAGAGCAATAAAACATGTCATGAGTCCGAAGCACGCGCACTGGACAACAATACTGTAAGTGCACCCAGTGGTTACAGTCATGATACATGCACTGCCCCCACTGTACAAAAAACAGTGATGTGCATCGGGCCAGTTCAGCGGGCTGAAAGTGATGACACACGCAACATGTTTCGTCATCGGATATTGGCGAATCCTCACTGTCACTGCTGTATAGTAGATGAATCGCACCGGATGGTCCCGCTGCTGGCTTGGTGGTACTTTTATGTTTCTTTTGAGATTGTTCAGCTGATGTATGTGACTTTGCTTGTCGTTTCTTGGTTGGTACTGGCTGTTTAGAAGTTGAACTCTTAACATAGTTTTTGACTTGAATTTCCATCTCTGGTTCAGTTATGGCTTTGCCGCTAACAATCTTGTGGATAGATCTGCGTGGTTTTCTTTGCTTCTTCTGAATGACGGGAAGCTGGTCAACAAAGAATTGGGTTTGGTCAAAGTTAGTGACGAGAATTTCCTTCTCAACGTTTGGGTTGGAATGCGGGCTGTGTACGTCATCAGTAGCTGGTACTTGCTACGACTTGTCTTCATCGTGTGATGCGGTGATAAAAGCAGCTGGTTGGAATGCAGATTTATCAATCATATCTGTTGAAAAGAGACTTTCTGAATGCCGACTGCAAGTGACCAGGCGTTAAAACAGCAGAATATGCCCTGCAGGCTATGGAGGCGATGTTATATCTGTTGACTGTGGTACCATCAGACTTCAACAGTTTGTGACATTCGGAATTGTAAATCTTTGTAAACGGGCCAAAACATCCCACGTCCATTGGCTGCAAAATATGACTTGTGTGAGCCGGGAGGACAAACAACACAATATTGTGATCTTTTGCCCAGTCTATCAGAGATGGAGAAATGTGCGATTTGTGGCCATCGTACAGAAGAAGCAAAGGTCTATTCGGCGTTGCCGGAGATGCATATCGAAGGAAATGCCTGTCCAAGTTATCTTGGAATATAACACCATTTGACCATCCCCATTCAGAAACAGTTCTGTGACTTCCCGCTGTACAGCCTTCAAGTAATTCACTGCGCATTCTAGCACCCGCAAATACAAAGAAAGGTGGAATAAATGTGCCCACATCCCAAAAGTGTGACGACAGACGATCTCTCTGAAGAAATCTCATAGGCCACGGACTTTCTTGAGCCAACAATTTTCGGTGTGACATGGGACTGGTTGATTCCTTTCTCATCTACGTTATAAATTGCTTCTGGTCTTGATTGGAAACCGTATTTGTCCATAATCATGGCAAGTTCATCAAAATATCTGTTGATGCATTCCTCTGAACTAGCTTTGGCACGAAGTTCCGTGAGAGACTTGGCACTTCTAACTTTCAACTCTGGCCATCGCTCCAACAGACCATATAGCCACTTGACAGATAATGGATGGGGCAGGTCACGTTTTCCTAACTGACAAGCAAAGTTAGACCCTAATTGGATAACCTCTTTCCTGGTATATCCGTATCCGATGGATGCCATGTATGTTACATGGTCAACAAGTCTAGTTTCTTGCTCTGCATCAAAAATTGGAGTCGCACCTGACTTGACAGTGTCAACATCAATCTTGCCTTTTATCCTGTCTCTCAGTGTTTAGTCGGGTACAGAGAAGTTTAATGCCGCTTTATGAACTGCAACTTTATTGTTTTTGACTTCTAAGTAAGCATTAGTCAAAGCTGTAAGCGAATAACTTTTGTATCCCTGTCGTGAAGGCGTCGGTGAACCCTATGAACATGATGAATATGAAAAAAAGCTATACGAGATGGCCCAAAAATGTTTCCATAGATTTATAATTTTAACAGACAGCAGCACCTCAAGTCACATGACTTATGTTTATTGAGATCTAGACAAGCAGACGACAAGAGATGAGAAGGGTGGTGCTTACGGTATATATTTTATTTGATGTTTTGTAAATATGAAATTTTGTATTAGTGATCTAGGGCTATTTATCTCAGTGTTGGACATTTGGTTTTTCTGTACTTACGTGTAATGCAGCAATTCGGAACATTTTTGTCAGCAAGGCGTGGCAGTGTGTGTACATCAAAAGTACCGCTGTGTGATGTCATAACAGTATTAACCCGGAGCTGTAGTGGTGCCTTTTGCTATTGTGGGGGATGGGGGATTTGTTAACTTCTGATGACTCTTGTTTTATGAGTTAGGCCAAAGACAAATTGTGAGTAGTGCACTTTTTCTAAGATCAGTTAGCGCCGCGTGGAGGATCAAACTCACATTGCCAGTCTGAAGCTAAGTTATGCTAACCTGATCAGCCCAAACTTTACCATGGGACCACAGGAACTATCCCAAATGATTAGAGCTTGTTTACCAAACAGAGCTTAAAGGGGTGTTTCATTGGCCATGTTGGCACATGGTGCTGAACCCTAAGGATTGTAAAGGGGTGTTTGATTGAAAGGGGTACGTAATCCTCATGATTGTAAATGGGTGCCTGATCGGAAAGGGGATCCTTGGGCTAAGGATAGTGTTGGGGGTAACCTACCCTAACCCTACTAACCCTAAGGATCAAAGAGGCACAGCCAGCAGATTAAGCAAATTAATGCTATAAAAGCTGGGCAAACTGAATTGTTGCTGAAAAGAAATGTGTGTTTCCAGTTTCCTGTTCCAACAGGAAGCCTCCAACCTGGATATTATTTTCTCTAGTTGCACCACTGATTTCATCACTGATTCAGTATTGTCCACATTTTATACCACAGGCATACACTTGTTGCACTTCACTGTGGATGAGCCAGTCTTGTCTTCATTTGGAAGCAGGTTTCTACTGCTACACTGCAAATTACCTTTTTCCAAGGACAAATACAAACCTGACCTGCCTACCCTATTTATGTATGGTCTGACACAGGAGAAAAACATAATTTTGTGTGTCTTAGAATCATGCATGATTAATGTGTTTGGCCATTTTTAGTAAGGTGAAAACCTTACAAGCTGGAGTTTTATCTTTCATAACAGACAGGAAGTGTAACATGTTGTACCATTTGATATGGACTGATATCAACAATGATCAAGTGCATCGTGGATCAAAATTTATGTTTTTCTTCCTTCCACCAGATCCTATAGACGGAGGTCCCGATCGAGGAGTTTATCCCGTGAGCGCAGCAGAAGAAAAAGAAGTAGGTCCCGCACCCCTATACGGTCTAGGGAAAGGGAGCGATTAAGACGCTCACGATCGCGAGACAGAGAACGTAAGAGATCAAGAAGCAGGTCGAGGGATCGTGACACAAAGAGAGACAGGAGAAAACGATCCCGTTCAAAAGAAAAGGATAGGAAGTAAGTCTTTTTTGATATGATGGTCATTGATTTGATCAGAGGTATTCATAAAATTAAAGGGACGGTGGGGTAGCCTAATGGGTAAAGTTTTTGCTTGTTATGCAAAAACCCTGGTTCGATTCCCCATATGGGTACAATGTGTAAGGCCCATGATGGTGCCCTCCTCTGTGATATTGCAGGAATATTGCTCAGAGTGATGTAAAACCATACTCATTGGATTAAAACTTGATTTTCTTGTCTCTCCCCTGATTAGTCTACTCATCCAAATTTTGACTGATCAAGAAGTTACCTGAAAATGTAGCCACTGAGAAATGCCCAAAAGGTGGAAGACCTAAATTAACTTAAATATGTCACAATGGAATTCCCATCAACATCATAAATTCCTCTTTGCACCTGACACCACCTACTGCAATATCTTGATTGAATCAATGCACAGACTTATGGGTAGATACAGTGAAAATTCCGGGTTAGAGTTTGTCTTCAGCAACCCATGCTTGTCTTTAGAGGCGACTAACGGGATCGGGTGGTCAGACTCACTTACTTGGTTGGTGCATGTCATCGTATCCCAAGTGCATAGATCTATGCGCATGATGTCAATCACTGGATTGTCTGGTCCAGACTTGATTATTTACAGACCGCCGTCACATAGCCAGAATATTGCTGAGTGCGGCGTTAAACAACAAACAAAGAAAAAAGGCAGGAAAGCCAGTGATGTTAAAAATAGTACAATAATGTAAACCCTATGCAGGGATTAGGCAGCGCTTGGAGTAAGACATGATGGCTACCTTTAACATTGGGCAGCTTATTTCAGGCAGGGGTTGGTATTTGGCCCTGTGTTTTGCAAATATCTGAATAATTACAAAAAAAACACCATTTATTGGTGCATCAACATGTTGATAATTAGTTTACATGTTTCACATAGACGAGAGAAGAAGTCAAAATCCAGATCCCCTGAGAAGAAAGTAAAGAGCCCGTCTCCTAGTGCTGAAAAGGTTCTCCACAGAGAAGGAGAATTAAGGGTTAAAGATGAACCACTCAACAAGGTAAAAACAGATTTACTGGGTGGACCAGTCGTCTCAGGCGTCGCAATTTGCTGTGCCGAGTTGCATCCCTTGGACACGCCAGAAAACTATGATTGTGGGTTCGAATCCTGGTTTGCCCTGATTATGTTTCTAGGTTTGTCAGCACCATACCTATGCTCATGGGTTCCACCGAAGTGGTAAACGTCTGAGACCTGCATCACTTCGGGCTTTCCTCCAACATTAAGCTGACACGCCGTGATATAACTGGAATAATGTTAAAAGCGGCGTTAAACCCAACTCAACTCACTCACTCTGCCATGAAAACCTTAAAATGATCCCTGTTTTCATGAGATCTAAGGCTCTCTTGTGTCTCTTATGTGCCAGGATGTGCTGATCATGGGTTGGAATCCAATCTTTGCCTGAAACAGGAACATGTAACACATGTGGTGTCTCCTTGGACAAGTGGCTTTGTTTGAAACGTGCCTCTGTTCACCCAGCAGTGAATGGATACCCGGTAGGATGGCAGTGTGGTTGTTATCCTTCTAGCGCCTAACAGGCAGCTTGGGTTGCATACTCCCCAGGGAGCTGAGAATAATTGTTGAGTGCATACTGATCCAGTGACTGGGGTAATAATAGCCCTTTGAGTATGCCCCTGAGTGGTGTGGAAATATGCGCAATATTAATAGCCCATTATTACTATTATTGTTGTTGTTGTGTTGTTGTTGTTATTGTTGTTGTTGTTATTATATCCGCTCATGAGTTCACCAAAGTTACCTGCTTGACTTTGTTGTTTTTTCAGGTCAGATGAGATTATATTTTCTTCATTTGTGAAGAAATGTAAACAATAAGATTGATTATATGATCCTAGCTATAACCTATATCAGAGTATACTGTCATGTCCGGTTGACTGCACATGGACGGAAACAGTGACATATAACACAGCTCACAATAAACAATGTAATAGAACACTTGACTGGTATCCTCTCCAAACCTATATGTCGAAACTTCTACAGCGTATGACAACAAAACTAAATGGTCCTGTGTACTGCTAATCCCCTGCTGTTAACCTGGTATCTTTATGTTGGATTGGTCTGTTTATGTCCCAAAACTTCTACATGCGGGGGGGTAGCCTAGTGGTTAAAGCATTCACTCGTCATGCCGAAGACCAGGGTTTGATTCTCCACATGGGTAGGATGTGTGAATTTGGGAATTTCTTTCAAAATTTGCTGCAGACTCTGAACCTGCTCAGAATATCAGCCTCTGAGTGGGTCTCAATAAATCCCTGACAGTATTTAGTTACCTTGAATATAAGTGCATGTCATATTTCTAGGAAGAGGAGCAGAAGCGCCTTGAGGTGGAGATGCAGAAGCGACGAGAACGTATCGAGAAATGGCGAGCAGAGCGCAAAAAGAAACAGGAACTGTTGCCCATTAACATCACTCCCCCCATGAAGAAGTGGACGCTGGAGGACGATGATGAAGATGAAGATGAAGTTGTGCAGGAGAATGATAAGGATGATGAAAATGAAGTTGACCCACTTGATGCCTTCATGCAGGTAGGGTGAACCGTACCAACTTTAGACCTGTAGTAAAGACATATTCACTGGTACAGTTCTGCTCTATTTTCTACAGAGATTAGTTTACAAATATACTACATACTGTGTAAGAAATATGAAAATAGGCTTTCTTCACTTCCAATAACTATATAAATGAAGTGTGAATTAATTGTTCAATCAGTAAATGTTTGCACGTTGAAGCAGGCAGCCATCCATTCCTGGTCTAGTCTTTCCTTTTTTAAATTACACATGGCAAACCCCCTGAAATAACCATTCCCTTACACTTCTTAAGAAAAAATGTAAGGTGTCTACCATTTAAAAATGTGACTGTTTAATATGTAAACTATAAAGTTTATATATTTATTCTATGTAAGAAAAGGATGTTTACTTGTTGGATGTTTGGGAAATGTGTTGGTCAACATGGACAAAATGAGTAAAATGTAAACATGGTAAAGATTGACATTCAGGCTTTTTATAAAACATGCTGTATCATTGTTAGTTTCTCAGGCATGGCTACCTTGACAGGAATGGAACTTTATGTTTACATCTTTCTTCACAAATTCTACCACAGTTGGCATGTGTGTTCAAAGGTCAAGGACATTTCTTTGAGGATATTGTAAAACGATATTGCATCATTCATTGCCAGTTACTGCGTCACTATTAATTGTACTGAGACTTCAGTAATTGTGGGATCTTCAGAAACATTGTTTTGTTTGTTTGTTGTTTAACACCGCACTCAGCAATACTCCTGCTATATGACGTCAGTCTGTAAATAATCGAGTCTGGACCAGACAATTCAGTGATTGACATCATGAGCCTCAATCTACGTATTTGGGATACAATGACGTGCTTCAGCGAAGTCAGCTAGCTTGACCACTCTGATCCTGTTAATTACATCTTATGGCAAGCATGAAAAATGTCTTGGTTAAGGTCAAGGTCTGGCAGTAATGTTTTCAGACTGGAAGAACATGTTATGTTGAAATATTGGAAGCTTTTACAAACACATCTGGTTAACATGGTTAATATTTTAAGTAACCCCCAAAATAAATTCCTGTTTTGGTTTCAGGCAGTGACGGATGAGGTCAAGTGTGCCCGTGACAAGGACAAGACACATGACAAGAGTGACAACCAGGTGAGGTGATACAGCAGTGGGAATGTACACATGTCCAAGCATAGGGAGACTTCCAGCTGAAGAATGAATGTACCTACGTAGGGGAGAATACTCAGCTAGTCAGGATCTGTATTACCCAAAAAGCTGGTGTGACTGGTCACTGCATAGGGGAGGAAGTTCTGATAGTTTATGGGGATCTTTATTACTCAATGGCATTGCTAATGTTAACAGTATAGGGGAGGTAAGTCTGAAGGCTGATTTTGATCTGTATTATTCAGAAAGTTGCTAATGTTAACTGCATAGGGGAGGTAACACTGAAGGCCAATTGGAATCTGTATTACTCAGAAAGGGGTTAATGGTAACAACCTAGGGGAGGTAACTCTGAAGGCCAATTGGAATCTGTATACAGAAAAGGGCTGATGGTAACAGCCTATGGGAGGTAACTGTGAAGTCTAATTTGGATCTGTATTATTCAGAAAGGTGCTAATGGTAACAGCGCCCCAGCAGCAGCTGTGAGTGGCAAGGTGACGTTCATCACAGCGGTGGCCAAGAAGAAGGACGACACCAGCAAGGAGAAGGGGGAAGTGATGGAGAGTAACATTGATGCCATGGAGGTAATGGAAGACTTCACTGTTTTTTCTTGTGTATCATGTGCACATTTTTCAGAAAGTACTGCTGTATAGAGTGGTGTGTAATAAATGCAGACAATGACATTTGCAATTTTGTTCAGTGTATTTCTGGCTTATATCTTTTTCAATAATTTATTTAAGATTTTTATACCAAGTTATACCAAGGAATTCCATCCGTCCGACCTTCCAGCCTTCCATCCATGAATCCTTCCAAAGACATTTTTCTGTGCAACCTATAACTTGAAAACTACTGCATAGATTATTTTCAAACTTGGTGAACACTTTCTATTCCAACAGGAGGGGTGCAGTGCGAAGTTTGATTCAATATTTGGATTTTGTGTTGATTTCTGATTGATGCAATATTTGATTCTTGCAGTATTCATCAGAAGAAGAAGAGGAAGATCTGGACACAACCATGTCCAACATGGCCAGGAAGAGAAAGGTAAGGCTGATCATTCTTATCCACATACTTGATCATTTGGGTTATTATTTTGCCATTACATTATCTTATATGCAATGGACCAATTTGCAACTAAAGCTTTGTTTTGGATGTCACCAGCTACATCTTGCATATCAGTAAAATAATATCTCTATCTTGAGTTTAAAATGGAAAGGGTGTTTTCCTGAGAAGCAAGAAGGGGGAGTGAAGCCATCAGGGGTTCCAAGTCTTCAAACGGATGCGGGGGGCACGGTGGTCCAGTCGTCTAAGGCGCCGCAGGTCGCTGTGCAGAGTTGCACTCCTTGGACACGCCAGAAACCTATGATTGTGGGTTCGAATCCCGGTTTGCCCCAATTATGTTTCTAGCTTTGTCAGCACCATACCCGTGCTCGTGGGTTTCACCGAAGTGGTAAACGTCTAAGACCTGCATCACTTCGGGCTTTCCTCCCATATGAAGCTGACACGCCGTGATATAACTGGAATACTGTTAAAAGCGGCGTTAAACCCAACTCACTCACCTTCTCACTCAAATGGATGCGCACAGCCAAGTCCTGCTTGTTTCAAAGAGACATGAATGCATTATGATTGGACATCTATTTTACCAGTGTGTCATATAAACTGGACTCAACACATGCACAACGAAGCTTGACCAGGGTATTTATAATAATAGGATGGAGATATGATGCTGGATAATTATCATACCAATCAGGTTGATTGCAGTATTAACACTTTGTGTGTTCATTTTTGCAGGAGCTAACAGTTGTGGATCATGCCCGTATTTACTATCCTTCCTACAGGAAGAACTTCTACGTGGAAGTGCCAGAGATCGCCAAGCTGACCCAAGAGGGTAAGTGCATGATTCATTGAGTGGTCTCGGGTAATTATACCATCAGGAGTTAAGCCATAACATGTGTTTGTTCTATACACCGCTTTCAGCAATATTCCAGTTGTATAATTGTCTGGACCAGATACTATGAGCAGCATCCCCCTCCATCTGGGTCTGTTGGGTTATGATGAAGCACAAGGACCCAAGTTGGTTTTGTTTGTTGTTTAACACTGCACACAGCAATACTTAAGCTATATGGCAGCGGTCTGTAAATAATCAAGTCGCGACCAGACAATCCAGTGATTGACATCATGAGCATCGATCCATGCAATTGGGATACGATGACATTCATCAACCAAGTCAGCAAGCCTGACCACCCGATCCTGTTAGTCGCCTCTTACATCAAACATAGTCGGCAAGTCGGCAAGCATGGGTTGCTGAAGACCTATTCTAACCAGAAGCCTGACCACCTGATCCACTGATCCCACAAAAGGCGACTATGCTTGTCGTAAGAGGCGACTAGCGGGTTCGGGTGGTCAGACTTGGTATCCCAATTGCGTGGAACAATCCTCTTGATGTTAATCACTGGATTGTCTAGTCCACAGTCGATTATTTACTGACCGCTGTCATATAGCTGGAATATTGCTGAGTGCGGTGTTAAACAATAAACCAAAAAAACAAGACGGTAGTCCATTTGTATAACCAGCAGCTGCTGAGGACTTATATTAACCCAGAATCCCCACGTAAGCCAAGTTGCAACAGTGCTAAGATTACTTAGAATGACATCCTTGCTCCACAAAGCCATCGTAGCACTACACTCATACTCCCACATCTAATATTGTTTTGATTGGTTTGGAATCCATGCTTGCATGTCTTGGTTTAGCATGAGGTGTATTATGTATGGATGTTGCAAAGAATATGGGCAGTGATAGCAGAAGACCTTGGGCTGATGTTCCATTAGATCTAGGGCCCTGTTACACAAAGCAATTTAAGTGCTTAGACAATCGCAACGCCCATATTTTAGTATAGACTTCCAACAATTGTAGCTCTAAAATCACTTTGTGGATGGGCCCTGGTCCACCAAATGAGGAGTAACATTGATGTTTAAAGTCTTGAGAAATACTAGACCTGGGACATTGCTGTGGTTCTTGAATGAAAGCGGGGCTGTCGGGTAGCCTAGTGGTTAAAGCATTCGCTTGTCACGCCGAAGACTCAGGTTCGATTCCCGACATGGGTACAATGTGTGAAGCCCATTTCTGGTGTCCCCCGCCGTGATATTGCTGGATTATTGCTAAAAGCGGCGTAAAACCAAACTCACTCACTCACTCACTTGAATGAAAGCTGGAGAACTAAGGAAGATATATGTACATTCATTGGTTGTGAAAAGTACCATAGAATCAAAGTAAATCAAAGTAAAAGATGACATGTCTTTTTATAGTATATTTAACACTTTTTTACCCTATATTGTTGATTATACCCCTGTGGTTACAACAGAGATCACTTTGTGGAATGAGGCCCAGGAAACGTCATCCTCTTTCAGTTAGTCTTCACACAACTTGATTGTGACTGATGTTTTAAATTGACAGAGGTTGATCAGATGCGAGAAGACATGGAGGGGATCAAGGTGAGAGGCAAGAACTGCCCCAAACCTGTTCGAAGCTGGGCTCAGTGTGGAGTCAGCAAGAAGATCATGGATGTCCTCAAGAAGTAAGTATGCTCAGGTGAAGGTCAGCTTTAGGAGACCGCCCCCATGGTCCAGTGGTAGAGCGTTTATCTGCAGAGAGGAAGGTCGGGGGTTCGATCCCTCGCCGCATCATACCAAAAGGTGTTAAAAGATGGTACTTGTTGTTATCCTGTCTGGTGCTCGGCATTAAGGGGCTAAAACAAGGACTGGTGGGCTCGGAGTCCATAGATTGATGCTCATGACTTGATTATTCACAGACTGCCGTCATATAGCTGGAATATTGCTGAGTGCAGCGTTTAACAACCTGTCTGGGTTAAAGTTGAAGGGTATACTCGGACCCCATGGTACCGCGGCATTCATCGTATCGCGGCATTTGTGATTTCCGGTGGTTCACGCGGGACACGCCTCTTAGCGGCTGTCTATTAATGCAAATCAGTAACCAGGAACTGCTGACTTCGTAAACAATTTTAATGTCCTCGGAATGTTCCGTCTGCTGTAAGTAAAGAGTTATTAATCCGTTGATACATATTTCTGGCATCTGTTGTAATATTGCCTTACCCCGATCTATCAATGGCCAACGATATAACCCGCAGTTCCCCAAGTAAACTTTCTCTATCGACCTGAACTAGATCATCTGCATATTCATGGCGACTAATGAGGTAACGGAAGTTACGTAGTCCGCACAATTTTTCCCGCTCTGTGCCCAGAAACTATTGGGAGATCATAAGGGCCATAATGCCAAACTTAGAAATACTTTCTTCACTAGTAACCAAAAGATAAATACATACTTTGGGCATACTAGGAGTGCTTTTTATATATTTATTGTTGACTTTTAACATTTTAACATTTTGTGACAAATTATTGTCATCCAATTTTTTTTAAACGATCTTAAAATATCATTTCTGATATTTTGATGTTGACTTATAAAAATATTTTTCTCTTACTTTTCGGTAAATATGCATTGAATACCTATTGCTGATAACACATTTAGAATTTTACTTGTGCTGTCTTTGCACTTGTCTGGACAAATCACTGATGTCTGGCATGATCATACCAAGTGGTTGGTAGAATTATGTCCTCTTTTTGTCCAATTCGGACCTCCATACACAACTTTTCTCTGTACCGCGATACGATGGAGTTCTCTCCCTTGTCAAACAGATCGCGAGGCCCGGGTTTTACTCGGAGCTACTAATGTAAATAATGAACTTTTATCAGTAAAATATGCATTGTTTGATAACATGAATGATATCTGATACAGAGAACACGAATAAACATAAAGGTTAGTGAGTGCATTTTGTTCCGTTTAGCGTACATGACAAGTACCGCGATACCCCGAGGTTGCAGGCTACATGCTTCTGGTGAAGATGATTTGGGGCATTCAAGAAAGGTTTGGGATTGGACTGCTGCTGTTTATACTCGTAATGCAAACATCATTCCAGTTCAATTTGTGTTTGCAGACATCTATATGAGAGGCCAACACCTATTCAGGCCCAGGCAATCCCAGCTGTGATGTCAGGTCGGGATCTCATAGGTATTGCCAAGACTGGCAGCGGTAAAACCCTCGCCTTCCTCCTCCCAATGTTCAGACATGTGCTGGATCAAGCAGAACTAGAAGACGAAGATGGTCCCATAGGTAAGTTGTCATGGTGATTCTAGAGCAACGATTTATCAACAGTCTTGCGGATATCTGTTGAAAGATGGTGTTTGTATAGGTTAAGTGCGATGTAGACTTTCAACAAATGCTTTACGCTTTACGTGACAATGCAAAACCAAGAATTAGGACCTGCTTCCTTCACGTCTGAATCAAATCGTCCAACCTCAGCACATAGCACGTGCAGGCTTGTTCCGAAGAAGAACATCTCTCATGAACACGGGCCATAATGCACCCTAGTGGTAAAAGGGCTAGATAACCATTTAGCATTTTTAGTTTCTTCATGTAGGGGGGCGGTCGGCTAGCCTAGTGGTTAAAGCGTCCGCTCGTCACGCCGAAGACCCAGGTTCGATTCCTGACATGGGTACAATGTGTGAAGCCAATTTCTGGTGTGCCCCGCCTTGATATTGCTGGCATATTGCTAAAAGCGGCGTAAAACCATACTCACTCACTCACTTTATGTAGGGTCAGAGTTCTAGATCTAGACAAGCTTTTGGTTATTATGTCTCCCCCAGAATGGAGGGAGACATATTGTTTTTGGCACGGTTCCCGTCGGCGACGGCGTTCCCACCGTTTCCGGACCATAACTCAGAAACCGTTTAATATTTTTTAGCGAAACTTTGTATACACATTAACCCAGCACTGAAGTGGTGCCTTTTGCTATTTAGAGATTTTTGACATTTTTATTTTTTCTCGTTTCTATGGAGATAACTTGAACATAGACTCTGAATGGGGGTAAGCTTGGTTTCCGGACCATAACTCGGAAACCGTTTAATATTTTTTCGCGAAGCTTTGTATTCACATTAACCCAGCACTGAAGTGGTGCCTTTTGCTATTTAGAGATTTTTGACATTTTTATTTTTTCTCGTTTCCATGGAGATAAGTTGAACATAGACTCTGAATGGGGATAAGCTTTGTTTCCTGACCATAACTCAGAAACTGTTTAATATTTTTTCGCGAAACTTTGTATACACATTAACCCAGCACTGAAGTGGTGCCTTTTGCTATTTAGAGATTTTTGACGTTTTGATTTTTTCTCGTTTCCATGGAGATAAGTTGAACATAGACTCTGAATGGGGGTAAGCTTTGTTTCCGGACCATAACTCGGAAACCGTTTAATATTTTTTCGCGAAACTTTGTATACACATCAACCCAGCACTGAAGTGGTGCCTTTTGCTATTTAGAGATTTTTGACATTTTTATTTCTTCTCGTTTCCATGGAGATAACTTGAACATAGACTCTGAATGGGGGTAAGCTTGGTTTCCGGACCATAACTCGGAAACCGTTTAATATTTTTTCGCGAAACTTTGTATACACATTAACCCAGCACTGAAGTGGTGCCTTTTGCTATTTAGAGATTTTTGACATTTTTATTTTTTCTCGTTTCCATGGAGATAAGTTGAACATAGACTCTGAATGGGGGAAAGCTTGGTTTCCGGACCATAACTCGGAAACCGTTTAATATTTTTTCGCGAAACTTTGTATACACATTAACCCAGCACTGAAGTGGTGCCCATTAGTTGTTTGAAATTTCTAGGAATTCTATTTTTGTCTCTGTTATTTAGTAATGGAGGGTGGGAATGAAGAGATGGGGTTTAACGTGAAGTAAACGAATGAATGGGGGTTAGGGGAGTGGGGGGAGACATATGTTTTTACGAGTAAAAACACTTTCTAGTTGGATGCTATTTTTAGAAGCACCAATCAGTGACTTTTTAAGAAATATTAAGATATATATCTATCTATCTATATATACGCAATCTTTTTATCTAACAGTTGTAATGTATGCACTTGTTTAATTTATTGATTGTTTTTGTTGTGTATTTGATGTGCTGGGGATTTGATTTGTCTGTGTATATCAGTTCATTTAATGCATATTTTACTCTAATACGCAGCTCATCTAGAACTCTGCATGGTATTGGTAATATTGCATTCTTTGAGGTATTAGTTCAAGCCATGATAATACATGTGTATATTCATTCATAATCCTAGTTAGACGTTTGACATTTCACTGATATAATTCCTGAAAACACCCTTGCTACACAGTGATTGTTTTGTATGACACAGCTGTGGTGATGACGCCCACCCGTGAGCTGGCACTACAGATCTCATCGGAATGTAAGAAATTCTCCAGAACCATGGGACTGAGGTGCGTGTGCGTGTATGGCGGAACGGGAATATCGGAACAGATCGCGGAGTTGAAAAGAGGCTGCGAGATGATCGTTTGCACACCAGGGAGAATGATTGACATGTTGGCTGCCAATAATGGTGGGTATATTAGTAATAAGGTAGCTTTGTTTTTCAGCGCGGCATGTGCTTATGTAGGTCTGTTCTCATCCTCTGATTGTGTGCATTTACCGTGTTTATGTATATGTATAGATTTAAAATATAAAACTGACATTTTTTATGACATGTCATTGTTTACATGTCACGTCATTGTTTTAAATTTGTTTGATCATGAGCTTGATTTTCTCATAGCTGTCAGGTTTATGCGCTCCAAAGTGAACATAATGATGCGACAGGATAGGCATGTTTTCAACCAATTTCGTTTTGTGGAATTGAAATAATTTTTGTCATTATTGGTTATGTTTGTGAATCTCTTAATTCCTAAAAACAAATTGTTCGGTATACACACAATGATTCGCGGATTGATTGTGCTCCCAATCATAAATGAAATGTTTTAAGGCTTATTTAAACAAATAGGTATTTTAAGGTAGTAGGTAAATGTGTTTGGTATTTAATTTGGTATTGAGTAATTGTAGAATCTAATTGAGTCACTGTCACTTGAAACTAGGTAATAAACTACCCACTTGTCATGCACTGTGATCAGATTAATATGTCATTAGTTAGGACTGGGATGAGTCCAAATTTACTAGCCGGGTACCCACCCCCGTATTACCCAACCCTACCTGGGTACCCGCTGTAGGTCTCGAGAGTTGGGTACATAGTGTCTGATTGGGAATAGTTTGACCACAGCCCTGGCAAAAACTATTTACATACACGTATAAAACGATCAGGTCAGGCATACACTGAAGTTTACTGAGGTTTTATCTTTATTCAAGTATATAAAATCAGAAGGAATAGGTGCATAGTCAGAAAGAAATGCGAACATCATTCACTTGTAGTGTAACCACATTGAGTCCTATATAATTTTTGTCATTAAACAATATATCACGTGACTAACAACGGGTCCGGTAGTACTGTGGGTACCCGGGTCCTACTCAGGACCCACCCGACCCGAGTACCCGAGTTACCCATCCCAGCCCTAATGCTTAGGCAGGTCATAGTTTCTATAAATATAAAATGTCAATGCCGAGAATAACCCATCCTTATTATCTGCTGAACCAGATTCCCTGGGCATTAAAGGCAAAATAACGGTGAAAGTTTTATGAATGAATCACTGAAAATCAGCGACGACACCAGGGGTTTACGAAAAATGTCAGCCATTTTGATTGGCAATGCAGTTTGCAGAGAGTCTGATTGGAGATTATGTTTTCTTAAATGTCTGCTACAGAGATGTTAATGTCTTTGATAGGCATTAGAGACACAGGATATATGGACGTCAACTGTATTTTGTATGTACTTTTCGAGGCTACTTCTCATCATCAGGCTAGAAGCAGCCTTGAAATGTTATGCATAAAGACTACAGAAGTGGAATGTTTAGTGGCTACTCGTGTTGATTGTTGTCAGTATTATGTATGGAGATACTGGATATATGTCCTCAATGTCCTTGAGCAAACTCGAGACTAATACATCACCTTTTTGTTTCCAGGTGTCATGGTATGATCATGATGATGATTTTTATTGCTTGTCATGCCTGTAGATGAAACTTTTGTTTCTTTTGTTGGCTTCTGTACATTAAGAGATGTCGTGTCTCATTTAACATTGTTTCATGTTTCAAAGGCAGGTAAGTTTGATAGGAAAAGTTGTCATGTATAATTGTCTGAATTGCAAAGCAAAGCCATATCTAATTTTGTGTATGTGTACATGTAGACAGTGTTAGCATTGAGAAATGCTGGCCAGAAGACACCTGTTTACAGTGGCAGATTATGTCTGGAGTGTCACATCAGGCTGTGAGGGGTTGTTAGCCAAGTAGTACATGGCCATGAAGAGTTGTGTCCCTTAGCTCTGCCAGGATCTGGTGGCTGTTGGTTTTCAAATCCAAGAGTCACCTGGATAAGGTTCCTTGGTTTGTGAGCAGTGTTCTCATGTTGGTGGGTCTCACCAAAGTGATAAACCTCCATGACCAACATCACTTTGGTGCTTTCGTCCCACACTTAGCTAACATGTCATGGTATGACTGAAATATTGTTCAAGGTGGCACCAAACCAAACTCACTCATCAGTTGAGTATGGACCAACTCATTGCTTTGATCTGTGAATCTCTGTTCACAACGTGTTGTGCAGGCTGCAAAGATGTAGCTGCAATATCATTATGATCAGATCTTTTGCTCCGATATGATATGATATGATATGAACTTTCAAATCAGTGTATGGACAATGGAGCAAAACATTCAGAGCACATATTTGACTTTTGCATCTGGAAAATGAACATAAACAGGTAGTTCAGAATGGAATATAATAAACTGCTGAGGGCATATTCATGTTCTGTAAGTTCATTTGTTAAGATCAAACTTTCATTGAGACTGGATTGTCAAAGTTCATACAGTTTTCACCTGACTTGATCTCCTATTCAGAGTTTCACAGATCTGGACACAGAGCACGAGATCTGACTGTAATGATATTGAATGTAGCTGTAATACTGCTGATTGTGGCTTTAACAACTCACTCACCCACTCACTCACCCACTCACTCACCCACTCACTCACCCACTCACTCACCCACTCACTCCCAGGTAACTGGGATGGGATCTAGGTAGGGACTGTGTTACGCACATACGGTGTAATCAATTTTATTCTCTTCACTCAGGCTGCATAGCTTTGCCATACAAGACTTATATTTTAAAGGTCACATGATATCGGCGAGAGGAGAGGATCGTCAGCATCGTCAGTTGCCATGGTAACACATCACCAGGGTTGATGATTATATTGTTCATGATATTGTTGAAATCACATTGAACTGTTTCATTCCCGAAACTGATGAGAGTTATGTCTCTTGCATTTGTTTCGCAATTCAGGTATGGAAAAGGAAACTGATCAGACAAAGTAAAACTTATTTTATAAAAAAATCAAATTTAAATATATTCTTTTTGCAAGATGATAATAAATATATGTTTGCTGTCTGTGACTTTCACCACAGGTTCAAAGCCTGAGTCAAGTAACATTCTGATCGGTCTAGTTAGCTGAGATAGTAATAGTCTACTAATAACATCAAACAGAAAATGATGTTTATGGCCAGGTTGAGGCGAGTAGACTCAAAGGTTTTGGCACAGACTGCCTTCGGAATATTTTGGTATATATTTTGTGAAATTAGATCCAAGATACTCATGTACATCTTTCATTACTCTGTCTGAATAGGAGCCTGGTTGTTTCCGTGTTATTATGACTCTCATACATTTAGTGTTAAACGAGTGGACATGTAAAGTTTGTAATTAGAAAACATACAATGCTTTGTGATGCATTTTGTTATTGTTACTGAAAGGCTTAAAATGGATTGTGATTGTTTCCTGGATTGTGTTTTCCAGGCCGTGTTACCAACCTGCGCCGGTGTACGTATGTAGTTCTAGATGAGGCAGACAGGATGTTTGACATGGGATTTGAACCTCAGGTGAGATGCAGTCAAACTATCACATGTTTTAATATATCAAGCCATTATTAAAATATCTCTCCACCAAGTTGTATGATTTTGTTTGTTGTTTAATGCCGCACTTAGCATTACTCTAGCTATATGATAGCGGTCTGTAAAGAATACAGTCTAGACCAAACAATCCAGTGATTGACATCATGAGCATGATGAGCATTAATCTATGCTGTTGGGATACGATGACATGCATTAACCTAAGTCAGCAAGCCTGACCACCCAATCCCATATGTCACCTCTTATGAACCGCCTCCGTGGTCTTGTGGTAGAGCGTCCGCCCCGAGAGCGGAAGGTTCGGGGTTTCGATCCCCGGCCGCGTCATACCAAAAGACGTTAAAAGATGGTACTTGTTGTTACCCTGTCTGGCGCTCGGCATTAAGGGGCTAAAACAAGGACTGGTGGGCTCGGAGTCAGTATACTGTGTCTGAGTGGGGTATTCATGTTAAACTGCAGCATGGTATCTCAGTGAACTAGCACTATAAATCAGCATCAGTCCGGACTAGTACAAGCAGCCACACATACACACACACGTACATGCACGTCGCTATATAAGTGCAATAATCTTGGACGGGACGTTAAACCCCATTTCACCTCACCTCACCTCCGTGGTCTAGTGGTAGCGTGTCCGCCTGGAGAGAGGAAGGTCTGGGGTTTGATCCCGGCCATGTCATACCAAAACACGTTAAAAGATGGTACTTGTTGTTACCCTGTCTGGCGCTCGGCATTAAGGGGCTTAAACAAGGACTGGTTGGCTCGGAGTCGGCATACTGTGTCTAGGTGGGGTATTCATGTTTAACTGCAGCATGGTATCTCAGTGTGCTAGCACTATAAACTGGCATCAGTCCGGACTAACACACACACACACACACACACACACACACACACACACTCACACACTCACACACTCACTCACTCACTCACTCACAAGCATGGGTTGCTGAAGACCTATTCAGTATTCTAACCCAGATCTTCATAGGTATCCTGTCATGGAGTAGGTAGGTAGGGACATTTTGTTTCTATCCACTCCATTAAATGGATGGACAAACAGACATTCTGATTGCTTCATGGTCCAACATTTTATGCAAGGCCTCTGTATAAAACCGAGAAACTTGACTTGTGAATTTTCTTTTTCCTTTTTGGAGTTTGTTTCCATGGTCAAGAGGTTTGCCAGAAATAAAGGCAATTTTGTGGCCACACCCTGTTGGTATAGTAGGGTGTAATAGGTCGCCAGTCAGTATCTCACTCGTGTTGTAATAGACAACTTATATTTAGAATTAGATGCCACAGTTACAAATGTAATCATGGTCAGTCGTCACCTAACATGGCTCAAGTGTGAACATATTACATAATACGTTGACTTACATGAGATTTTAATGATGAGAGGATTTTGGCTTGTGTTAATGACTGTTCACATTTCCTTCAAGGTGATGAGAATAATGGATAACATTCGACCTGATCGTCAGACTGTGATGTTTTCTGCCACCTTCCCAAGACAGATGGAGGCCTTGGCAAGAAGGATTCTAAACAAGCCATTAGAAATTCAGGTCGGAGGTCGGAGTGTTGTGTGCAAAGAAGTTGAACAACATGTAGTAAGTGTTAAGATTCAGAAAAATTGGTTTCTTTCGTTTTCTTTCCATTTTTTCATCCCAAGTTGTCCATTGACTTCCATCCATAAACATTTTATTTTATATTGCCAATGTGGCCTGATGGATTCAGCAGAAGTTGTGTCTGGCTGTTTGTTTCTATTGTCCAGGAGCATGTGAGAAAAGAATAGGCTTTTTGTTGTGCTTCAGATTATCCTGGAGGATGACAAGAAGTAATCACCTGTTTGTTGTGCTTCAGATTATCCTGGAGGATGACAAGAAGTAATCACCTGTTTGTTGTGCTTCAGATTATCCTGGAGGATGACAAGAAGTAATCACCTGTTTGTTGTGCTTCAGATTATCCTGGAGGATGACAAGAAGTAATCACCTGTTTGTTGTGCTTCAGATTATCCTGGAGGATGACAAGAAGTAATCACCTGTTTGTTGTGCTTCAGATTATCCTGGAGGATGACAAGAAGTAATCACCTTTTTGTTGTGCTTCAGATTATCCTGGAGGATGACAAGAAGTAATCACCTGTTTGTTGTGCTTCAGATTATCCTGGAGGATGACAAGAAGTTATCACCTGTTTGTTGTGCTTCAGATTATCCTGGAGGATGACGAAGTAATCACCTGTTTGTTGTGCTTCAGATTATCCTGGAGGATGACAAGAAGTAATCACCTGTTTGTTGTGCTTCAGATTATCCTGGAGGATGACAAGAAGTTATCACCTATTTGTTGTGCTTCAGATTATCCTGGAGGATGACGAAGTAATCACCTGTTTGTTGTGCTTCAGATTATCCTGGAGGATGACGAAGTAATCATCTGTTTGTTGTGCTTCAGATTATCCTGGAGGATGACAAGAAGTAATCACCTGTTTGTTGTGCTTAAGATTATCCTGGAGGATGACGAAGTAATCACCTGTTTGTTGTGCTTCAGATTACCCTGGAGGATGACGAAGTAATCATCTGTTTGTTGTGCTTCAGATTATCCTGGAGGATGACAAGAAGTTCTTAAAGCTGCTGGAGTTACTGGGCATCTATCAGGAACACGGCAGTGTCCTGGTGTTTGTGGACAAGCAGGAGAACGCAGATGAGCTGATGAAGGAGTTGATGCGGCACTCCTACCCCTGTCTGTCTCTACACGGTGGCATCGATCAGTACGATAGGGACAGCACTATCCTGGACTTCAAAAATGGGAACATCAAGCTTCTGGTAATAGGATGCTCTTTTGGGATTTTTCTTTCGTAATGTGTTGAATGTATTTGTTCTGATGATTTGCCCCTAAATGTCTTAACCTTTTCGCTCCTTTGATTTTACTGGAGCACTTCCATTTTCTGCTTGTTTGCTCACCTGACTGAAGGTAATTGTTTCATGTAGTGACTGTTTATGTGGAATGTTTTCACATCAACATGATCAAGGGGATTTAATGGTATTTAAAGCATTAAAAATACAAGCTACATTTTCCATAGGGGTGTGAACAGTTTGATATTTGCATATATGCCTTTTAACGATGCTCAATGCTGTCACATCACATTGATCACATTGATGAATTTTTTAGAACAATATGACTTCATTTATTGCTCATGACATCACAAAATGACTAAATTATGTCTCAGTTCTCGACCAGTCTGTAGAACTCGCTATGAGATTCATTCTTATGGAGTTCATAAGACTTTTGAATTTTATTGTATTAACAGTTGGTAATTCAGCCATGAACTCTTGTCTTAGGGAGTAAGGTAATGTTTTGATTTAAATAAATTAAATTTTGAATAGAAACAGGTGATGTTTTATTATCAATTTTGAAGACCTCTCAGTTCTTGAGATGCCTTATATGTAGAAAGTCTGTACCAGCAGTCAGAAGAAGGTATGAGAGGGGAGAACAGTAGTCATTATAAAACAGGAGTGTCTCAGCAGTATTGTTCTTGTTGGCACATACATCTACACATCACAACTGAGCCGTGACACACTTCTGCATGCATCCATGTCTTTCCCTGCATTCTTTGTGTCAGTGATGTATGTTCTTTGTGTTCTACTTGTGTCAGGTTGCAACGTCCGTGGCGGCACGAGGCCTGGATGTCAAGCAGCTGATACTGGTCATCAACTATGACGTTCCAAACCACTACGAGGACTACGTGCACAGATGCGGGTAAGTTGTTCTTTGTGTGGACTTGTGTGTTCAGCCATTGTCATTACTGTTGTAAGATCTGACCTTTGGGGTTTATAGGTCGCTAATAATCTTAGCTCGTTGTAAGACTTGGTCAGTATGTTTGTACCGATGTTATGATGTTTGTGATGTAAGTTGGCATCATGTTCCCTGTGAAGATCCAGGGAAGAGGCAACGTACGGGATCGGGTGGTCAGACTCGCCAACCTGGCTGCTGCATGTCATTGTATCCCAATTGGATAGATCAATGCTCATGATGTCATTGACTGGATTGTCTGGTCCAGACTTTATAAGATGCAGACAACCATCATATATGTGGCATTTTGCTGAATGTAGCGTTAAACGAACAAACAAACAACAGACAAACACATCATGTAGGGGCATGAGTGGCTCAGTTGTCAAAGGTGCCTTTGACCCAAACAGACCCTTACCCACCCACCTACCCACACAGACCCTCACCCAACCAGGCACCCACCCACACAGTCACTCACCCACACAGTCACTCGCTCATACAGGCACTCACCCACCCACCAGGCCACACAGACCCTCACCCATCCACCTACCCACACAGACCCTCACCCGACCAGGCACCCACCCACACAGTCACTCACCCACACAGTCACTCGCTCATACAGGCACTCACCCACCCACCAGGCCACACAGACCCTCACCCATCCACCTACCCACACAGACCCTCACCCGACCAGGCACCCACCCACACAGTCACTCACCCACACAGTCACTCGCTCATACAGGCACTCACCCACCCACCCACCAGGCCACACAAACCCTCACCCGACCAGGCACCCACCCACACATTCACTCACCCACACAGTCACTCACTAACCCACACAGTCACTCACTAACCCACACAGTCACTCACCCACACGAAGGGCGGTCGGGTAGCCTAGTGTTTTAAGCGTTCGCTCGTCACGCCGAAGACCCGGGTTCGATTCCCGACAATGTGTGAAGCCCATTTCTGGTGTCCCCCGCCATGATATTGCTGGAATATTGCTAAAAGCGGCGTAAAACCATACTCACTCACTCACTCACACACACAGTCACTCACCCACACAGTCACTCACCCACACACTCACCCATCCATACAGTCACTCGCCCACACAGTCACTCGCCCACACAGTCACTCACCCACACAGTCACTCACCAACACACTCACTCACCTACACAGTCACTCACCCACACAGTCACTCACCCACACAGTCACTCACCCACACAGTCACTCACCCACACAGTCATTCACCAACACAGTCACTCACCCACACACTCACCCACCCACACACTCACTCACCCACACACTCATTCACCCACACAGGCACTCACTCACCCACACACTCACCCACCCACACAGTCACTCACCCACACAGGCACTCACTCACCCACACACTCACTCACCCACACAGGCACTCACCCACACAGGCACTCACCCTACCATTCACGCACTCACCCACACAGTCACTCAACCACACAGTGATTCACCCACACACTCACCCACCCACACACTCACTCGCCCACACAGGCACTCACCCACCCACACACTCACCCACCCACACAGGCACTCACTCACCCACACAGTCACTTACCCACACAGTCACTCACCCACACAGGCACTCACCCACACAGGCACTCACCCTACCACACACTCACTCACCCACACAGTCACTCAACCACACAGTGATTCACCCACACACTCACCCACCCACACACTCACTCGCCCACACAGGCACTCACTCACCCATGCACTCACTCACCCACACAGTCACTCACCCACACAGTCACTCACCCAAACAGTCACTCACCCACACAGTCACTCACCCACACACTCACCGACCCACACACATTCAGCGACCCCCACAGTCACTCACCCACACAGGCACTTACCCACCCACACACTCACTCACCCACACAGTCACTCACCCACCAACACACTCACTCACCCACACAGTCACTCATCCACACAGTCACTCACCCACACAGTCACTCACCCACACAGTCACTCACCCACACAGTCACTCACCCACACACTCACCGACCCACACACTCACTCACCCACCCACACACTCAGTCACCCAAACAGTCACTCACCCACACACCCACTCACCCACACACTCACTCACCCACCCACACAGTCACTCACCCACCCACACAGTCACTCACCCAAAGGCACTCACCCACCCACACACTCACTCACCCACACAGTCACTCACCCACACAGCCCCTCACACTAGAAAGCCTTGAATATCATAGTTGAAAGCCTTGAAAAGGCCTTGAACTTTAGTGTTCTGTATCTGTATAAATCTTGTACATGCAGTCATGAAACATATGCTCTCAATATTTGTTAAGAAAACCATGCCTGTACCTTTCAGCCGGACAGGACGAGCAGGAAACAAGGGTTTTGCCTACACTTTCTTTACTCCTGAGCAGGAGAGGTATGCAGGGGACATAATAAAGGCCCTGGACCTGTCCAACTCTCCTGTACCTGCAGAACTGACACAGATGTGGAATGACTACAAGGAGAGAGCTAAGGCTGTAAGTTGGGAGTTTAACAATGCTTTGGACAGCATACTCCGGCACAGTGGTGACTTAGCACAACACCACTGCCACAGGTTAATTTGCATATCACATGACCGGACTTTTCTCTTGTTTGTAAACAAATGCACTTTTTCTGGAATCAGAAATCAGCCTAAAGCAAGTATTTGGGGGCGCTTTACATATTGTTATGCATAATTATGTAGATATGCTGCTACAACTGCGACTGTGAGGTGCACTACAATATATATATATTGGTACATCAAAGTGGGCGTATCGCTAGCTCTCCATATGGCTTCGATGACAGCACGTGGAGCCGTACAACCAATGTAAACAAAAGATAACTACGCAAATGGAAATAGTTTTTCACGATTTAGGATGCTTTCTCAATGAAAGTTAACCATTCTATGACACATATTTATCTAGAAGTGTAGACTTTTTAAAAATGAAACAGATGAAAAACATCTGCAATATCTTGAATGGACTGTGTAAGATGTGATGAATCGTCACATGGCACTGGCCTGTGGCAGAGGTACTATGCTGGCCACATGGAACTCTGGGCGGGAGAGTGTTTGGTCAGTAGGGTTATGTCACAGAGCAATAGTATATAACAATTCAGGATGATGGGCACAGGTCTGAGATGTTTGTATTGTTTACCACTTCAGTAAAACCAGGGTAATGTCAGTGAAACCCGTCTGTACAGTGAAACCCGTCTGTACAGTGAAACCCGTCTGTACAATGAAACCCGTCTGTACAATGACGGAAGGTCCAGGGTTCGATCCCGGGCCGCGTCATACAAAAAGACGTTAAAAGATTGTACTTGTTGTTACCCTGTCTGGCGCTCGGCATTAAGGGGCTAAAACAAGGACTGGTCGGCTCGGAGTCAGTATACTGTGTCTGAGTGGGGTATTCATGTTAAACTGCGGCATGGTATCTCAGTGAGCTAGCACTATAAATCGGCATCAGTCCGGACTAGTACAAGCAGCCACACACACACATACACGTGCATGCACGTCGCTATATAAGTGCAATAATCTTGGACGCGACGTTAAACCCAATTTCACCTCACCTGTACAATGAAACCTGTCGGTACAGTGAAACCCGTCGCTACAGTGAAACCCGTCGGTACAGTGAAACCCGTCTGTAATGTGCTCATGGATCAAATATGATAATTTGGGGGAAATCTTCATACTTAGATCAGCAGATTTTGCCAGAGATAAGGGAGGCAATTTGGCTCAATGAATTGTGTCATCTTTGACAGTTTTTCCATTGTGATCCTTATGCATCTGAAAGTTTATGTCTTGTCTTTAAATCATAATAAAATCAGTTCTCGTATTCATTGCTTGTACCAGTTTGTTAATGTATGTTATTCCCATCAAAGAAAAAAATTGGAACCTGTTTATAACAAAGCGACAAAGGACCACTGAGATCTATGTTTTGATTGATTCTGTAGCAGTTTAGACTGAACATTCACAGTGGTGACTGATATTTATATCACAGTTGCCAAATGGTGCCTAAGATTAAAATGAATGAATTATTTGTATTAATAATCAGAAACTGTAAGCAATATAAAACATCAGTCAATATTGTAAGAAAAGCAAATGTTTGCTTCTTAGCTGGTATGTGCATGTCTGGTTAGGATATTATGAGATCCCTACTCTGATTCTGCTAGCTTTGTCATTGCCAATTTGATGCTGTGAGTTTGGCCTCCTTCATGTGACTCTCTTTGTTGTGCCATTTTCATTGAAGTATTATCTCCTAGGAGATATCGTTTAATCTCATCAAAGCAATATCACAGTTTGTGATGTGTTTTATTCTTATTTAGGTGGCTCCTAAATTTCACCACTGTTTTGACAGAGGGGAGCCATTTTGCCCCACTGGAAACATATGTTACCACAGGTCCCTGGACCTACACTGTCATATCCTGTTTATTTTCAGGAGGGGCGAACAATCAAGAGCTCCAGCGGGTTTCGTGGGAAAGGGTTCAAGTTTGATGAGACCGAGGCCCAGCTGGCTGATGAGCGGAGGAAGCTGCAGAAGGCAGCACTAGGACTGCAGGACTCAGATGATGAGGATGCCGGCATGGATGTGAGTAGCTGCAATCTGTGGAGAATGTCATTTGATTGATACTGATCCATTGATGGGGATAATGATTGTGTAGCACCTTGGGCAGACTTTAGGGCATATCTACAGCACAATATGAATTTGCATTTGTTATTTTAATACATTGTTATGATTATTATGTGATATTATATATGATTAGAAGCTATTCCTAGTCCGAAATTCAGTGGATTTAACTGTGTTTTCATCAATGTTGCCGTAAATACACAATGCCATTTAGGAAGTGATCAAATGTAACAAATGTTACATTGTGTATTCATAACTTTTGGCCTTGGGAGCCGTGCAAATTTACACTTGTCAGAGGGGTACACAAAGCATGTGATCTTTATACCAGTTCTTGGACTTTCATTTTTGTGGGTTTGAATCCCGGATGGAACTCAACCCCAGAAAGGTACTAGAATCTGTACTTTACTAAGAAAGTGTTATCCCAAATATAACATATGTTGCTGATTGGGACACTGCCTTCAGATGCTAATGAGTGAAGATGCAGTGTTTACACTGCTGAAGAGAAAGCAAAGTGAAACATATATACTGAGTCCTTGGCTGTGGGTGTAATTTATCAAAATGTGTATTTGTGGATGACATGGGAACATAACTAGCAACCTTCTTTCCTCTCGATTGCTACAGATTGACCAGAAGATTGAAGACATGTTCGCTAGCCGGAAGCGTGTGACAGATGTGGCCAAGCCCATAGCCAATCAGCAGACACAACAACAGCAGAGCAATCAGCAGAAACTGGAGCTGGCTAAACGATTGGCTGCTCGTATCAACATGCAGCGCAACCTGGGACCTGACGCCCAGGATATTACCCAGCAGGCTGCAGCAGCTATCTTGAAGGGAGATTCAGTAGCTGCTCCACAAGTTGCTGTAAGTTGAGGGAGTCCCTGTGTGGGGATTCAGGGTAGGAATAGGTCCCCAGATGCCAATGGAATGATGGTCTGTCTTGGTGACAGCATGTCATTGTACCCTGATGTGGATCGCTGCTCATTTCAATCACTGGATTGCCTGGTCCAGTAGATTATTTACTTCCTGTTGTCATATGGCTGGAATATTGCTGAGTGCTGTGTTATCTGACAGACAAACAAGACAACAGGGAATACAATAGGAGACATTTATCCGCATGACGGACACAAAAAGTGACTCAAACAAACACTCCACATGGGATAGAATCAAGGGGGATGAATTTCAATGAAACGTCACTGTCCATTAACACTGTGAACACTAGCTTTCCCACCACACAGTGTTGGTTTGTTCAATGATATGTCAGAGTGTATCCATAGCTACTGTGTGTTTTCTATTAACTGAATATTCTTTTTTTAGTCCAAGACTATTGCGGAGCAGATGGCAGAGAAGATCCATGCCAAGATCGGGTACCGGCCACAGGCGGAGGAGGAGAAGGAACAGGAGTCGGCTGGCGAGACTTTCAAACGCTACGAGGAGGAGCTGGACATCAACGACTTCCCTCAGACAGCCAGGTGGAAGGTCACATCCAAGGTCAGTCATTTCTTCAACAGTTTGGATTAAGGTAAAAATAAAGGGTTTATAGGGTTGACAGACAGCAGCCTCAATTATCACTAATTGAAAATCAGTATCTGTATGTTCAGTAACAAGCCATAAGCAACTACTCTGGGGATTCCAGGTACCCAGCAACCTAGGCCTGTCTGTGTCAAGTGATATGTTGAACATGTACATGCACAACAGAAGTTTGTTTTCAAAGATTATGAATTAGGAGTTTTCTGAGATCAAGGGTGAGTGAGTTTGGTTCAATGCTGCTTTGAACAGTATAATCAGTTATGTATGGTGCTGACATATCTAGAAATCAAGAGTATGAATATGGCTTGCCCCTTGATCAAGAAAAAACATACCTGTGCTTAACTTTTATTTCATATAAATCAGATATAAATGACTCTGATCACAATCCATTTGTTCTTAGCCTCATCTTGTATTTTTTTATCCTCGCAGGAAGCACTGGCTCAGATCTGCGAGTACTCGGAAGCTGGCATCACGGTGAGAGGAACCTACGTGCCCAATGACAAGGATCTGAAAGAAGGAGAGCGCAAGCTGTATCTGGCTATCGAGGCCACAAGCGAGCTCGCCATCTCCAAGGCGAAGAAAGAGATCACACGTCTCATCAGGGAGGAACTTGTCAGACTGGTAGGGAGGAGTTTTGTCTGTCGTACTGTAAACTTCATGGGGACATTTGGTTCTGGCCATGTCATGGCACCAACTTGCTTTTTATTTGTCTATGTATCCAGAACAACTTTGACGTTTGCCAAATGTTAAAAATAAATCAAATACCCAGGAATGTGTTTTGAAAGTGTTTCAGTATATGTATTAAGATTGCTTGGGAGACCCAGGTCCTGGCTATTCAACTATCAATGTACCTAATGGGGAAAATGAATCCAAGGACTGTCGTCTACATTATGATGACCAATGTTAGTGAGATTAATCAGTGCAGTTGATGAACTGTTGATAAGGTTGTATTCTCATCTTATTCTTAAACACCGTGATGACCCGGGGTAGACTATGTCTTCAGAAACCCATGCTTGTCGTAAAAGGCGACTATGCTTGTTGTAAGAGGCAACTAACGAGATCGGATGATCAGGCTCGCTGACTTGATTTATTCATGTCATCGTATTCCAGTTGCGTGGAGTGATGTTCATGATGTTAATCACTGGATTGTCTGGTCCAGACTCAATTATCTACAGACCACCGTCATATAGCTGGAAAATTGCTGAGTGTGTTGTTAAACAACAAACAAACAAACTTAAATGCCAGCTCTCACTGATATTTTTTTCTGTTTCAGCAAAATTGTTATATTCCAAATGCAAACAAGAATCGCTACAAAGTGCTGTAACAAGGCAGTTGACGACATCTGCCTTCTTATTGCTGGCAGCATGGCTGGCTGGAAGGACACTTTATGGAGGACAAGTCAAGTCTGTCATTCTTACCATGACAGTCGTGGGACATGAAACCCGTCAGTCTCTGCAGGATGATTCAGTGAAGGACCAGTTGACTCCAACTCTTACTTAAAATAATTTCATTAAAAACTTGCACATTTCAATTCAAGGGAGCAGTTGTGAATAGTAGTAGTATCTTCATTACAATACTCCTTACATTTGTATTTGTCCCAGCGTCTTTGAGCATGCATCCCCGGGTATCCAGTATATTGTCTCCATTTTGTTACCAAAAATAACCTGGTGCCATTCCCCACATGCTCTGTATCTCCAGGGCTCTCAGTTCGGTTAACCTACCCTAAGCCTGGATCCATTTCCCATGGTTCTCGCGTTCTCAAATTACCTGCCCCTGATCTTCATTAGCCGATTTCATTTGCTACGCTATGCTAATTAAAATGCGAGTTACAAACCAACATTTTTGGGGTTGGTGATATAAACAACATGGCGGCCAGTCTCATTGATTACGATAGAGTTTGTGAGAAATTCAACAATGAAAACGTGATTGAACAGAAAGAACTCATCTTTCTGACGGAAAGGATGTCTTCATGTCCACCTCCCTTACCCTTTTCCTTTTTCCTTATCTCAATGTTTGATTGGTCGGTTAAATGTTGATGAAAATCAAGGGATGGTAATTTAAGATTGCTAGGACCACGGGAATGGATCCAGGGGTTGGTGCAGGTTTACGAAATGCTAGCCCAGGAGATATAGAGGAAACACTCGCCATTATATGTTTATTTGGGAACCAATGTCAGTATATCATCTCTCCAATCACCATCTTAGCACAAAATAGAGTTTTATCATTGGACGGCTATTTTTAACCTTGTACTACTAATCAGGCTCAAAACAAAGATGTGATAGCAAAAGGGTCCAGGGTCCCGTTCCACAAAGCGATCGTAGCGCTAAGACTGCCATAGGTCTCTTTTAAAGTATGGTTGTTACGATCGTCTTAGCGCTGCGAGCTTTGTGGAATGGGGCCCTGGGTATTTATCGTAATAGATTGGCTAGATAATACACTGGATGATGGAGGATGTTGAGCTTGCAGAGTTGTCTTCTCTTTCTTCTTCAATAGTGATGAGGTTATGGTGACGTTGCAATGCCAGGATTGCATTGATGTGTCTAATAATGTAATGCTGGTTCATCATTTGGTTAGGAGTTCAGATTTGCTCAGTTTGTCTTCATTTCATTGTAAGTATACTGTTGGTATTCATGAAGATCTAACAAGTCTTTAGAATTGTCAGACTTTGGTTTTATTCAGGCAGCAAGGCTTTGATATTTTAAAACTTCTGAGCTATCTTTTACAATGTATTTAGACAAGATTATGAATATAAAACTCATGGATTTTACTCTGCTCATGAGAATGGGAAATTTTATTTCATGAACCCGTGAACAGGACACTGTACATATTGTAATAAATAAATGTACATGTATGATAAATTCATCTTGTCGTCTATGTGGGAGCTTAAAGTGGCTGTGTATCATTTGTAAAATAATTTCAAAGAAATATGTATTTGTGTATGTTCTCAGAAAATAATTATTTTAGCTTGCACCTGTCAAGTGAGCTTACTATCTGTGATATTGTGAACTCTTCTATCTGAATAGCAGTTTCTCATGTTTCCATCGTCTGTTAGCTGTGAAATTGATGATGCAGTGTTATGCAGTATATTCACTCACTAACGCATGTATCAAAGGTGAGTAGCCTTCCTTTGACCAATATGGTCTTGGGCCTACAGTCCTTGTGACAGAATTTCCTTTTCTCCATCATTTTTGTCATGAATCATTGGCCTTTGATGATACTATTAACATACTCCTAAGGCCTTTAGTTGTGAAAATAGTCTATCCAGGCTACTGAAGCGAATTGAGCGATAACTTTGAACTTGTGTGTATTCATGACCTTTTATTTCATCACTACTTTTCCTATTTTGTCAACTTTCATTTTTTCTTACATAAAGTTACATTTACCTGAGTATTGGATATAATGCAACACTCATCCTCTTCAGATACCTTTTTGTAACAACTAGTGTACAAGCCTTTACTTGTTAGGTATGCTCTGAAACAGGTAACAAAACAGTTTCTAATGGGTTTTCGTTTATATCTCTATTGTCAGTTACTGAAGCATATTAAGCTCACTAGGGCACAGCACAAGTAGGCATAAGCCATGGCCTGTTTCTCCATCTGTTGGTCGAGGCATCTGCAATCTTGAAGCTGAATGCTGGTTTACATCAATTATAAGTTTCCTTTGCATATTTCAAATTTACTCTCAAGGTTATGTTAGACCGCCTCCGTGGTCTAGTGGTAGAGCGTCCGCCCGGAGAGCGGAAGGTCCGAGGTTCAATTCCCTGTCTCGTGTCATACCAAAAGACGTTAAAAGATGGTACTTGTTGTTACCCTGTCTGGCTCGGCATTAAGGGGCTACAACAAGGACTGGTCGGCTCGGAGTCAGTATACCGTGTCTGAGTGGGGTATTCATGTTAAACTGCGGCATGGTATCTCAGTGGGCTAGCACTATAAATCGGCATCAGTCCGGACTGGTATAAGCAGTCACACACACAGACAGACACGTGCATGCACGTCGCTATATAAGTGCAATAATCTTAAACACGACGTTAAACTCCATTCCACCTCAACTCACCTCACCCCAAGTTTATTTTAGGACAAGGGTCACCCTCGTTGCCTGAATTTGCAGTGCAGGGCTATGTCCCTTAGATCTGTGGGGTGTTGCTTCAAATCTCTGATTCATCCTGACTTTGATTCTTGGATTGTTAGCACTATATCAGGGCCTTGTTCCACAAAGCAAATCTTTAAGCTAAGGTGATCATAACTCCTATGCTTTAACATTGTTACGATCATCGTAGCACTAAGACTGCTCTGTGGAACGGGCACATCTGCTTGTGGATTTCAACAAAGTGGTAAATGTTGAAGACATTTATCTCATGTTATCTGAGAGATTTTGATATATTTACAGTCAACGTCACTTTGAAAGTTGTTTGAAAAGGACCAATGAAACTGGAACTTCAAATGCTTCATCTCACAATGAAGACTCCTTGATTCGTTCACAAGGCTCAAATCCATATTTCAATATGGCCACCGCAGCAGCCATATTTGAACACCTACATAAGGCAACTAGTACTGTAAAATATCAAGTGCTGACATGGCTAGAACGTAATGGCAGAGAGTGGATAGCCCTTGTATCTAGGAACACTGGATGGGTCAGTTCTAGAAGGTTTGTATTTTATCTTCTTGCCAAGTGAAGATTGGATGGCTATTTGTAAACACTGACTTCCAACACTATTCAAGATTAAAGATGTTTGACAGTGACAAACTTCTTAACGTTTGTGAGTGCACTTACATTAATTCTAGGGCATGTTAATTATTATCACTCCCCAAGGAATGGGGCCGGGGATATAGGAACGGATTTTGTCCTTCCGGTTCTCCAAGGGGAAAATTTTCTCAAAGACTATTTAAGTCAAAGAAATGAAATTTTACACACTAATATTACTGTCACGATCTTAAATGAGTTCAAAATTGGTGTCTTCTATTCATTGTTTTACAGAGTTATCTTCCTTGTTCAGTACTATTCAGCTTAGTGCATACTGTGTGAAATCGGGGCAAGTTTTCTCAGGAACCACTGAAATTACATGAATGAAAATTTGCTTATATAAGAGGTACTGGTCAAGACTGAGTTCGAAAATTGGTGCTGTTTACAATTGTTTACAGAGTTATGGCCCTTGCCCCATGCTTTTCAACTTTTCTCAAACTACTGATGTTACATGAATGAAACTTTGCATGCTTATCTATGAGATACATGTGAAGACTGTTTGAAAATTGGTCCTGTATTTCTTTTTTCTCCAGAGTTACTTCCCTTTCCACATTTTTAGATTTTGAGCATACAGGTATCCTTGATCCATGTTGTTTTACAAAGTGCATAGTGTCTGCAATTGAGAATTTTTTTCTCAGAAAGTCCTGAAGTTTGCTTATCTAAGAGATACTTTTCAAGACTGTTCGAGATATGGTGCCATAAGTTGTTTTTTTCCAGAGAAGGAGCCTTTTGTGTGTATTAAATCAAATTTAATCATTTGTCTGATGACATAAAGCGACCCTAGTGCGCATCTCTTCTTAAGGCTTTATAGGACTCTTTTTTAAAGTTTATATTCACTACTATATGAACAAACAAAATACCAATGTGCCCCGTGGCGGGGGATAGTGATAACGCTGTTTTTCCTGTTGCTGCTGCCACTCATTTTACCCAGCTGCCCTTGTTATTGTAAACCTAAAGCTGTGTTTCAATCTAATGTACTGATTATTCCTTGATAGTGTTTCATCATTGAATGATTTCACAATTTAGTTCTGTACGTACCAATTTCAGTGTTAACCTTTGTGTTTCAGTATGGAAATCACATTGTAACTGAAATTGGGGGCTCATCCAGCATGTGAACATTTAACTTGCTGAAAATTCTCTAATTGTAATCCAAACATTTCAATGCGAGTGTTCATTCTACACTTGTTGCTTTACAGAGAAATATTGTGAAATCAATATCTTCAATATGGAATTTTGGGATGAGACTTATTTTGAGTCTCCAAGTGGGGAAGGAGGGAGGGAATCAGTGTTTTGAAGAAATCAGTGTGTTTGCCCTAGCTTCTTGTTATAGCCTTGATGTGAAGCCTTAAATGAGTAAAAAGTGAAATTAAGAAACTTGATGTGAAATTAGCTCACCTTACTCCAGAACAACAGACAATTGTCAGAATTATTTCACAAATTTGTCCATTTGTTACTGGATATACGTTGTCATAATAATAGTTGGCCTATTTATATTGTGCTATATCCACACCACAGGGACATGCTCAAAGTGATAAACTATTATTACCCAGGCAATGGTTCAGTGTGCTGCCTTTGAGGAGCTAGAAGGTTAACAACCACATTGCCATCTCATCCTACCGGGTACCCATTCACTGCTGGGTCAACAGAGGCACATTTCGAACGCTTGCCCAAGGAGACACCACACGTGTTACATGTGCTTCAGTGTTGGGCAGTACCAAAGCCCAAAAAACTCCCAGGAATCAAGCTTCCAAACACCCATCCAAGGACTGTCCACGACCAATGTTGCTTAACTTCACCTGATTTGTGACTTGTGTGCTGTGCACAGGACCACGTGCCGTCATATTGACTTAGACATGACATAGATGTAGGTGATGCATTGCCTGTGAAACAACATCCATATTGTATGAACCCACTAAACTGAGGCATTCTCTGACATGACGTGCAAGTATATGTCAGGGAACAATATGACTGAACCAAGTGACTGAAAGTGGAGTTCACCATGCATTCTGGTACCCAAATCTGACAACACCTACCTATCACGATGTTGTACCAACCCAACACAGGTGAACTCCTTATCCAAAACAGAGACTTGATGAATGTATCATATATAATTAACAGAATTGGTCCCGCTAAGTTTGTTAATAAGTTGGACCTTTTGGAGGATTATTACCCATCCCACAACTGAACGTGCAAAGAATATTCCAGGTTTTGCTAAACCAGATGGAGATTAAAAGATAATGCCTTTTAGGATGAACAATTCACTTTCTATCTTATAACACCTCTTCCAACAAACAAGATTTCTGGGTATGGCTGGTTGCTACATAAAATGTCAGAATTCCTCTGATGTATTGGCCCCACCCAGTAAGTTGTTGGCCCTAAAGACAAAGTTCCCTTGGGATAACCACCATTGTGTTTTGAACGAGTAAAAGTCATTTTCATGTACTTTCCAGTCTTGAAAACATCAGATATTGAGAACACATGTAAGCTGACAATTGATGCAAGTGTCACCATTAGTCCAGCAACCTTACTATCTTGTCTTGTTAATCTGGACGCCATTAGTCCAGTAACCCCACGACCTTGTCTTGTTAATCTTGACACTATTAGTCCAGCAACCTCAGGACCCTGTCTTGTAAATCTGGATGCTGTTAGTCCAGCAACCCCACTACCCTGTCTTGTTAATCTGGCTACCATTAGTGCAGCAACCTCGCGACCCTGTCTTGTTAATCTGAACACCATTATATAGTCCAGTAACTTCATGACCCTGTCTTGTTAATCTGAACGCCATTAGTGCAGCAACCTCCCGACCCTGTCTTGTTAATCTGGATGCCATTAGTCCAGCAACCACAGGACCCTGTCTTGTTAATCTGGATGCCATTAGTCCAGCAACCACAGGACCCTGTCTTGTTAATCTGGATGCCATTAGTCCAGACACCTCACAACCCTGTCTTGTTAATCTGGATGCCATTAGTCCAGCAACCACAGGACCCTGTCTTGTTAATCTGGATGCCATTAGTCCAGCAACCACAGGACCCTGTCTTGTTAATCTGGATGCCATTAGTCCAGCAACCTCACAACCCTGTCTTGTTAATCTGGAAGCGATTAGTCCAGTTTACCCCACAACCTTGTCTTGTTAATCTGGACGCCATTAGTCCAGTAACCTTACTATCTTGTCTTGTTCATCTGGATGCCATTAGTCCAGCGACCTCACGACCCTGTCTTGTTAATCTGGACGCCATTAGTCCAGTAACCCCACGACCTTGTCTTGTTAATCTTGACACCATTAGTCCAGCAACCTCAGGACCCTGTCTTGTAAATCTGGATGCTGTTAGTCCAGCAACCCCACTACCCTGTCTTGTTAATCTGGCCGCCATTAGTGCAGCAACCTCGCGACCCTGTCTTGTGAATCTGAACACCATTATATAGTCCAGTAACTTCATGACCCTGTCTTGTTAATCTGAACGCCATTAGTGCAGCAACCTCCCGACCCTGGCTTGTTAATCTGGATGCCGTTAGTCCAGCAACCTCACGACCCTGTCTTGTAAACCTGGATGCCATTAGTCCAGACACCTCACAACCCTGTCTTGTTAACCTGGATGCCATTAGTCCAGCAACCTCACGACCCTGTCTTGTTAATCTGGATGCCATTAGTCCAGACACCTCACAACCCTGTCTTGTTAACCTGGATGCCATTAGTCCAGACACCTCACGACCCTGTCTTGTTAATCTGGATGCCATTAGTCCAGCAACCTCACGACCCTGTCTTGTAAACCTGGATGCCATTAGTCCAGCAACCACAGGACCCTGTCTTGTTAATCTGGATGCCATTAGTCCAGCAACCACAGGACCCTGTCTTGTAAATCTGGATGCCATTAGTCCAGCAACCTCACGACCCTGTCTTGTTAATCTGGACGCCACTAGTCCAGCAACCTCACGACCCTGTCTGGTAAATCTGGATGCCATTAGTCCAGCAAACTCACGACCCTGTCTTGTAAACCTGGATGCCATTAGTCCAGCAACCACAGGATCCTGTCTTGTTAATCTGGATGCCATTAGTCCAGCAACCTCACGACCCTGTCTTGTTAATCTGGACGCCACTAGTCCAGCAACCTCACGACCCTGTCTGGTAAATCTGGATGCCATTAATCCAGCAACCTCACGACCCTGTCTTGTTAACCTGGATGCCATTAGTCCAGCAACCACAGGACCCTGTCTTGTAAACCTGGATGCCATTAGTCCAGCAACCACAGGACCCTGTCTTGTTAACCTGGATGCCATTAGTCCAGACAAATAAGATCTTGTTAAGCTAAAACCCGTTAGGCCAGTACCCTCGCAACTAGGAATGGGACGATTCAAAATTTACTACCCAAGGTACCCGACCCCCTATGACCCTTACCTGGGTACCCACTGCAGGTCTTAAGAGTTGGGTACAAAATGTCTTATTTGGAATTGTTTTACTGCAGCCCTTGGAAAACCAATTTGATACATGTATCAAACGATCAGATCATGAGTACACTGAAGTTGACTGAAGCTTTATCTTTACTCAAACACATACAAGTCAAAATGAATGTGTGCATCATCAAAAATTCTAATATAAGCGACTTGTAGTCCCTGAGCTATAGTAATTAAACAATATATTACATGACTAACCAAGGGTCCGGGTAGTACAGTGGGTACTCGGGCCTACTCAGGACCCATCCAACCCGAGTTACCTGTCCCAGCCCTACTCGCAACCCAGACGGTGTTGTTGGAAAGTCAGTATATATCTAATACTTCACACAAGATTTGTTTCTCTGGTGCTTTGCCAATATGGATGATTTCATTTGGAATGGTACCTCTGGAAATACAGGGCTTAGCTGTACATACTTGACATTCTGTGATACACAGACTGATTAAGAATATCCCTCAATGTCAGTTTTATGTATGAAGTGTCCTTACTACTGTGGAAGTCACACAGTCGAAGCAAAAACAACAAAAACAGGTAGACTTTGATACATTTACTCTTGATCAGAGATGTGCATCAGCCAAGAGAGCTGCACCAAGTTGCTGCCCGCCAGCTTGCTCACACACCCCAGGACAGTCCACAACGTTACATCCAGGTAGCATGGTACCAAGGTACCTAGGGTAGGGCTGTTGATAGTCCACAATGTTACATCCAGGTAGAATGGTACCAAGGTACCTAGGGTAGGGCTGTGGACAGTCCACAACGTTACATCCAGGTAGCATGGTACCAAGGGTAGAGCTGTGGACAGTCCACACCGTTACATCCAGGTAGCATGGTACCAAGGTACCTAGGGTAGAGCTGTGGACAGTCCACAACATTACATCCAGGTAGCATGGTACCAAGGTACCTAGAGTAGAGCTGTGGACAGTCCACAACGTTACATCCAGGTAGCATGGTACCAAGGTACCTAGGGTAGAGCTGTGGACAGTCCTGGTGGCTGAGAACGCGGTCAGTGCCACACCTCAATGTTTGGCACTAGGGAATAGAAGAGAGATCATACAGTAAGACAGCTTGGCCAGATGCTGCTCATATCTGAACTCGGACGCTTATCTATGGTACATACATACTGGAATCACAATGATGCTTAGCTTTGTTTAAAAGTGCTTAAATTACATAATGCTTAGCATATCTACTTAAGTTCTTAAGTTACATAGATGCTTAGGTCTGCTTGAGTGCTTGCAAGTATGCGTGCCTTCACTTGGATGCTGTGCTCTGCTTGTCTTACTACAAATAGATATAGCGTGTTTATTAAAGTCTTATCTATATGTAAACAGGGGCACTGAAAGATGTGGAGATTTAGCTTCAGCTTGTATAAAGGTGTTGTCAGTTGCCTTAAATAACACAACGCTTTTCTGTATGAATTCAGCGATAATTTGTCCAAAGACAGCATCTGGCCAACTTGCTGCTGCTGGGATAGAACAAAGCCCCAACAGTACCTGAAAGAGTATGGAATAAATAGAAGTGGAGAAAGATGTGCCATATCAGCTCATCACAGAAGAACGATAATCTAGATTTGTAACAGCCGATTGCTGTCAGGATTGTTCTGGAAGGGGTAATACTGGTCATGACGTCCCCCAGAGATCTGGAGGTTCCACTTTCTTCATATCACATGTTCATAATATACATAACCAGCTTAGCTTTTGCATTGAAATATGAACACAACTTGAGTATTTTCAACAGCTTCTTTGATGAACTGTACACTTGCATTTTACACAGACCAACTGAAGGTTGTATCTACACAGTGAAATTGATGTAGTATATCTTAGAAGAATTTTGTACACTTTCTGTACACTGAAGTTCCGTGCGACACCCGGGTGCTGCACTGCACATCTCCTCTTTACAAACAATATTTACAAACTGAAGACAAACATTTACAAATAAGTTCAGCACCATGTATGAAGAGAGTCAGTCCGCGCTGACATGTTTTACTATTGCTGTACACGAGCTCTAGCTGGGAACGATGATCACGTCTACACTGACAACAGTAATGGTGATGAGGATGTTTCTGATGATGATGACGTCCGTGAATATGATGATGACAAGATATGATCTGACGACGAAATGAATAAGCGAAATAATGTCTGACTGAAGCCAGCTGCTAGGGAAATTGCGGAAAGGTCAAGGTCAAGACGCGGGACCGTGTTGTCTTCTTCGTCCTGAGTCGGTGATATCCAACATGGCTGCCAGCGCCCGGCCAGCACAACATGGCGGGCTCCTCATCACACCTGGTCTTCCCATAATGCATAGCATTTTCTGTCCGCTCCATCAGGGCGACATCTGACGTCTGAGCCTGCCCCGACACCAGCATGTGCTGCCATGTCTGTAGTCTGACCAATCAGCATCTGTCAATCATACACACAGGATTATAGGCCTTGTCGACACAAACTACAAAGGACAGCAACAGCAAGAAAGACAGATCGGATTTGACAGACAGGAAAGAAGAAACTTGAATAATGCCTTAATTATCTTTCTTCCATGGCAATCCAAGAAAGTTGCAATGGTTTTAGACCTATACTTAAACAGTTACAATAGACCATAGATGTTGTCGAGTTACATGTCTCTCAGTATCATTCTAGCGGGGACGCTTATCATAGACAGTCTACCTGTACCATGTCTGTAACGTTATTCTGCTCAAACATAAATGAGTTCCCTTTCTTGGGTACAACATTTTCTACTTACAAACTTACTTTGAGGCTCCAAGCTGAAACTAACCAACATATGCAAGCACATTTTCAAAACTTTCGAAAATTGAATGACCATCTTAATTCAGGACTTTATTGATTTAATAATTGACAGACACATCCGACATGGTGCTTTCAAAGTCATTGTCAATTTCAAAGTTTCAATCAGTTAACACTTCCAATCAATTAACACTTATGACCTGAAGGAAACTACAAAAATATTTACATCACTCTCTTAGAAATCACTTACATCAAACTCTATGGAGGATATTACATGCAAGAAAATAAGATCAATAAATAGCACTTAGTGGCAAGACATGCATTTTAAACTAACTTTGAGAAAAACTTAGCCAGTAAGCTTGTACACGCTAATTATTTCCGATGATTTGCTCGCAATACAACATCAAACAGGAGGATTTTTACAGTGCAGAAAATAGCTCACTCGTGAAACCAATACTGTCAATATATTGCTATTTCTGGGATGAATATGGGACATGATGTGTGGTCAGTATAGTGCAAGCCACAGCGTTAGAGTTGTCTCCTCCTTGAACAGCTGAATGAAAGCCAAATGTTTCTAATGACCTAACTATCTTATCCACGAAGTGACCTTAGCACTACGAATGTCATCACTTATACATTGGCTTACTATAGATGTAGAGCGTGAATCACCCATGCTTTAAGAAAATGGATATAATTTCTTCTAAATTGAATTTCCAGAGTAATGTAAGATTTATTTCACTGATGTGAGTGAAAAAATATAGTGATGGAATGAGAAATCCTTACATTTTTTTCCTCTAAAGCAAATTTTGATGACACCATTTCCAAAATATTCTTTTGAATCAATCAATCCAATGATCAATCCTTAGACTTAATCTGAATGTGTGGACCGTATGATCAATGCAGGGGAAACATACTTTTTCGACATTTTATTTCTGTTAAACCAATAACTTTAAAAAATATCAAGAAGATTTTATCACTTTTCAGCAATAATGTACTATCACCATCATTAACTAACAGTTTTTCTAATGCACTAATTGTTTAAAATCTACACAGTTGGTACATCAAAAGAAATGGCTCCTAACTTCTCCAGAATAAATACTTGAGAGTGTTGAAGGAAATGATAGTATTAGACTGAAAGAGAAAGATTAGAAGATGTAAAATAAACCACATATAGCACAGACAAACAAGCACACAACAAGACGGACGCACGTACGTACGTACCTACGGACTGAACATTATCGGCCTAACCAGCCATGGGTATCATCTGATCAGAGAAAATCAGGACATTGAGGAAATAACAGCAAGCTACTGGTGACGGCATGTACACTGAAGGTTACAGCATGTGCACCTACAACGGCGATCAACAACCAACTTATTTCCATACAAGGTATGAAAATACAGTCGAGGAATAAGAAAGGATTATTGCATTTTGATATGTGTTAGTGCTTAGCAATTCTGACACTCTGATGATTTTAAGGAAATAGATGATTGAAGTCTTTTCAAAATCGACTGTTAGTGTAAAAAACGGAAAGGAACAAAAATGGGAGATTGCCGTTCAGTAACATGCTTGTCATCAGTGTCATATTGAGTTCCGAACTTGTCACAATTTAAACATATCTTAAGAAGAATTACAATGTGGAAGTTGTATACATATTTGCAAACTGGACATCCTTTTATCAATCTCATTAAAATCACATCTTTTACTCTCTGTGATACGATATCTTTCCGGTTGAAGAACTGACAACCACTCCAAAAAAGGTTGTTTCATATTCACTTTTAAATCAGCCAATCAGCATCGAGGCTTCTAAATGTTTTGTAAAAGTGAGCGAAGCATTCATAAAAGCATGTCTGATTTAGTATCTCAAAAATAAACTTAAATGGAAAGTTCTGAATGTAAATAGTAAAATCTGCTATTTGAGAGACATGGCATCTACACCCAATAGGGAGTACCATCAAGGAATATTTGGGTTGAGTGTGGTTTTCTTTTATAAAGCTGATTCCTTTAGAAAGCTTACATGTATCCCATTGCGTCAAGAACCCATCACATCCTTCATTTAGTGTGGGCACCAAATTTTACTTTGCTTTACGTGATTATAGCTTCCGTTAAAGAATCGACAGATCTTCACGCAGCGAGGTATTGTATCAGAGAGTAAGATCTTTTGTGTAATGAGATTGTCGTTTTCTCTCTGTGTCTCATGAGTGAGCAAGTGAATGTTGTGTCATATTTCAGTCAGCAATATTCAAGCTGTATCACAGCAGCCTGTAGATAATTGAGTCAGGTCCTGGTAAACAATGGTTAATAGTATGTGCAACGATACATACCACACGGTACAATGATACAAAATCAGCCAGGTAGCACCCTCATTTCAAATTGAGCCAGTTTTACAACAGGTACCTTTTCTCAGCCCTGACTGTATTGTAACAGGAAGGGGAATGGGTGCTGCAGTCCTGGAAATATTTTCACTTGTATGAATACTTTTCTTGATAAGTATCTTTTTTCTCAATCCCAAATTTGAAAAATGGAAATTCACTATTGAGTTTTATCATTATTTATCAGGTGTTTGAGTTGGTTGTTTTATTCAATCTGCTCACTAGGCGGGTTCCGTTACCATGGAAGCATATGACATCATCCATTATATCATGATTCATTCCATCCCAGGCCGAAATTATGCGTGAGAGGTCATGTTGAGAGAGTGCTATGGAAAATTACTTGTATTTTACATTGTTGATAGAAATATTTTCAGATTATGGGTGTTATTGTGTGTTGGAAAACTGGAAAGTTTTACATTTGAAACATTTAGCTAACACTGTCAGTTCCAAATTAAATTTCAAGGCATCGCCACTCAAGAACGACAACAAATCTGAAAACATCTAAGGACATTGTTGCTCACACTATCAACCACTGGTTTGTCTTTAACTGTCTCCATTACCTTTTCAGGTGCTGTGACATAGCTGTAACATTGTCAGTCACAGAGTTAGCCATCATTCACCCACTAACACAGTGAGAGAAGAGATCACAAGAGTTGACTGTGTCAATAACATGTAGTATACCTATTGGTCCATTTGTCACTGGTGATATCAATGTTGTTGCATTATTACATCAGTGTGTTTCTCAAATGCAGGCAGTGTGCGAAATAGTCTCAGAATTTTTCTAGACATTTGGGCTAGCTAGCCTTAAAAGTTACCAGACAGTTTCAAATTTCACTAGCTTATATCCGACAGTTTATTGTTCCAGACATTTGATTCTGCGAAAGTATAAAAAAAAGTAAACCCAAATTGCAAATCTTGAGTCAAATATAATGAAGGGGGCAACTCTGATCTTGCAACCTTGCTTTGTTACGGTTATTGATTTGGTTGTCTGATGATCAGGAGAACTTTTGATATTTTCATCCACCACCAGCAAGAGTTGTGTGAAAAAATCACCATTACAAGGCACATTTCAGAATCTTTAGTCCAACTGTAATTTAACTAGCCACAGCAAGAGGGCAGGCAGCTATTTTGCACACTGGCTACAGGTGAGTTTTCTAATCTGGTAGTTGAAGGTCCAGAGGAAACTTTGAGATAAGTTTCCATCGCCTATACTTCACAGGTTTGCATACACTACGTTCCTTCACCATCAGTGAATACATACTTTGCAGCAACTATGCTTGTCGTCAGGGCGACTAATGGGATCAGGTGGTCAGGCTCGCTGACTTGGTTGATGCATGTCATCATATCCCAATTGTGTGGATCAATGCTTATGATGTCAATCACTGGATTGTCTAGTCCAGACCTGATTATTTACAGACCGTCATCTTATAGCTGGAATATTGCTGGATGCGGCAAACTTTGTGGTGTCGTCCCTTTGTTTAACCAATGAATCAAGCCAGGGCCTGGTTCCAGTGAGAGGGAAATCAGCGAGTGCTCATCCCATTGAAGGCTCAGATTACCTCGCACAAATGGCAATATTTCTTGTGCCACATAGCTCCAGCTTGTGGTTATCTATTCTACACACAGAGTGGTTGGGTAGCCTAGTGGTTAAAGCGTTCACTCGTCACGCCGAAGATCCGGGTTCAATTCCCCGACATGGGTACAATGCGTGAAGCCCATTTCTGGTTTCCCCCGCCGTGATATTGTTGTAATAATGCTAAAAGCGGCGTAAAATCAAACTCACTCACTCACTACTCTACTTCAATATCAGGCAACAGTAGGATTTGCACAAAGTGGAAGCATGGATTAAGTTGACTTCACTACTTCATGCATAAACTGCCTCATACATTCGCTGCCTCATATATACACTGCCTCATTTATCTCTTGACTAAAGGGGTGGTGGGGTAGCCTAGTGGTTAAAGTGTTTGTTTGTCAAGCCTAAGTCACGGGTTCGATTCCCCACAAGGGTACAATGTGTGAAGCCATTTCTAGTGTTCACTGCCGTGATAATGCTGGAATATTGCTAAAAGTGGTGTTACACAATACTCACTCACTCACTCTTGACTAACAGCATCACATATCGGCCCCATGTATTCATGGGTGATGGAGAAACATAGTGAACATAAACCTGGGAAGTATTGACAATGGAAGGCTTCTTATATTCTTATATCAGCATCACCTATCATCAAATTACAATAAAGTAATTTAAGATCCTCGTGTAAAATTTGTTTAACAACTCACTCAATAGAATAAGAACCACAACATTATTTAAGATGAAAGTTTCCCTTTTCATCATGATACTCACTTCGAAACTTTGAAGAATTTCTTTGGCTTATGGAGCCAACTGGAATCCAGAAGCCTCCGAGACCGTTTCTTGTCATCAGTTGGCGAGGCAGGTGCCCCCTCCCCTTCCGAACTGGTGGAAGAAAACCGCTGGGAAGCGGGCGGAGAAGTAGAGTCCGAACGCTTTGATTTGCGGAAAACCACACCTTTTGTTTGTGATTCAGGTTCTACTGCATGAAGTGTCACACCTAGGTCAAATGACATTGATTGTTGACAAAGCACACCAATGGTCCCCATTTTCTTTTTCTTGCCTCCTTCTGAACGTTTGTGTAACTTTGGCGAAGGCAGTTTACTGAAATCGACTTTGTGTCCTGATCTCGGTGACTTTGGGAATGCAGGTTGTTCCCCATGAGTGGGTGAGAGGCTTGCGGAGGCTTGTTGAGATGAAGACGATGATAATGTTTCTTGAGAGACAACAGTTATTTCGTCGTCATGTTCCGGTTTTTTCCCTGTCTTACTTTGTGTTTGCTCGCTGGCACTATAGGTGGCGCTCCGGTCCCTCTGAGCGCACTCCAGCGAGGCCTGTCTCTCTGTCCCGAACAACAATGGCATGGATTGATGGTTTGTGGGACTTATAGTTGAATCTGGTTTCAAGGAGCTGTCACTAGATATCACAGAACTTGGGTCATGGAGTGCCCCCAGCTCACAAGACCTGCGTTGTGAGGGAGGCACTCGGCTTTTCTCTCTTTTCCGGTATTCTCTGACTTCTGAATCGGAGAAAGTCCTTTCAGGGGAAGACTTCGGACTAGGCGAAGTGTCAAACACTTCTGCTAGTTTCTTAACCTGTCCATCATTAGTCACATCTTTCAGGGGGACAATGAACTTATGCTCTGGTCCACTGGGAGAGGAAAGTTTGCGTACAATATGCGAAACAAACTCGGATTGAGTGCGCGGAGAATCACTTCTTTGTAATGATAATGAGGAATTATTTTTGGAAGAATCCACACTTTTTGTGGGTGTGCCCTCTCTTGATAGTCTTTGTACCATGGTTTGTACATAGCTTGCGGAGATGTTTTCTTTGTCATGGCTCTTTGCCCTTTCTTGTTGTTGCTGTCGGCCTTCCTCTTCTTTGAGGTAGCGTTGGCGCAGGCGGGCAGAGTACACGGTGTGGCCACTCCGGTACCGCTGACTCTCCTTTAGGAGCTCCGCGGCCGGCTTGAGGCGACGCACCGGTGACACCAAACCCACCTGCGGCAGGTACAGCGTCGGACTTGGGGTTTTCCGTAACTCGAAAGTGTGCTGCGCTGTCTCGCAGACAGTGGCACGTTTCTCAAACTTCTTGATCATGTCTGACAATGGTTTATCATCGCCTCCACTCTGATGGGAGATTTCGCCTGCACTATGTGATCGGACCTCAGGATCTAAATACGCACGAGGTCGTGGGGAATGTGTGCTCACTGGTGTGCTTTGTGTGAATGGTGGCAGTGGTGGTTTTGCCGCAGTAGCGCCGGACTCTGACTTTGGGGAGGTGCTCCCGCTGTCCTCAGTTTCCCTGTGTGGTGCATCCCGAGCTCTCGCTGGGTGCTGGGACTTAATCTTTGGACTCTGAGCAGGTTTCCCGTGGACTGTAATATCTACATCTTGAGTAGTCTTGTGCACAGGACCACTCTCAACTTTATACGATTCTACTGATGTAGGCATTTCTGTACACTTCATCACAGTTTCAGTCGGGGAATATTCATCATCAATGATCTTGGCAGACTTGACGAGTCTGGGTTTGTCCAGACCTCGAAGCCGCTCTGGAATGGGTTCATCAGGGGTCTCTGTTACTTGTTGCGACTGGCTGGAAGCAGCGCCCTCAGAGGTTCTACTCACTGGTTGCTTAGCAACACACGTCTCCAAAGTGGGAGACCCCTTCTCCACTTTAGGGACATTTAACTCAGTCTTTGATATATCCTTGGGCAGAGAAACAAGTGCAGTAGGCAAACTAAGAGTGCATACTACTTCAAGGTTATCATCATGTATAGAAGCTTTGCGTTCTAGAGGCGTTTTATCACTTCCTTTCGTGGTTTGCAAGTGTTTTTCAACATTGTCAGTGGTTTGTTCATCCTGTTCTAAAACAGATTTGGAATGAATTCTGTCCCGATCAGCAGACGACACTGACACAACACCATCAGCCGGCTGTCGCTCAATAGGCTCTCTTACTTTTTCTTGCTTCCTCGTTTCCAAAGCTGAAAGAGAGAAAATGTCATGATGATATTCACTTTGTTCAAACAAATTCTAACTTCATGTTATTTTCATTATCAGACATTTACAAAGTCTCAGCATTTTTTGGTGTTTCTATTGAATTTTTAGTAAAAGTCTTTGGAACAAAAAGTTTACAAAAGAATACAAGAATATTTTGTTGAATATCAAACTGCATTTATATATGAGGGCAAACCCAATAAATATTAATTTGTTTGTAAGTCATGTACAGCATCACTTGACCAAATCCATTTGACTGAATATGTATTTCAATTTATTGACACAAAAAAAACACCTAATATTTTCACACTAACATTATGTTCATCAGGTAAACATACTTTCTTTTTCTATTCACACAATTTTCAGCAGCAAATGACAGGTCCCCCATATACATTGTATTCAGATAGGGCAAGGGCAGGCAACTCTGTCTACCTTGTATGTTTTTTATCAGTGTGTATGTAACAGAAGGGTATTTAACCTTATTCATACAGGTTTCACTGAGATGCAATTTTAATGTTTGTCACAGGAAGTTTGGTATTTTATCTTCCAAACAGGAATGGGAAAAAATGCAAATTGCTTTCAACATTTCAACTTACCTTTGTTTTTTTCATTCCTTGAAGCATGCAGTCAAAAGATGAAGAATTGTCAGATTGTTTATCAGGTTTACCTACACTCATATATACACCATCATCCACTACATAAACACTCATATACAACTCTTTGTCCTTACATACACTCATATACAACCCCTTCAACCTTGCTTGCGCTCATATACCACCCTTCATCCTAACATGTACTCATATATAACCCTTCCATACCCTCATATACCACCCTTCATCCTTCCATACACTATTTACCACCCTTCATCCTTCCATACACTCATATACCACCCTTCATCCTAACATGTACTCATATACCACCCTTCCATACCCTCATATGCCACCCTTCATCCTTCCATACACTATTTACCACCCTTCATCCTTCCATACTCTCATATACCACCCTTCATCCTTCCATACACTCATACACCACCCTTCATCCTTCCATACACTCATACACCACCCTTCATCCTTCCATACACTCATATACCACCCTTCATCCTTCCATACACTCATACACCACCCTTCATCCTTCCATACGCTCATACACCACCCTTCATCCTTCCATACACTCATATACCACCCTTCATCCTTCCATACACTCATATACCACCCTTCATCCTAACATGTACTCATATATAACCCTTCCATACCCTCATATGCCACCCTTCATCCTTCCATACCCTCATATGCCATCCTTCATCCTTCCATACACTCATATACCACCCTTCATCCTTCCATACACTATTTACCACCCTTCATCCTTCAATACACTCATATACCACCCTTCATCCTTCCATACACTATTTACCACCCTTTATCCTTCCATACACTCATATACCACCCTTCATCCTTCCATACACTCATATACCACCCTTTATCCTAACATGTACTCATATATAACCTTTCCATACACTCATATACCACCCTTCATCCTTCCATACACTCATATACCACCCTTCATCCTTCCATACACTATTTACCACCCTTCATCCTTCCATACACTCATATACCACCCTTCATGTACTCATATATAACCTTTCCATATGCTCATATACCACCCTTCATCCTTCCACACACTCATATATCACCCTTTATCCTAACATATCCTCATATATACTGTATTCGACTTAATAAGCGCCCCGCTCTAATAAGCGGCAACGGCGATATTTGCTAATATATTGGCTAATGAACAATCCCAATCAGCACCCCTTCCGATTGATCAATGTACAAAAGACTTATTTATTCGCATATAATACACACTCATGTGTTATATGCATCCTCAATTATGGGCAATTAAATTCTGGAAACAAATATATGTCGTATATAAACATTTCAGGCTGTCAGCATAAACCATGAAATTTATCTTTCAACTCAGTTTTTTTCACCAAAATATTATTCTAATAAGAGCCCCCTATTTCTAATTTTGAGAGCGCCCTGGGCACTTATTACATCGAATACAGAAAGGCTTTCATACGCTCATATACCACCCTTCATCCTTCCATACACTCATATACCACCCTTCATCGTTTCATACACTCATATACCACCCTTCATCCTTTCATACACTCATACACCACCCTTCATCCTTTCATACACTCATACACCACCCTTCATCCTTTCATACACTCATACACCACCCTTCATCCTTCCATACACTCATACACCACCCTTCATCCTTCCATACACTCACACACCACCCTTCATCCTTCCATACACTCATACACCACCCTTCATCCTTTCATACACTCACACACCACCCTTCATCCTTCCATACACTCATATACCACCCTTCATCCTTTCATACACTCATACACCACCCTTCATCCTTCCATACACTCATACACCACCCTTCATCCTTCCATACACTCATACACCACCCTTCATCCTTCCATACACTCATATACCACCCTTCATCCTTCCATACACTCATACACCACCCTTCATCCTTCCATACACTCATACACCACCCTTCATCCTTCCATACACTCATACACCACCCTTCATCCTTCCATACACTCATACACCACCCTTCATCCTTTCATACACTCACACACCACCCTTCATCCTTCCATACACTCATACACCACCCTTCATCCTTTCATACACTCATACACCACCCTTCATCCTTCCATACACTCATACACCACCCTTCATCCTTCCATACACTCACACACCACCCTTCATCCTTCCATACACTCATACACCACCCTTCATCCTTCCATACACTCATACACCACCCTTCATCCTTCCATACACTCATACACCACCCTTCATCCTTCCATACACTCATACACCACCCTTCATCCTTTCATACACTCACACACCACCCTTCATCCTTCCATACACTCATACACCACCCTTCATCCTTCCATACACTCATACACCACCCTTCATCCTTCCATACACTCATACACCACCCTTCATCCTTTCATACACTCATACACCACCCTTCATCCTAACATATACTCAACTTAACCCATGATGATAACACCAGGTATACACAGTTGATCTTAATACTGCCATATTAAATACAAGTGTGTTGTTCTAGGCTAGACTGCAGTATTTGGCTCCCCAAACGATTTTATGGACATTGTCGAAAGAAAAACTTCCATACATGCACAGTTTTTTATTTCCAGTTGAAGCAAGAGGATTCGCTGGCCGTCTTTTTTTTCAGATAACACAGGGTGGTTTGTTGAAATTTTTGTGAAAGTAGGAAATTGGGGGAAAGGTGGAATTCGGACTACGATAAGTTCATTCTGCCTCTGGAACAATATGTTTTGTTACACGGACAAAATAGGGCAGCGTGTGGGGGTGAGGTACTGGGAAGAGTGGTGCAACCCACATTTACGCAATATTTAAAGTAAAAAACGAGGTAAGTTCATCCATGAATGCATATGAATATTCATGGGAAAATTATTATTGATACTTCCTCATTCAAACTAATCATTTCAGGCGTTGACTACATCTGGAACGTCAAATAAGTGTGGATCCATGTAGACCTAGTTCAGTTTCTTTTTCTGCTGTTTCAACATTTTGAAAAAAACATTCATTTTGCTTCTAAGAATTTGTAAACACAGCTGATGAACTCAGAAACTTAATAAAAGTATCAACTGAACAACTGAAATATTTTTTTCTGATAAATGTATTCAACAAAATAACTGTCATACATTCCCTTATTTGTCCCATACCTAGGCAAAGGTGCCTTCATTGCTCTCCAAGTCGATTCTATTTCAAGTCCGGACTTTCATTTTTGTGGTAGCCTCGGTAGCTGAGTGGGTTAGATCGCTGACTTTGTGTGCTGGCGATTAGGTGCCTCACCCTGGCAGTGTGAGGACTCAACCCCAAAAAAGTATAAGAATCTGTACTTTACAAAGAAAGTGGTATCCCAAATATAACATTTGCTTCTGAATTTACAATTCCACAACATGAGCAAAGTGGCATTCGTAGTAATGACACGTGACGTCTTACGTCATTTATGTTCCGCCAATAAACAATGCGAAGTCGACACCACAAGAATACGGCTTCACTTTCTATCGTAAAACTCTCGGCCCCCACATGGGCGGAGTTTTAGACCATACTTTTAATGTCCAGCTCATTTGGGGGGGCCTTTGGGCTAAAAAATGCCTCTTAATGGATTTCGGCATGCTGATGCATGCGCATTTATATATAAGTAAAACTATGGAAACTGCCAAAGTTGGGACCCAAATACTGCAGTTGACCTGTTGTCCTAGACCTAGACATAAGTATTCTGACTCACCTGTTTTTGATGGAATGGAGTCACGTTTCTCAGGCGGCTGAGAGCTGTCATCACTGGAAGTCACTTCCGACTCCTTCAAACTCATAAATCGCTGCAGTGGTGGCCGATCTGCCTCGCGGCCCTCCACCTGAAACAGAACAATTCAGTTGAAGTTCATAGTCTCCCACACTGGTGTAGGCCTTTGGAAAGGATTGAGTGAGTATGGTTTTGTGCCGCTTTTAGCAATATTGCAGCAGTATCACAACAGGCGACACCAGAAATAGGCTTCACACATTGTACACATGTGGGGAGTCGAACCCGGGCCATTGATGTGATGAGTGAACGCTTTAACCACTCACCTACCCATCATCACCTTTGGTACAGAAATGAAATAACCATGGATGGCTATCACTAAAGGAGGGCACATCTCCTGAACAGCCATTGTACAAGCTGAGATACCATGCCGCAGTGTAACATCAATACCTCCCTCACAGTAAACTGACTCTGATTCATATTCATTTCTTTACCACCTCAAATCAGAAATTTGATCTTAGCAAAAGAAAACCACGACGGAACACAAACATACCCTCGATAGTACACCCTTTTAAAACCATGATGGAACACAAACATACCCTCGATAGTACACCCTTTTAAAACTATGATGGAACACAAACATACCCTCGATAGTACACCCTTTTAAAACCATGATGGAACACAAACATACCCTCGATAGTACACCCTTTTAAAACCACGACGAAACACAAACATACCCTCGATAGTACACCCTTTCAAAACCACGACGGAACACAAACATACCCTCGATAGTACAACCTTTTAAAACCACGACGGAACACAAACATACCCCCGATAGTACACCCTTTTAAAACCACGACGGAACACAAACATACCCTCGATAGTACACCCTTTTAAAACCACGACGGAACACAAACATACCCTCGATAGTACACCCTTTTAAAACCACCACGGAACACAAACATACCCTCGATAGTACACCCTTTCAAAACCATGATGGAACACAAACATACCCTCGATAGTACACCCTTTCAAAACCACGACGGAACACAAACATACCCTCGATAGTACACCCTTTTAAAACCACCACGGAACACAAACATACCCTCGATAGTACACCCTTTCAAAACCATGATGGAACACAAACATACCCTCGATAGTACACCCTTTCAAAACCACGACGGAACACAAACATACCCTCGATAGTACACCCTTTTAAAACCATGATGGAACACAAACATACCCTCAATAGTACACCCTTTTAAAACCATGATAGAACACAAACATACCCTCGATAGTACACCCTTTTAAAACCACCACGGAACACAAACATACCCTCGATAGTACACCCTTTTAAAACCATGACGGAACACAAACATACCCTCGATAGCAGACCCTTTTAAAACCACGACGGAATGCAAACATACCCTCGATAGTACACCCTTTTAGGTGTAGATGCTATGGCATTCAGAAACTACATGATATATATATATATATAAATATATTATCAACAACAATATAACTGCAAATTTGTTTGTCTGCATTTGGTACTCCCTGATTATATAAGTTTTCGAGATACAGTGATCAGATATGCTATTCTGAATGCTTCTGTCACTTGTACTGGTAATTTAGAAACGTCAACACTGATTGGCTGTCTCTCCTGACTCCTATGGAGGGCTTGTCAGAACTTCATGCAGAGAGGTATCCGTGTTGTAGTAAAAGATCTGATTTTAATGAGATTGACTTGCCTTACAACTAGGCTGAGATGCTGGGGACAAATTTTCCCAGGACATAGCCATATCTCCCAGGACAATATAGATAAGTAAGGCATAATGCAGCCGAGGCTGACAAGGGTGTGGCAAATAATAGTCATAATTCATAGAATTGCCCAAAACTTACATTATACATCATAACACTGGGAGCAGGATTACACAGGAATAAAACTAAGAGCAGCACTATTACACAGGAATAAAACTAAGAGCAGCACTATTACACAGGAATAAAACTAAGAGCAGCACTAATACACAGGAATAAAACTAAGAGCAGCACTAATACACAAGAAAAAAACTAAGAGCAGCACTACTAGCAGGAATAAAACTAAGAGCAGCACTAATACACAAGAATAAAACTAAGAGCAGCACTATTACACAGGAATAAAACTAAGAACAGCACTATTACACAGGAATAAAACTAAGAGCAGCACTAATACACAGGAATAAAACTAAGAGCAGCACTAATACACAAGAATAAAACTAAGAGCAGCACTACTAGCAGGAATAAAACTAAGAGCAGCACTAATACACAAGAATAAAACTAAGAGCAGCACTAATACGCAGGAATAAAACTAAGAGCAGCACTATTACACAGGAATAAAACTAAGAGCAGCACTAATACACAGGAATAAAACTAAGAGCAGCACTAATACACAGGAATTAAACTAAGAGCAGCACTAATACACAGGAATAAAACTAAGAGTAGCACTAATACACAAGAATAAAACTAAGAGCAGCACTAATACACAGGAATAAAACTAAGAGCAGCACTAATACACAGGAATTTAACAAGGGGCTGCACTAATATGAAGGAACAAAAATAGTAGAAGCACTAATGCACACAAATATACCCAGGAGCAGCACTTATACACAGGAATAAAACTAGCAGCACTAATACACAGGAATATAACTAGGAGCACCAATAAAAAGGAATAATCTACAAGCAGCACTTTTACACAGGATTAAAACTAGGCGCAGCCCTATTAAACAGTAAAAAAACTAGGAGCAGCACTATCACATAGAAATAAAACTAGGAGAAGCACTAATAATCAGTAATAAAACTAGGAGTAGCACTATCACATAGAAATAAAACTAGGAGCAGCACTAATAATCAGTAATAAAACTAGGAGTAGCACTATCACATAGGAATAAAACTAGGAGCAGCACTAATAATCAGTAATAAAACTAGAAGTAGCACTATCACATAGGAATAAAACTAGGAGCAACACTAATTATCAGTAATAAAACTAGGAGCACCACTAATAAAAAGGAATAAAACTAGGAGCAACACTAATACACAGAAACTGCACTACAGCTGCAAAAGAATAAGCTGTAATATGTAGTCTTTCATGTGTATGGAACTTGTAGCCCCAGACTCATATATAACATAATGTTGGAGAGCTGCAACTATCACACCTACATGAGCAGAAGTCTCAGACAGTGCACAAACACCTAAACACAAGACAAAAGGGAGAGAGAGAAGATAGATACGTCAATTACTGAAATACTATGTTCTTGAATTTGACACAAAAATGTGCACTTTTTCAGTGCACCAGGGCAACAGAACCAACATCAATGTTGATTGTCATGGTAAGACTTGCAATACTGCAAAAGGAACTAAACCAGGAGAACTACGAACATCTACAGCAACCAAATAAGGATCAGCGTCAGCATGCTGACAATCTCACCACTCTAACCCCGCGGTCCGCGCCTCCGAATGTGTTCCATCGTTTGACGGTGGCAGGATGGCGAGACTCCTGGTACTGGTAGAGCTCGGACTCGCGGCGTGTGATGTCAGCCTGGAGCAGCAGGTTGTTGACTTCCTGTAGCAGCAGCTGCCGCTTGATGTCCATGATCTCCTTGTTCCGCTGGAGGTGACTCAGGCGGAGGTTGTTCATCTGGAGCAGCAGGGCAATCAATCAGTGTCACAGATTCAATGTCACGTAACAGACAACAATATTACATGTTCGTCAAGACGGGTATGAATATACAGGACCCCGACACACGCTACGTTTCACACTAACTTTGACTTGTTAAAGCTCCAATTCTTATGGTCAAGAGTTTGAGAAAATAAACATGCCTGTTACCTGTAGGTTTGACTGTGTAACATTGAATTTGGAACTGAATGGCAAGGAACACATTCGGCAGACGGTTCTACCAGGCACACTATCTCCGTTATCAGATATTACAAGTTACATTCGGCAGACGGTTCTATCAGGCACACCATCTCCGTTATCAGATATTACAAGTTACATTCAGCAGACGGTTCTACCAGGCACACTATCTCCGTTATCAGATATTACAAGTTACATTCGGCACACGGTTCTATCAGGCACACCATCTCCGTTATCAGATATTACAAGTTACAATTGGCAGACAGTTCTACCAGGAACACCATCTACGTTATCAGATATTACAAGTTACATTGGGCAGACGGTTCTACCAGGCACACCATCTCCTTTATCAGATATTACAAGTTACTTTCGGCAGACGGTTCTACCAGGCACACCATCTCCTTTATCAGATATTACAAGTGACATTCGGCAGACGGTTCTACCAGGCACACCATCTCCTTTATCAGATATTACAAGTTACATTGGGTAGACGGTTCTACCAGGCACACCATCTCCATTATCAGATATTACAAGTTACATTCGGCAGACGGTTCTACCAGACACACCATCTCCGTTATCAGATATTACAAGTTACATTCAGCAGACGGTTCTACCAGGCACACCATCTCCATTATCAGATATTACAAGTTACATTCAGCAGACGGTTCTACCAGGCACACCATCTCCATTATCAGATATTACAAGTTACATTAAGCAGACGGTTCTTCCAGGCACACAATGTCCATTATCAGATATTACAAGTTACATTCGGTAGACGGTTCTACCAGGCACACCATCTCCGTTATCAGATATTACAAGTTACATTAAGCAGACGGTTCTACCAGGCACACCATCTCCTTTATCAGATATTACAAGTTACATTAGGCAGACGGTTCTACCAGACACACCAGCTCTGTTATTAGATATTACAAGTTACATTCGGCAGAGGGTTCTACCAGGCACACCATCTGTGTTATCAGATATTACAAGTTACATTAAGCAGACGGTTCTACCAGGCACACCATCTCCTTTATCAGATATTACAAGTTACATTCGGCAGACGGTTCTACCAGACACACCAGCTCTGTTATTAGATATTACAAGTTACATTCGGCAGAGGGTTCTACCAGGCACACCATCTGTGTTATCAGATATTACAAGTTACATGAGGCAGACCTGGACTTGCAGCTGCATGGCCTGGCTGTACAGCTTCTCAAAGTTGTGTAGAGCAGATGACTTCTGAGAGGCCTCGCCTGCAACACAAACCACTTTCTCCTGACAATACCCGCCAGCCAGTGTCCCTGTTCGTCAGGCCATTTATTCTAGCAGATACAAAACAACGGAGGATAGTGAAGTTTTGGCTTGGCTACACTGGAAACAATAGGATAAAACAAACTAATGACATACTTTCGATGTGTGAATTTGAAAGCCTGAAGAGACAGAACTGTTTGACATATAGTAAGATGTGAATCAAACTGTTACTATTCTCTTTCAAGCTCTACAACCTCCTCAAATATCCTGCATGTAATATCTATATTTTATGACGATAAATACCCTGGACCCATTCCTACCACAACTTTCCTTTCGAGAGTGACATCCCCATCTTCATCCCTCTTATTACTTTTCAGGCGTGGTGGGGTAGCCTAATGGTTAAAGTGTTAACTCGTCGCGCCGAAGACCCGGGTTCAATTCCCCAAATGGGCACAATGTGTGAAGCCGTTTTCTCGTGTCCCCTGCTGCAATATTGCTGGAATATCGCTTAACGCGGCACAACACCATACTCACTCACTATTACTAACTTAGCACAGAATTTCTCTCGCTAATCATCTTGAAATGAACAAGCAATCATGATGAATTGTTTCATAGGCATTTCTTAGAAGTCGACGGATGACAAATTGACATAATTTATGGATAACAACTTCTTTATTGTACTTTAATTACCTTGCAATCATAATGAGTTTAGCAAACACCTACATTCAAAATCACAGTCTGATATGAGGAAGTCCTGGATATATATAATAACCATTAACTTTTAGCTGGAAAAGATGATTTCATGAGTATTAACATTGGGAGACAGAAACCATTATGCTGAAAGACATTCCCAGTTGTATTTGAGACGAGAGCAGCTAGGCAAGTAATGGGGACAACGTCACTTGTTCCAATCAGGAAAGAGGTTAACCTGACTGGACGTTCAAATCAAGCTCAATACGAAACTGTGGTGGCGAATGGATCAAGGGGATATATCGCAATGTGTTACACAGATGTGTTATACATGATAATTAAGGATGCCTAACAGGACTCGGACGGGTAACTCGGGTACTCGGGCAGGGTGGGTCCTGAGTAGGACCCAGGTACCCACACGACTACCTGGCCCCTTGGATAGTCACGTGATATACTGTTCAATAACATTAATAATACTCCATTGTTAAACAAGTATAGCAAATGTTCACATTTATTTCTGACTAAGCAAGCATTTGTTCTGACTTTTATATATTCGTGTAAAGATAAAGCGCCTATCAACTTCAGTGTATGCATGATCAGATCATTTTATACGTGTATCAAAATAGTTTTTGCCAGGGCTGTGGTAAAATAATTCCCATTCGGGAATTATGTACCTAACTTTTGGGGTAGGTCTGGGTAATAGGATGTCGGATAACCGGGTAGTAAATTTGGACTCGTCCAAGCCCTAATGCCTAACATGCGGAATGTGCAAAACTTACGTGACTGCGACGCCTGTAACAGCATGACCCTCATCTGCTCCACCAACTCCATCAGCTGGATGCTGACCAGTTCCTCACCCTCTATACTCTGCCATTTCCCAACCTGCAACACAGCACAGCACACACATCAGGGCCATGCATACACCGACACAGAGAATCCGGGACACAATAGTTGCCCAGTATTTATGTTTATTTGTTGAGCAACTCCATGTTTGGCTGATTAGAACAATTAAAAGATTCCATAACAAGGGTCCAACAAACTGACACTATGAAGTATGATCTTATGTATTAATGTTTGTTTGTTGTTTAACACCGCACTCAGCAATATTCCAGCTACATGACGGTTTTCTGTGAATACTCAAGTCTATTCCAGACAATCCAGTGATGACATCATGAGCACCAATCCACACAACTGGGATACAATGATATGCATCAACCGAGTCACCCGATAACGTTAGTTGCCTCTTTATGACAAGCATAGTCGCCTTTTAAGGCATGCATGGGTTACTGAAGACCTATTCTAAGCTGGATCTTCACGGGTTGTATTGTATGTGGTCAATGGTCACTGCAAACATCTTGTGCAGAAGTAACTACATATACAAGTTATTGTAAAAATATCAAACATTCTTAAACAATGTGAAACAATATTAGTATATTTGTTCCATTCAACTGACCTGCCCGAACAACTTATACCAAATATGTAAAATATGGAGCTACAATTTCTCTAAATTTATATTTCATACAACCCAAGTTGAATGGTCAGCAAAGATTTGTTTGTTTGTTTATTGTTTAATGATGCACTCAGCAATATGCCAGTTATAAGACAGTGGTCTGTAAATAATTGAGTCTGGACTAGACAATCCAGTGATTGACATCATGAGTATCAATCTATGCAATTGGGATGCACCAACAAGTCAGCGAAATTGACCACCAGATCCTGTTAGTCGCCACTTACAACAAGTATGGGTTGCTGAAGACCAATTCTAACATGGATCTTCACAGGAAAGCAAACAGCTGTAAACAATATGATACGGCAGTTTAAAAAAAACCACTTGGTTGAAGTAAATGGACTGTTCGTGCAGGTGCTAGTTCTGGATCATGATGATACCCAGATTGGCATTGTTTATCAGAATCAAGTTAGTTCATCCTAGCTACTTGGTGAAATGGACAAAGTATTTTAATCTGGGCCACAACTGATGTTTCACACAAGAGTTACCTCCCTTACATTTCAGATGGTGAAAGGGTACATGATGATGAATATATTTGCACAAACCAGTGACTCAGTATACACTGTTCACTCCTTACTCTTCTCAATACACATGCCCATGGTCTTAGGAGTTTGGACGAAGATGTCATGCTCTGTAAATAGCTAGGCTCCCAAATATCTGCCACCTTCAACAATTCTCTCGGCGTTCAAGGCCCATTACGCAATCCTAGCATGTTTGAATCCACTCATTCAAAACCTGTTTTGTTTGGCTGCAAACTTTAAGTTTATCATGAAAATCAACTTTGAAGGTAATCAATGTCCAAATTACACAGAGGAAATGTCTCATTATAATACATGGTGCTAATAACTGGTGAGGCTCAGTGGGGTTTAATATCGTGTACAAGATCACTTCACTCACATAGAGACCTGCATGTACCTCTGTGTGTGTGTGTGTGTGTGTGTGCACGTGCGTGCGTGTGTGTGGATGTTTGTACTACTAGCCCTATGAGATACCATACTGTAAGATACCATGGACAACTCAATCAGACACATTAATGACTCCGGACTGACCAGTCTTTGTTTATCCCCTTAATGTTGAGTGCCAGGCAGGGTAATAACAAGTACCATCTCTATATGTCTTTTGGAATGATGTGGCCAGGGGATTAAACCACTGACCTTCCCCTCCCAGGCAAATACTCTATTCACTACACCATAGAGACAGTCTGGGCTAGTTACAACTTTTAGACCTAGACTTGACCAAGACTCAAATCTTAAGAAAGAGGGATCACGACAGATTCCTGTTGGCTTACAGCAGCAGTTTCCATCGATTCGGCCAACTTCTCGCCCACACCATCCAGCTGTTTGATCTTCTGCTCGAGGTCAGCCACAGTGGCCTCCAGTGCCCCGACCTCCAACTTGACAGCCTGGGGCGTGCCTCCTCCTGAAGACAGCTGCTTTCTGTAGCGGGCTGCAGACAGACACAAAACACTTCAGTCAGTAATGATACGAAAACTAATCACATAAGTCACTCAAGAGTTATGCCCCTTTAGAAATATTGGTTTGTAATTGAAAAGATATCACAAAGCACTGTTCAAAATAATTATAGTCCAAAATAATAGATGATTCTCAGCAAATTGACAATGACAGAAACTCTTCTTCATGAAAGGAATCATCATCAATATTTCTCTGGTTTGTACCCACTACATTCCTCAATCACCCATAAATATGCCCGAATTCCATTACAGTAGTGACAAGTGTCTATTTAAGTCCTGTAAGTAACTATGAACCCTAATCCACACAAGAATTTTGTGTGAACCCTATCGTTGCCTGATGTTGTGTAGCGTAAATGGCCGCAATGCTATGGCACATGTCGCACGAGAAATATCACAGTTTGTGTGATGTAATCTGAGTGCTCATTGGTCAGAGCTCACACTAGCAAAAAATAAGTTTGTTATGTAAGTCAGTTTGTTATAACCATGTTCGTTAGTGTAGTTCGTCTGTGTAGTTTACTGTATATAGTGCCAACATTCACACAGTAAAGTATGCTCTGTGCGTTTGTTGGAAGAGTCACAAGAAACAGTTTAGGGGAAAGCCTGTCTTAAAAAGAATGTTCTTCACTGTCTTTAAAAGATGATAAATTTGGGGATTGTTTTATTTCCAGTGGTATATCTATCCACAAAGAAGCTGCTGCATATTTAAAGGATCTTGTTCCATAAGAGTTACAGCTTGTGTTGTTGAGATGAACACTTTGTCTTTGAGTGATAGGTTGGAGCTTCATTGTTATAACATCGGTAGGCAAGGGAGTAGCTTGAAGTTGCTCCATGATGAAATGTGAAAGAAATAGTCGTTTTAGAACTGGAGTGATGTGCAAATTTCTGATTTTGTTAATTATTATTTAGTTACTGCTCCTCATTACAGAGTATTGTAACTTTTTGTTCTGATCTTTTCAAAATTCCGATCTATTCTATCTGCTATTCAGCTCAAAGCAACAAAGCAAGTTCGCCATATTTTGTTATCATAATCTGTTGCTAAAAACGTACATTGACAATATGGTTTCTGAGAAGATTCTCAAATTTTAACCAAATTAAGTTTATTCTGTGGGTGTGAACAAATGTGAGGGTCACAGTGTTGCTCCACATCATAGTATTATTCAAATGTCTTGGTCTTGCGGAATCTGAGAATCTGAAATTTGAATGTCTAAGATTCCCCTAGAAATGCTGATTTTACTGCCATGAACAACTCTGATCTCTTATGTGGTGATAACCACCCTTATAAGATTTCAGGTTTATCTGTTCAGTGGGTTAAGAGAAAAATGTTGGAAATTGATGGTCAGGACTACGACATACCATGATCTCACTTAGACTTTTAGTCCAGGTGAGGTGAAATTGGCCACAAAACAAATTACAATAAATAAATGGACATAAAGACACTGATAGCACAACACAGCACAAAATAATCATTAACAAATAAAGGAAACAATTTAACAAATAAATAAAAATAAAAAAGGTAATCATTACAAACGTTTTCACAAAGATAATTTTTCAATGCTCATGTTGGCTATTTATTATATACATATCCTAAGCAAGAATTTTTTCCCAATTTCATTTCCTAATGAGACTTCTAAAAGAATCAGTATCAATTATAATTCAAATTCTAGTTTATCTGTATCTCCTAGGCGTCCAGGTAGACTGTACTGTACACACAACGAATGCATGTGCAGAATGGCAGTGAAGAAACCATTGACATTTGCAAGGGAAGTACAATCTCGCCACATGTGGTAGACAAGAGTGAAAAAATAGGAAAATATTCTTGCTTTCAAAAAAAAAGTAAGACAGAAAGGACAAAATGATAAACTCATACAGACCTCATAATCACAAAGAGATACTTATGATCTTTAACATATACATATCTCCCAAACTGTCAAGATATTGTCACAAAAATAATTTTCTTTGAAATTTGACAAGCAATGTTTGATATTTCTATGTAAAATTCAGCAGTATCTCTTTTTGACATATCTCACAGAATATATGAAGGGCTCCAGTACCCATCTCGGTCGAATGTTCGTCTCGGACCAGAGAAAGCTTCTCGTTGAGGTCAAGAACTTCCTCCTGAATTGCTGCATACTCTAGTTCCTTCCTCTGAAGCTCCTCAAGGAGTTGGAGATTTGCTCGCTCCAGACTGTCAAATGAATCGACACTGATTGCCGGAAATCAGAATCAAAAACAGGTTAGTGCACGATCCACACGAAGACATGGTCCCATTGCCCTGGGTTGCCACCATGGTGGCGCCGTTGAAGGGGTACAATAGGCATGCCTTCAGGAAGGAGGGAGAAATAAAAAAGTCTATAAACAGACACAAAATAAATGATAACTGTAACTACACATGTCTGGAGTATGGAGTTGATATATACACCGTATTCACCATGGTAACACCCAGGCAGAGTCAATTGTTCATTAAAGCTATGCTTTGTCCAAATATACCCTCATTCTCTCGGTGGAAATTCCTTTCCTCGAACAAATTTTGAACATGAAATGGCCGGAATATATTTGTCCAAAAATAGAACAATCTCTGTTTTTAAGTTTGATTTCTTTGAGAAAAACTTATTACCCGGTACAATAATTTTGATGCATAATGGATGCACTTTTCATAGAAATATGTCTAGCTGTGATAACGAAAAGGCTTATAGCTACACTTCTACAATTCACTAAAGTGTTGATCTGATGGCTTGGTCGGAACCTGCTGACATATCAGGAACAATTTACTTGACTTTTTCTTCCCTATCAGACATATACCTCCTGTAATGTACCAAAATGCAGATCGGATACCCAGGTCGGAATCTGATGTGACAGATGGAGAAATATTATATTTGTAATAAATCAACTAGATGCTACTATGTTGAATACGGTTGCTACAGGTGACTATAAAGTATCTACAGCTACAAATAAAATAAAGTAGAATAACACTGTTCTCAAAGAGTTCAAAACTAAGTCCTACTAAATACTGTCTCTCTGAGAACTAGGAACAGACACATACCCTACCATGACAACTACATACATGGACATATTGTGTACATACACTGGATATAGGTATACAGACCACAAAAGAAACATCACTTCATGAAAATACTTCATGAAAGTTCCCATTGAAACATCAATGGATTTTTAGGAGGTATCTTGTTTTTGACATTAGTCTGTATACAAATTTAAAGTTAATGTCCAAAAGGTGACACAAATATGGGGCGCCAAAACGCATGGTACAAAGTCCCGAATGCTTCCAATGATAATCTAAATTCACTTGCGTTTCCTTGTGCCTTTTCTGATAAACGGCACCCCAATACGTAGATCCAACATTCTTGTATCGATACTAGCGCCATGCCAAGACTTACGAAGAATCAGAGAACCAGATGGTTCTCACGTGGACACTGACAACCATTCGTGCAGTCTGGCCAGCATACAGTCATCCTAATGGATAATTTTTTGTGGCACTTTTTGGCCATTAACATTAATTTAGGATACAAACTAATTTAAAAATGAGTTACCGCCAAAAAAATGCATTGATATTTCAATGGGAACTTTCATGAAGTATTTTTATAAAGTGACATTTCTTTTGTGGTTCAGAATATATCGGTAGATATATTTTACGGACATGCAGTTAAGTATTTTATTTCTCTAGTTATCTAATGTTAAAAGGTAGGATATAAGATTTGTATCAAATCTCTTTATATTTTGTGTAAGCAGAATTAGAATGGTGTGGCCAAATAAAAATTAAATTTATAATCAGTTGGTCATCAACTGAACATGAAAAAGTTAGTTCACAAATTATAAGACTTGAAAGTGAAAAATTACATGACAGTGCCTTTGTAAACTGATACCTAACTGTCTATAATATAATGTCTTCATTGATACTTATAGAAATCTACATTTTGATGTACCGGTAATATTGTAACATTTTGATCACCACCAGTTCATTCTTAGATTCATTTCCAAAATCCTGCCAGAAGGGAGAATTTAAAAGAATAAATAACTCTCTCTCTCTCTCTCCCTCTTCAATTTAACCTATTGTTTTTTTAGTTACAAAACCAACCCAGATATAAACTACTTGCAGTTCATGGTAACCAATCAATTGGTGTAATGATATCTAAGAACAATGATTTTAATGACATAATTGTGATTTTGTGCTCTTCAAAAGGGCTAATTATGAACAATCAATAATTAGTGACCCATACATTTTATTGGATAATTGTTGACTGGGTTGACTCTTAATACTTGTGCAGATAGCATGACTTGGGGACTGTGTCAAAAACTGCATAGCATTTCCACACCAAACTCTTCATGCCAGTGTCTCATGGATCATGTACCATGTCACAATTATCTTTGGTCATCCAGTCCATGCCAAGAGGAAGTCAGCATTCTCCAGTAAAACACTCAGTCTAATGAAACTAACAGGTAGGAAATAGTATGGGATGTTTTTGACATGGTCCCTAATAGAGATGCTCAGCTATTGGCTACAGCTAACTGGGTGAAAGATATATACAGTGAGACTGGTAATATAAAGGGTATGCATTTGACAGATTTTCTCAAACCATGATTATTACCACAATCATTAATAGTTAACCTCCCTCTTTTCAAAAAATCATGTCTTATGACATAAACCAAACATATACAATTTCTTATTTAATAATACATTTACATTCCAAAGCTGACGCCTCCAATGGCCCTGATCACGCACACACTGAGGCCATGAATGAAAAATTTGAACATCCCCACCCCCCAGAAATCAAAATTTGAACCCGCAACACAACACTAATATAATATTAATATACTGATAATTTTTATATCAGTAAGAAATAAGAAACACATAAGAAATTTTACTGAGCCTGTAGTAATGGCAATACCATATTAGACACAAATTGAATAATTTAATGAAAAAATCTAAACTTTTCTAAAAATCTAACTCCTCACATGTCACCCTAGTATGTTTCCAGAAACTCTGCAAATTACTGACCAGTTAAATTACAAGTCCTACCAACTACACACACAGCATTATATCTGGTATAGTAAGATATATACTGTCATGTGGCACATACCCCACCAAAAGTGTGTGCTCCACGATACGTGACAATCACATACAACTTACAGTTAAATATTCTTCGCTGAAAAAATTGTCTTTGATTCAAACCAGGGTATGAAAATCCAGTTACATTATCTCCATGCTCATAAAGCTGTATGGCACAGTTGATCCCATACCCAATTATGAATAAGATTAACTTTTGTCAGGTCTAAGATTTCCATCTTTCAAGAATCTGTACAGCGATCTTTGAGATCTTAGAAAACCCTTTACTGAAGCTATAGGTACAAGGGGCTTCTTAAAGTCCATGTGTCTGATGACATCTGGTCTAGGGTGAGTGAATTCAGTTTTACGCCACTCTCAGCAATATTACAACAAATTAAGCTATCACAACAGGGATATCAAATGGGCCGCATCCCTTTTACCCATGTTCAGAATCAAACCTAGGCTATTGACACTTTGAGTAGTGACAGTAGTCTGTTTATATCACCTTTGACTAGGCCAATCTTGCATTCACTCAGCCCTGAATAAGCTTTATGACTGATAGATCTCAATATGTAGATAAATTTTGAGCTAGATCTGAAATGAATTAAATATCCATATAACATCAACAGTGTCCTCACTGAACATTCCAAAATATTTCTGAGGAAATAAAACCTATGATTGATCTGTACTATTTGTCAGTCACCAAAAAAGATGACAAGCTAGCCTAGAGCTAGAGCTCACCTGGCAATGTTGGACTTCATGATGGTGGTGCCCTCCTCCGTGATGCTGGTGTCGTCCCCGACGCTGGTCTCCGAGGACTTTTCTATAGGTGAGGTCTCTTCAGGGGAGTCCCAGTAAGGCTGTAGAGTCAATGGTGGAGGTTTGCTGGACTTGGGTCTGGCGCCTTGACCGGCTCCACCAGTGGCTCCACCTGTTGGTGAGGTCTGGGGCTCGGATTTAACCGTTGCTGTTTCCTGAGCCTCTCGTGATTGCTGTAAGCTTCGCTTCTGAGCCTCCAGGTAGATGGCGGTGGAGATGTCATGTGACAACCCTTTCATCACCTCCCATTCATGAAGCTTCCGAGCGAAGTCTGCAGTGACCTTGTACTCTGCCATGGGGCTGATGATGGGGTTCCGGAAAGATGACTCATCCGACTGACTTAGCCTTCCCTTCATCTTCTCCAACTTGGCCTCCCGCTCTAACGCTCGGAGCCTTTCCTTCTCAAGCCTCATCTTCTCCTTCTCCAGCTTGACCTGCTCGCGTTCCACCTTCTGCAAGTCTCGCTCACGTTGTTTCTCCATCTTCTCCTTTTCCTTTTCTTCTCGGGACTTTTTACTTTTCTGACGTTCGTCTTTCCGACTCTTACTACCCTTCCTCTCTATCTCAGGACTTCCTTCTTTCGTTTCTCGGCGATATTTAATTCGCTCCCACTCCTGAAGTTTGCGACTGAAACTTTCAGTGATTCTTCGCTGGAGGTCGTCCACATTAACAGACGGACTGACGTCGGCTGGGGTGATGTCATCAACTGATTCCTCCCCAGAACTATCTCTACTGTGTGGTCGATGTGGGGACGAACCTGTAACAAAATGGAAAGTCAGAAAAATTGAAAACAGAATATAAATAGCGATAGTTGTGCTACTATGTGCAAAAGAGATTTTGTACAATTATGTGAAATCCAGAAATATATGCTCAATCTAAGTGCCAATAGCAACGGCTACACAAGAAAAACACAATTCTTGAGTACACCCATAGTTCTGCCTTATAAGGGAGACTGCTTAACTTTTGATTATGCATTCATTTGCTTTTTTTCATTTGGTTTCTGGAGAAATTGTAAAAGACATTTTCCAGATAAACTATCTGTTTTCTCCAGGGTGGAGTACCTTAGAGATATACTTGGTTCTCTGATCAGAAAACATTAACACCGTTACTGCGATAGGACGAGGATGGGTTTTGTGTCTATCTCGCTTCTGTATTTCAAATCACACTCTTGAGCACCTGTTATCAGAGGAATTCCAGAAATGCTTCTTGGCAACTAGGAAGCTCTCAAGAGATCTTGAAAACAAGGTCGGAACACAACAACCCGAACTACAGCACATCCACTTGTAGGATTTACTTTTGTAACTACTGTATTTCCAAACTGTCATACTTTTTGCATATCTTAAAATCAAAGGATAAAACACAACAATCGAAAGTCCAAATACTGCTCGAGATTCCTTGAATCTACCTTGGATCTGCCTTGACACTACCTTGAATCTGCCATGAATCACAAAATATCAAACATTCAATTCAATCCACAGGCTGGAAAATATTCTGGGTTCTCCCACAGACCACGGTCTACAAAATGATAATGTCAGTCCACGGGGTTCCGACTCATCCGGAGAAACATGCAACTGGCTGTAAATGCCTCAATGTCTGATTACTCCGTCCAATGGCAACCACACTTAGAAAACAAATATTTGAGATGTTTCCAGAAGCTAGATTGAAGGATGATGGAGATGCCTTGCACTTTGTTCCTTCCTCATTAACACACTGTGTTCTTATCTCCGACTGCCTCTCTACAATCTGTTTCCAGTTCACAGACACACCAAGCTTACTCTCCACCCAAGACAAGTCGACATGTTCGCGTGTGCAACTCTTATAAACATTGCCTATTTCCATGTCCAACGTTACGCTATACCCTACAGTAAATCAACTTACCCAACCTCCAAATGTTGTTTCTGAATGCATACCTGCACCTGTGTTTAAAGTCTTAATTAAGAACACGTACATATATCTTAATTAAATCACATGGTCTTCAACCATAAACATGTTTATTATTTCTGTCAGTTTGACTACCTGCCAGATATGATAGTGAGGAAGGGATATAACTATGACTGAATAGTTTATAAGCTTCACCATCGTAAACTGTAAATAAACTCCTTACAGCGATTTAACATTTATGCCACGTAGTTCCTGTTGAAAGGTTTATTGGTTACACGACAAAAGCAAGGAAGACCTCAAAACACTGTGTTGTGAAGTTTTCACAAACAAGTCAAGGTCATTAACTGAAGGTCAATGAAACGCAGCCAACTGGAGATTGCGAAAGAAATTATACAGCAATGTACATGATAAAAAAGATATGCAAGTGTCCCTTCTGAACGTGATTAGATAATTAATAACAGACATTTCCTGACTGGCTTGATAAAATACCAACTCATAAGGACGGCTGCCAAGAAAGTTTGCGAGGATCATGTACCCTTGCACCATTATTGTGGAATTTCAACATTTAATTTCATCAACACAAATTTACAACATAAAGTCTGTCTAGCTGTATATTTTAAATCAGAAATAATGACAATAAAATTTTAGAAGAGAGAAATAAATTGTGTACTAAAAGATTTCGCAGACCATATATTAGTCTAAGACCGGTGAAGTCGACACCTTTACTTAACCAACAAAGACACCAATGAACGAAAAAATGACTGTTTTACCTGTCGGGAAAAAGCAAATCAATAAAAGTTTTTATTTTCAACCAAATAAACTTAACGATATGAGGCTGCACTTGAACGCGTCCAGATGAGCGTCTGTGAGCACAATACCAAATTGATGTGTTTTTGGCAAGCACGGAGGGAGCTGGCTGTAAATTGGCTGCCGTGATGACCAGCTATGATTGGTACGGAGCAAGTCAATCTCCGTTATTGTTCGTATGGCAGAGTCTTCAAAGATGTTGCAACGTGGTTCATTGAGTAAAGAGTTCATTATGTGTGAGAATAGATCTTGCAGGATAGGTCTAATTATTGTTGGGGTTTCACATGCACCTAGTCATCACTCACATTAGCTGTATTTACAGCTCTCAATTTTAATACATATTGGAATGAAATGTAGCTTAACTCATCCTTACTGAAAACGTTGGATTAATAATCTAAAATAACGTAGCTTCTATTAGATTATTGACAAATCATCAAGTTATTGAAAGTTACATATTTACTTTTTCAAGTTATTAATTGATTCATAACTATTTCATCATATGAAACAAAAAATCATAAATCGACCATAAACGCCCTACACATTTATTCCCCAGCTACCAGTATTGATTGAAGGAGGAATAAATTTCAAAGCAGTTTCCCTGGTGTATTTCAATAACCTAATCTTAGAAGAATGTCTTTGAAATATATAACTGACCCAAATCAGTGAATTCATGTATCAACCGATTTAAATGTTTATTTTAAGAATGAACCTGCTATAATTTTGCAAATGCACAATAAAAAGATTTAAATTCTGTATTTGATAGATATGAGGCTTTTAAACATCTATCTGGATTATTGTTTCAAAACGTTATTTTTAGAAAATATAATCTTAAATTAAACTGAAAATATTTGTTTAATTTGTTATTTTGACTCTGGCCTCATGACCATGAAAATATGTAACACAAAATCTTAAATTTGTCAAGAAAATCTGTAACACAAAATTTTAAATTTGTGGGGCCTAATGAATAAATATTGATTGCTCCATCAGGGGCGGGCAGGTAGCCTAGTGGTCAAAGTGTTTGCTCGTCACACCAAAGACCTGGGTTTGATTCCAAACATGGGTACAATGTGTGAATCCCATTTCTGGTGTCCCCTGCCATGATATTGCTGGAATATTGATAAAAGCGGCGTAAAACCATACTCACTCACTCACTGATTGCTCACTCACTCACTTACTCACTCACTCACTCACTGAGTGCTCAATCAGGCCACAATAAGGACTGGGGCATGGATCTCCTAGCTGTGTTACACTGACATTCACAACCATTATTACTGAGTCCAACAGATAGTTCCTCGTGGAACTTTGGTATCTTTTCCCTCTGGCTGAAATCTCCCTGACGTTGGCACCTAATCTCCCGATCTTGCCGAGTCTGTATCTCCTGTTTACCAATTGGTGCCATTACCTTTATGATATTAACTGTCAAAGCCTGCATAGATGAATGATGTGATCTTGTGGCCTATCGGTAGGCATAAAAGAATAGATCTCATTCCTATGCATAAACATCAAACATTGATAACAGTATGACTCTCATTGCAGTTAATGTTGAGACTTAAACTTGATGGAAATGTATCTTAACAACACTAAGGCAAAGAATTATTAAAGAATGAAACCACTTTTACAAACTGTGTTATTTTAAGATTTCTTTCGGGTGGAATTTTAATGTCAAATCAGCCAATAACAAATAGAACTTCTTTAACTGCTTCCAACAACAACAACAACAACAACAACAACAATAATAACAATAACAACAATAATAACAATAATAACAACAACAACAACAACAACAATAATAATAATAAGTGACAAAACCCTTCCCATATTCACAAAAAATCTTGATTGTACTTTTCCGACTATATCCGCGAGCACCTCAAGGTAGTACTCTTTTTTAAACTAAACAAACCCAACCCAACAAATCCTCTATAGGCCTATACACGATATTTCAATAATTTTTACTTTAGCTGCAATTGTTTTTTTAGATATAACTTTGTCGGTTAACATATACAGAAAAAAGGGTACAAATTGTTTTTTTCATAAAATTGAATGAAGACTACAAGCTTAAGTTTTGCAAGTAACCTACAAAACAGGCAGAAAATATACATGCAAACAAGAAACATTTGTGATTGTGATAAAGTTGGCTTTTGTCATCACACATGAGGAAGCATCTTACCTCTAGCTTTGCTTCGGTCCGTGGCCGTGGAATCCTGGGATAGAAAGGAACTGTCTGGACTTGTGACGTTGCTCTCCTCCATAACAGCTGTGAAGCAAGTACAACAATCACCACTCGTCATCGATACACCGTAAAATATAGTTCCTCATTTGAGCTATAACCTCATCATATACCCATTGCGCCCATCAACAACTTTCCATCTCTCTTTCTTATCACGCATTTGTCAGTAGAACTGTGAGTGTTTATAATGCCAGGGAAAAACTTTCACAAAACTGGCAAGTGTCCTTCAAAAGCAACCAGATCAAGCACAATCTGCTTCGGAGGCCAAGAATTACCAAACACCTCAGCATTAGAAACAGGGTGAAATACAATCAGGACTTTAGGAAGCAATTTCCATCATCTGCCCGATATAAACTTCTATTTCCTGTGAAAGAAGGGGAATTATACAGAGAATCGGGTAGTCCATTTTGCAGCTTCAGAGGCAGATGATACTCTGCCCAATTGGTTTTCAATTACTTAAGTCTAATCAGGTGCCGGGCTGAGCTAGCTCCACGATGCACCAGCATTTGTGGACATGGATTTCAGGGGACGATGTACGACAGAGCCAGTACTAAGCCTATCCTCGTGGCCACAAATCAATTCTCGCAAAATGTGGATTGTAATTTGGTGGCTGTGTGGGCCAATGATACTGCACTTAGACATAAGGCTTTCCACATTCAAATGTATTTCATGCCGATAAAAAATCCATTCTATTATGAAAAGAGGGGATGGAAATAATCTGTGAGTGACGTTTCATCAGTAAATCCAATTGTATGGGAAAGTCTACATTGAAGGAGACATTTAATGATATCAGGGAGGAGAGTTTGGGGCCTAACGCAACTTTTATAGCCAGGTTACAGGTCACAGTTTCCCCGACAAACACTCCTCAGTAGCATCACTTGCTGTGGACACTCAGGGTGATTGTGTTTCTCACATTGCCAGCTCTTCTGTACAGGAGAGAAATAAGTGGCTTGTTCTGTCTCTTTAATGGCAACATTGTGTGCTTGATATTTTCTTTCTGATCTTTACACAAGAAAAATGTTTTTTAATATTGATTTTTTTGTGTACCCTACTGCAACCTGCTCCCTATGTTTGTTTGTTTTCTCATTTTTTATACTGTAAAGATTAAGGTATTGGTATTCACTGTACTTAGGTACTCATATTCATTGTACGGTTATTGATATTCACTGAACTGAAGTATTAGTATTCACTGTACCAAGGTATTGTATTCATTGTACTGAGGTATTGTATTCATTGTACTGAGGTATATATATTCACTGTACTGAGGTATTGGTATTCACTGTACTGAGGTATTGGTATTCACTGTACTGAGGTATTGGTATTCATTGTACTGAGGTATTGGTATTCATTGTACTGAGGTATTGGTATTCACTGTACTGAGGTATTGGTATTCACTGTACTGAGGTATTGGTATTCACTGTACTGAGGTATTGGTATTCATTGTACTGAGGTATTGGTATTCATTGTACTGAGGTATTGGTATTCACTGTTCTGAGGTATTGGTATTCACTGTACTGAGGTTTTGGTATTCACTGTACTGAGGTATTGGTATTCATTGTACTGAGGTATTGGTATTCATTGTACTGAGGTATTGGTATTCACTGTACTGAGGTATTGGTATTCACTGTACTGAGGTATTGGTATTCACTGTACTGAGGTATTGGTATTCATTGTACTGAGGTATTGGTATTCACTGTACTGAGGTATTGGTATTCATTGTACTGGGGAATTGGTATTCATTGTAAGGGTATTGGTATTCATTGTACTGAGGTATTGGTATTCACTGTTCTGAGGTATTGGTATTCATTGTAAGGGTATTGGTATTCATTGTACTGAGGTATTGGTATTCATTGTAAGGGTATTGTATTCATTGTACTGAGGTATTGGTATTCATTGTACTGAGGTATTGGTATTCATTGTAAGGATATAGTATTCATTGTACTGAGGTATTGGTATTCATTGTAAGGGTATTGTATTCATTGTACTGAGGTATTGGTATTCATTGTAAGGATATTGTATTCATTGTACTGAGGTATTGGTATTCATTGTAAGGGTATTGTATTCATTGTACTGAGGTATTGGTATTCATTGTACTGAGGTATTGGTATTTACTGTTCTGAGGTATTGGTATTCATTGTAAGGGTATTGGTATTCATTGTACTGAGGTATTGGTATTCATTGTACTAGTATTGTATTCATTGTACGGAGGCATTGGTATTCATTGTACTGAGGTATTATATTCACTGAGGTATTGGTATTCATTGTACTGAGGTATTGCTATTCATTGTACTGAGGTATTATATTCACTGTACTGAGGTATTGGTATTCACCATACAATGGTATTGGTGTTTCAGGATTGGTGTCACCCAGTTGTTTTAAGTCCGAGTGATTCCCACTGTTGCAGGGCTCCAATACATCAGGGGTTCCAGTGACATTTCAATGTTAAAAAAGTGTTGTTGTTTTCCAGAAGAAAATGTCAATCATACTTACTTCTGATTTACTTAACTTCAAACAGAATTAAACTTCTTAATGTAACCTATAATGCAGGCCTCAATAGATATCAATATATATCTAGAGCAGTTCTGATTAAACTGCCAACTTCATGACCAAAAATCAAAGACAATATATTTTTGTACAGTTCCTCAATGCTTCCAATAAGACAATATATTCATTTTTTCCCAATGCCTCTATATTCTATTACATTTCCTGGATGTCTCAGAAAAATCAATAAGAACCTTCCCCTGTGAATCTTAAATAACCACAGCAAAGAAAAGCGAAATTGTTGACATCAAACTTGCATTCATCGCCTTTCCAATACTTCACAGCCAACATACAAATGATTCTCTCAACAGTGATGTAGTCGACCATGGTGTGCTCGGTGTCACAGGCATTGATGGATAGTTCCCTAGGGGGTGGAATGTCCTGGGGCGAGGTTCTCGGCACCACAGGTCCAGAACCGTCTCAATCACTGAGGAATGAGGATCTGGTTCTTACAAGGTTGGTTGGTTTGTTGTTTAACGCTGCACTCAGCAATATTCCAGCTTTATGATGGCGGTCTGTAAATAATCGAGTCTGGACCAGACAATCCAGTGATTAATGTCATGAGCATCAATCCACACAATTGGGATACGATGACATACATCAACCAAGTCAGCGAGCCTGACCACCCGATCCCGTTAGTTGCTTCTTACGACAAGCAAAGTCGGCTTTTACAGCAAACATGGGTTGCTGAAGACCTATTCCACCCCGGATCTTCATGGGTCCGTTCTTACACGGACTGAGCTTGCTGTGTGTGTATCACTGTACCCAGACAGCATGAACCCGACACTCATACTCTCAACCACTGGTTTCTCCAGGCAAGAATAACTTACACACAGTAATATTGTTAATCCTGCATAAAACAACATACACTCACTCACAGATGAGACATACCTTTCTGTGATGACAATGACTTCCTCGTCTTCAACGTCTCCCACTCCTGAAGTTTCTTAATGTACTCGTCGGAAACACCCGTTGCTGGAATAACAAGTATGCTATCAAAATAGGGATGAAATAAAACATTTAAACGAGAACCTCGTGTGATGCTGATGCTTCATGATACTCTTCCTAATGTAGCTACAATATTGCTAAATACACCATAAAACCAAACACTCGCTCAATAGGCATCAGCAGGACTGCTAAAAATATCCTGAATACACTAATAAATTCATAATTAATATCCTTAATTCAATTGGACCACATGCACTTGTTCAGTATAATTACTCTGCCTGGCAACATGCTTTTACATGGGAAAGCCAAGTACTCTCCAGACTCAGGAGTTTATTTATAGAGTCCAAATTATTTTTCTTGAAAGGTATGATATCGGAAAACCATGGTAACATGCTGATAAAACCCTTCTGACTTTTACACAACCCTTATAAATGATGTCAGACAAATGTCATACTTCAAATGTAAACTGACCAGATTTATCATGCACTGCAGACATGCACTTCAGCTATTCAAAAACTCGTTTATCAAATATTTAGTTCAAATAAAGAACTTTCTCAATAAAATTATTTTGCACATTACTTCCTCCAAAAATGGAATCCAGTTGATTAAATACCTGTTGATTTAAATTTTCTTTTATTTGCATTTTGTAAACACAATTTGTTCTGATTAAATTCTTTTGCAAAATTTACCATAAATCTGCATATAAAGTTCAAAATGTCATTTAAACATCTCTTTCTTAATCAAATGAATCTAATTTTCTATACCTCATTTGCATGTTCAGTACTGGTACATTTTATAAAGTGATAGAAGCAATCAATGTTATTGGCATAGGTAACATTATTTTCAACTGCTTGAAATCTAACAAAAGTCTGGAACGCTAAAATGAAAATATTATCACTTGCATGCACCTTTTAAATAAATACTTAATGACAAACAGGTTATCCAGTTAACAGAAATTGACTGTATACCAGGATTTGAATGTTTTATGTAATATGCTCAAGCAGAATTAGTCTCTCAAACAGACTTTACAAAAAATATTAAGTCTACAATAATTTAGCAAATCTAGATTTCTAGAGATTCTCCTGGCTCCTTCCTATTACATGTTAAAAGGCAATTTTCCAAAACATGTTTTAACCTATTGTTAGCAGAATAGGAAGAAAAAGACACAGATATATAATATACAATATTTGCCATATTAATCTTAGTAATAGTAACTGCAATAATGATATTTAATAATGCCACATACTAAGCCCAAAAATGTACATCACAGTCTGTATATTATGTATATTAGAGGTGTTTTTTTTACAGAAAATACAGGAGTACCTAGTAACTATGATCAAATTTTTTTAGCTTCATCATTGTTTAAACTAGTTAGCTTCACCAAAGTGGTAAACGACAGACCTGCATCCCTTCGGGCTTTCCTCCCACCCCAAGCTGACACATTATAAGTTAACTGGAATATTGTTCAAAGCGGCATTAAACCCAACTCACTCACTCACTCACAAATCTGAGTTTGTTCTCACACGCTCAATCGCTGTCAATATAGTTATATTGTGTACATTTAAATAAACTTTCTAAGCGTCCAGGGCACATATTACAGCAAATACAGTACCCTTAAAACCGACCAGTAAACATTTCTTCACAGACATCAACCATCAAAGAAGCATACTACCTTATATCCTCAACTTACATCTCAACTCAAAGATTCTTGTTTGTTTACCACAATAATTAGTATCAGTATTGTGAATATCAGTATCCTGACTACAACGTGGCCATCAGGTGCAGGCAGCTGAAGTTAGTTAAAGGGGTACACCTTGTGCTAGTTAGGCTGGGATAGTTTGTTTCATGCTTCTATTTTCAGTCACTATGAACACGTGCCTCCTGTAGTATGATATAACCTTTGCAACTTTGCAGCTCAGTGGAGTATTGTCTCTATTGTTCCCAGCAAGTAAAGCATAACATAACTTTCCTAAACCAAGCCCATTTTTGTTTGTTTGTTTGTTTGTTGTTTAAAGCCACACACAACAATATCCCAGCTATATCATGGCGGTCTGTAAATAATCTAGTCTGGACCAGACAATCCAGTGCATCGAAATATGCAATTGAAAATGATGACATCCATCAACCAAGTCAGCTAGCCTGACCACCCAATTCTGTTAGTCGCCTCTTACAGCAAGCATGGGTTGCTGAAGACCTATTCTAATCCGGATCTTCACGGGGGAGACAAGCATGGGTTGCTGAAGACCTATTCTCTACCTACATCTTCACCAGTCACCATCCCAAATTTAGTTTGTTTCAAGTGAGCCTCAGGGCATTCACAAAGATATTTGTATGTGCCCTTGGAATTTGAGTGTGCCAACCAATTTTTGTTGGTTTGTTGTTTAACGCTACACTCAGCAATAGTCCAGCTATATGACAGTGGTCTGTAAATAATCAAGTCTGGACCAGACAATCCAGCATGAGCATCTATCCACACAATTGGAATATAATGACATGCATAAAGCAAGTCAGTGAGTCTAACCACCAGATCCCGTTAGTCGCCTCTTACTTCAAGCATAGTTGCCTCTTAAGGCAAGCATGGGTTGCTGAAGATCAATTCTAACCCAGATCTTCACAGGTAGTGCCAACAAGAAGAATACTTTTGATCCATCTTCAAACTTGGTTTTGTCATTTATCCTGAACTTGGTTTCACATTGTACCCATGTGGGGAATTGATCACAGGTCTTTGTCGCGACATGTGAACATTTGAACCACTGCCCTATGAACTAGATAATAAACAGTTTAATAAAATGAATAGTACATATAGTTTGCCCCTTCCATTCAGTTGAAATTGATGACATCCTATTCCACTTCTCAATCCCCAGGTTTATTTGATGAATGATACTGTGCATTAAGCATATTCATCCGTTCGCTGTATATGTAGGTCCAGATTACTTTTGAAAAAAACCCATTCATCACTGTCTCCGTTTAATGCACATCATAACTAAATAAACTTGGCCAGTGAGATAATAGTGAAGACACTCAAATGCTTCAGATATATTTTCAATGTCAAGTCTAGACAATAACACCCTGAAACCTGTTTCCATTCAAAGAAGAGTGTATTATTTAATCTTCTTAGTTGCTGGATCTTGTTCTAACCAAAGACACCATTGGCTGTCAAACTAGTAAAAAGTTCTTCAAAATTGATGCCCTGGTAAGAGCGTGATGCTTATTCTATTTCAACTGTAAAATGGAAACTGTCATTTCACTAAAACGCTTGCTTGAAAGCAGTAGTGCATGGGGCATTCCTCCTGACAAGGTGATGATGTGCGTTTCAACGTTGAGGATGTCAAATTTCTGTCCTGAGGTTCCACAGCTGGGCACCAGTGTCAAAATGTTTAATGAAGCAACACTTTGATAAAACCACATCGATTTTTCATAAACACACAAGTGACAAACCTGAATCAGGGGGAAAAAAACTCAACTGAACTAAACACTTCAGGTCTTAACAGATCTGAAGAATCAAGGGTCTTTGTCTTCTTGTTTGGTATGAGGTTACGGACAGGTTTTTTTTCTTGAATGGTTCTCTGTCTGGGGAAATATTCCAGTTTTTGATTAAAGAGCCTACGCTTTACACTCAGTGGCAGGTTTGACAAAGCATATAATGCTCTCAGGAAGGAAAGTCATATTGTATTTCACACGAAGAAGATACAATTATTCATAAATACTTGATTAATAATGATTGATCCTGATCAGAATACCACTCTACCCTTGCTATTCTTAAAACAGAACCTAGATATGCCTCACCTTGCCATTCTATGAGAGATGGTCTATCTTATTGCATAAATAGCTGTGTAATATTTATTTATGCTGCAGTCATAATATTCTGGCACATTAGTAACAATGAAATAACAATTAATTCAATATGCCACAGCCTTTGAACTTAAGCAAACCATCTGGTATATGATAGATGTATTGGCCATTTTCCCTTATAAATATCCTCAGATTAGTAAGTGTTTGTTTGTTTGATGTCTAACGCCATACTCTGCAGTAAAAAAGCCATATGATGGTGGTCTGTGAATATTCATTGAGGGAGTGAGGGAGTGAGTTGGGTTTAACGCCGCTTTTAACATTATTCCAGTTATATCACGGCGTGTCAGCTTAATGTGGGAAGAAAGCCCGAAGTGATGGAGGTCTCAGATGTTTACCACTTCGGTGAAACCTACGAGCACGGGTATGGTGCTGACAAACCTAGAAACATAATAGGGCCGAACCGGGATTCGAACCCACAATCATAGGTTTCTGGCATGCCCAAGGGATGCAACTCTGCACAGCCAATAGCGGCGCCTTAGACAACTTGGCCACCCGTGCCCCCCAGGTTTTATGACATCACTTCTAGTGTAAGAAACATGTTCAAAGTAAGATGACTTCAAATATGCATTGCCGGTTTAATGACTTCACTTCAGTTTTGAGAAACCACATCATGAAGTACTTCTGTAAAACAGAGATTACCATGCTAAACTAGTTCACTAAAAAGTTATAGGCACTTCCTGTTTGATGGCCTTGACTTTCAATTTCAGCCAATCACATGGCAAATGTACATCAAGAATCAGCTTCATCTTATAAAGATCACTCCCAATCTTTCAGATTGCAGCCCGAACCTAAGGATGCCATGAGCTAAGTTTCTTTGACAACGAAGTGGTTAGGCTTTGAATGGCATTCAGAAGTGATACACATAAGAAAGAGAATTTATGGATGTATGGGTAACATACATCAGTAACTTTTTGGAGATTATGCTCACTCCTTCCTCATGTGAATGAAAAGGATGAAGGAGTGAGCTTATACTCCGAAACATTGTGTTCCTCAAAAACAACAACTTGACATCCATAAATTTTCTCTCTAGCAAAGCGACTCACAAGTTTTAGTTAAAACCAATCTTCAGTGTGACCTTGACCCTTGACATTACGGATCAATATTTCAAATAAAAATCTTCAACAGCAATAAAAAAACATTGCTTGGTTTAAAAAAAGCAAAGTTGTGTGGTGTTCAAATTCTGACCAAACCCTAAAACACCATATTTTTAACAATCACAGATCAATTAAATCGGATTCAGAGTAACTGCCATGGCTTCTGAAGAGATATTGATGCCAAGGGGCTGACCGTTTGATATGCTGGGTAGGGCATGAAATTATGTATTGAGACCAGATATTTTTTCAGGTACAGCTGCAAAACCAGACATCTTTTAATTAAAACTATGAGCCAAAATAATTTTTCTAAAAAACAAACTGCAACAATGTAATTTTTGTGGCAGACAATTTCTTTTTTTCTCAGCAATATGAAACATTATTATTTTTTACTAGAATTTTCGAGGACAATAAATTATTTTTCAAAAAGATCCCATGCCTAGAACATCAAATGGTCGGTCCTTAATAGTTATTAGAGGAATACCCTTTTCAATTTCTAAATCCTGCGACTATGTTTAAAATAATGATATGCATTATACATAAGTTCCATGTCCAATGTGGTTGTCCAGTTTACTTGTGAAAAAGTACATCACAAGATATCTTTGCAAATAAAACATGATTTCTAAGTGTGCCCTTATCTTAACCATGTCAATTGGCAGTTGCTTACAAGAAGTTTCTAACCCTGACACCACTGGGATAGTGACACCTAGTTATTGCAGTTGTATGTGGTGAAAACGTAAGTTCACTTTCCAGGGAATACAAGAATAATACTTTTCAGATTATATTTAGTTTCACAATTTTTATAAAATGTCTTGCCAGGTGAGGTAAAATGGGACTTAACGTCACGACCAAGATTATTTCGCTCACATAATAAGTATGTGGCTGATTGTACTAGTCCAGACTTATGCCAGTTCTAAAGTGTCAGCCTTTTGAGATACCATGCAGCAGGTTTAACATGGATACCCTAATCAGACACATCATACTCGGAGCCAGCCTGTCCATGGTTTATCCACTAATGCTGAATGGTAACAACAAGTACCATCTTAATGTCCTTTGATTGAAGTGGACTGGGGATCGAACAGCTAACCTTTCACTCTCCGGGCAGACGCTCTATCCACTACATCATGGAGAGGGCAACAGGTAAGTAGTAAGTCCCACGGTAGCCAGTCTACACAACAGTCAGATGTCTCCACTTCCTGATGTTTTTTTAGCATGGTGGTCAATTTTCTGCCTCATAAAAAAGCAGTTATCCATGCCTAGTTTGCTTTTAATGAGGATTCATCACACTTTGTCTTTGATGTTCTTAAAGTTCTTCCAAGAAACACCTGTGATACAAATCTGCTATAGATTTTGTAAATTGAACACAACCCCCATTTGTCACAGCCCTTCATAAATACTGGGTACCTATCACACTGGGAACAATGCATACTCCGCCTTCACTGCGGGGAAATGCAACAGCACTGAAGGAAATGGTTAAACAGGATTTTAACTTCAAATATTTTCAAACAGTCAGCATTAAATCAAATAACTTGAAATGTACAAAAATCATTAACAAGGTTGTTACTTCCATTTGAGAGACCGTATGATGAGGCCGATATGACATTACCGTATCCCCACCCAAAATGGTATGGGTTTTGCAATACAAGATGGCCGCCCCCACGAAAACACCATCACTTTTTGTTTTCAATCTGGAATCCTTATTCAAAGTTCATTTTTGATTAGATAAAGCATACATATTTGAAGGTAAGAAATTGGTATGCAGGTTTAAATAAAACTTGATGATTTGTCACCAATCGGATATGTATAAGTGCCTTTTAAAACCTACGGTGCACATCGGCAGACTTTTCTATCAGGATGAACCATAGCCTCAAGTAGTGATACAGAACAACTAATAATAATAATAAATGGTTGAGGGGATATAGTAAACACAGCTATCATGGTAAACTGTACAGAACCCTATATTTCTTTATTCATAGCTGATAATTAGATACAGTACAAATCCACCTTTTACCAAAAAAATCAGATGAACCAAAAATCAACTTATAGTGTCCTTATATCCAATTTTTCGAACATATCATAAACATGCAATATAAATAGTGTGTTAATTATTTACAATCTTCATTACTCTCCTTAAGAAATTGGTTATTCTAATGAAAACCAGTAATATACAGTACATACACATTATACCCGAATCACTTCTTTGAATAAACACTCATATGAAACCAATGCCAAATGGTGGAATTATTTAATACAAACCTTTCAAATCAAACTCATACGCATGTGTAAGAAGTGAATAATTTTCCACTAAATATTCCATCATATAAAAGTAATTCTACATGGTGGACTAGTTCCCCAGCTATACACCTGCTGTATGGCATCCCAGCTTTGCAATGCCTATCGGCCATCACTTTGATAAATCTCCACTTTAGATTACAGAACTGCACTCAAGTCCCCAGCACGCTTCTTCCCTTAAAGAATACACATCCTCCTATATGCTTCATTGAAAATTGATCAGACACATCCCATTTCAAGCTTCTTTGAACATCCCTAAGCTGTGGGCGAAATCTGCATCAAAGATCCTCATGGCTTTAGAGACATGAGATTGCGACACCACTTTGTTCTCTGCAGAACTGTTTGGTTTCCAGGAAGTGAGGGACTTTCTATACCAGGTTATATTGAATAGGGAAGGGTACATTTCTACCGGAATGAGAAAATAGCAATTTCATCTGATACTTCCTATAATAACTTTCAACAAGTATAGGCTCCAACATTTTGTCAGGTTGAGAGTGTCTTTGTACAATGGTTAGGAGCGTCTGGATATTGATTCTGGAAATGCTGGCACTTCACAAGGAGAATTAAATGGGTATGTTATTATCAAATAACATGGGAAAAGTCACCACAGGTTTGATTTTATGAAGTATAATTTCTTACTGGAATAGAATAATAATTACAGAACACTTTCTGTACAAGGTTCTAATGAACTGAAGAAGCAGCTTCATTCATCTAATTTCGTTCCCATAAATCTGGACATACATCTTTTAATGCCAATTTTTTAGCTTCTCAACAGTAAGTTAAGGATGAACTACTTAAAGTGTCTCCACATTGCACAGAAAATGAACTATTATGGCCAAACAAGTTTCATTTTTTTGTTTTACAGATTAAAATGCATAGCATTATAGACAATCTACTAGTCTGTCTTACAGACCCTGATACAAATATATATCAAATACAGCCCATGTAAGTCTATAATGTTTGGCAAGTCTAGATTACTGCAGTATCAGTATCTGAAAACGAAGAGAGTCACTGGGCTCCCTTTCATTATATTTTTATTAAGATAACTGAACAACTGTTTTTTTCTGTACGATATGTTCATTTCAGAGACTAGATGTTAGTCTAACAATATATTAGTGAACCTAAATGGACTTCCAGTCTGATTATATTTCTAGTGGTCTGACCGTCTGAGTAAAGACATGACGACTTTCAAACAGAAAGTCACCATGCCGATAGCTGTCATATTAAGGTTTAAAACAGAAAGTTGGCATGACGATAGCTACTTTAATAAGATTTAAAGCAGAAAGTCCCATGACTCCAGCTTGCTTCAAGAGAAAGTTATATGCACTTCTAGTATAATGACATCACTTCAGGTTTGGGAAAACGTGATTAGACATTAGATATATAGAGGATATTATATGAGTGTACATGTCATACTATGTTTATGACATGAGTGTCTAAATTCCAGTATTTCCAGAGCGGGAGAAATACCGGAAATAAAGCATGAGTGTCGTGAATATTCCAGAGGATCGAACATGTAACCTTTGTATATGTAGCCAAGTAAGTGTACAACCAGGCTACAGAGCTGCTGATAAATCACAATGCTTTTAAGAATGTCTTTTTCAAGTACCCGTATGCCAGCAACAGATATTTTACACCCGTTTCCTAAGGTTCATGGAAAGTATGTGTGAGACATAAAAATGTTGATAAATATTGTTTTAAGTTGGGTTTTTTTCAGTTTATAAGTTAGATAAAACACTTACAATCGGGTTTTTATGAGATTTAAAACCCTCATCCTTGGGATAACACCTTGGGGCTGATGTCCCTCAGTTTTTATCCCTGGGTTTCGAATTTTAAATCTTATAAAAACCCTCTGACATGTTTTTAGCTACACATAAAATGTAATGATACAAACAAAATGGATGAACTGACAAATTAACAAACCCGAAAACAACATATTTTGTTCTGGCTAGGCCTACTGATAGCAACCACATGCTTTAATTGAATATTCTTTAACCAAAACTTATATGCTATCCTTACCAAGCAACGCTGCCATGTCTCCTGGACTTCCTGAGGGCAGAGAGGGTCTGGTGGGCGACGTCTTCCCCACGCCGAGGGTAGGTGGGGACTCACTACAGCTCTTGGAGCCACGTTGCCGAATCGCTATGGGGGACGTACGTGGGGTTGACCGACTCATCACACCCTCTCCGAACTGGTCACTACGTAAATGTTCATCAAGTGCTTCCGCGTCTGCTTCGGAACACTCGCTCACATCTAAGTCGCCTTTTTTCTTTTTCTTTAAACTATCTTTCCTAGTATGAATCATATCTTTCACCCTTCCCCAGGGTGTTTTATGTAACTTCTTAGAGTCTCTATCACTAGATTTAGTTGTGGAAGCATCATCATCCTTGAGTGTGGAGTCTGATTCTGTACCTTTGTAGCTCGAGGAGCGACGTAGTCGCCCTGCATCCGTAGCGTCCATGTCCTCATCCTGACTCTCACCAAGAGTCGGACTTGACTGACGCCGTGGAAGTGGGATGACTTTCAGAAATTGCTCCCCTTCTTTCACACTCTTAAGTTCTATAATGGTGTTTACTTCCTCACTCATCTGAGATGCTCCACTTTCTTTGCGACTTTCATGTTGGTCGATCCAATCTTGTGGACCCATCCAGATATCGGTTGTAAGATCAAGTTCCCGATCTTCGGTCTGATTGGGAGATTTGCTTGGACTCGGGGGTTCAGCAGAGGATGTGGATGTCCGCGGATGTCCATCCACATCCAGACTGCTACTCACCCCTGAGTCCAAGGATCTGCCATCCATGACCCGATGGCTCGGGGGACTGAGTTCTTGTGGCGAGCCCACAGAGTGATATCTCACATGAGTTCCTTTTCCAAATTTAAAGCTAAAACCTAAATCTTCATATAGTTTTTGCCCTGTTAAAACTTTCTTAACTCTTGCCCATTTGGAACTCTTTGAGGATTTTGACTTTTGAGATTTGTGCCCAAAAAATCCTCTTGTGCCTTCTTTGCCACTTTTTGATTTGGTCAAGCCTCCTTTTCGATGACCATGTTCATCTCTTGTTTCATCCATGATCTCTGATGAAACATCTAAAGACCCTGTTGAAAAACTCCGCTTTTTCAGTGTCCCAGGTTTGGGTCTCTTAGGACTCTGATCAGATGATGATTCTCCATAGTCCATACTAGCGGCATCCTCAGCACTGGGCAGGCGGGGCCTGGATCTGTGGCCTCCACCTGAATCTTTTGACTCGGGATCAGTATTAGATTTCCTCAATTTCGGCTTAGCCTTTGAAGGTAATGAGCTATACCCAATGGGTAAGGCTTCATCTCCGAGTGATGTCTTGGCTTGGAGCAGGTGCTTGGTGCTCTCCAGGTAGGCACACTTCTTCTTGAGATGTGTGTTCTCGTCCCGAAGCTGTGCAAGCTGTTCCATGAGCCGGACCAGATTGTCCAGATGATCCAGTCCAACACTCTGCCGCAGGGTGCTGGGGCTGGGGGACCTCGTCTTCCGTGCTTTTGTCGGCAAGGCCTTAAACTGCTCTGTAAGTGATTTTTCTTGTTCTTCCAAAAATTCCATAACGTTTTCACTTGTTCTCTTTGGTGGCAGCTCCGCAAACTGCACTGTAAGCCTACTGCCAGGCTTTTCTGTTTCTTGTAATTCCTCCGTATGTCCGTTGGTTTCGGGCACACCCTGTTCTGATGTTTCTGTTGTTTCTGTTGTTTCTGTTGTTTCTTCTTCCTCTCCCAGTGGACTTGTGCTTCCACCCACAGTTGATGTAGTAGTAGTTTCTGTTGTTGTTGTTGTCGTTGTTGCTGGACCGGTAGTTTCGACAGTTTCATCTTCGGTTACGGTCACTATGCAGGGAACCGTGTCAGGGGGTTTAGTCATGGTAATGTTCTTCCGCTCTAGTTTGACAGCCGGTAGAACTTGGCGCTTTGTGTATTTCACGTCTACAACCAAATTATCATTATCTTTCCTGTAGGATGGCTCTTTTTCCATCTACTACTTGTACTGGTACTGCAAGCCTCAAACTGAAAAATAAATGAACTCGTGTTAGACAGCAAGAATGAAAATATGTAAGTGAGGATAACATATATGGATGAACAACTTCTTTATTATAATTAGGAGCAACATTTTGGTGTAGGTTCTAACACCTTTATGAAGCAAGCAAGAATGAAAATGCTTTTCACAGAGACAAATTTTACATGGGTAAGGGTGCTCCAGTGATCTGAAGCATTGCAATTCGCAGTAATGAGTAGTGTTCTGATCATGTGTTCTAGTGAGTGGGTGAGTTGGGTTTAACGCTGTTTTTATCAGTATTCCAGTTATATAGCGGCGTGTCAGCTTAATGTGGGAGCCCGAAGTGATGCAGGTCCCAGAGGTTTACCACTTCGGTCAAACCCACGAGCCACGGGTATGGTGCTGACAAACCTAGAAACATAATTGGGGGGAACCGGGATTCGAACCCACAATCATAAGTTTCTGGCGTGCACAAGGGATACAACTTTGCACAGTGGTGCCTTACACGACTGGGCAATCAGTGCCCCCTCATGTGTTCTGATTCAGACTCACCACAACTGGGATCCTTCCAGGTGTTTTCAGCAACACACCCCCATATTAATCGGTTTCACCACAGTGGTACAACCTGCATTACTTTGAGCTTTACTCCCACATTAGCTGAAGTTTTGTTTGTTTGTTGTTTAACGCAACTCAATATATATTCCAGCTATATGATGGCGGTCTCTAAATAATTGAGTCTGGACCAGACAAATTAGTGATTGACATCATGAGCATCAATTCACGCAATTGGAATATGATGACATGAACCAAGTCAGCGAGTCTGACCACCGGATCCCGTTAGTCGCCTTGTATGACATACGCTGAAGTACCATCATACAACTCATATACTGTCCAAAGTAGAGTAAGACCAAGTCATTCCAAATCTTACAGAAACAGCTTGCAAATCATCTTATATTGTGATCTTTAACTGACGACTTTGGACAAAAATGAACATTAACATCAATGTTTGTATTTGTTTCACTTAATCATGACATGGACTTAAATATCAATTGGGATACGATGACACGCATCAACCAAGTCAGTGAGTCTGACCACCTGATCCCGTTGATGACATGAAGATGCCCTAATTTGATCAACTCTTTCTCAGCATGCTTGTATCTCAAAGAACATATTTGAGTTATTTCCAATACTTGTCAATAGATTTCCTCACATGACAAATAAACAACAGTTAAGATCTGTATGTAAGATACCTTTCCTTAAAATCATGTTATACCTATACTGAAGAATCAAAAGATTTGATGAATGACATGAATGTAAAACTTAACTCGCAAAACAATCAGTATAATTCTGTTGCATATTCACTACACTGATACGAATGCTGTAAAATTAAAAAAACACCCACTGTGTTAATTCAAAGTAAACTTGATATTGTTTTAGGGGTGGTGGGTAACCTAGTGGTTAAAGCGTTCTCTTGCCATCCTGAAGACCTGGGTTTGTTTCCCTACATGGGTACAATGTGTGAATCCCATTTCTCGTATACCCCACGGTGATATTGCTGGAATTTTGCTAAAACTACATACTCACAGCACAAACTCACTAATATTGTTTACATACCAGGAGAAAATCATTAAAAAATAATTTTTTTAAATGAGAACATATTAATATAATTAATGAGGTAAGTACAAACAAAATGGCTCAATCAAAAGACACCATTAATAGACTTTTCCTGGTTGAAATAGTTCAAAGTTAAACGTAAAAGTTGTACTCTAAAAAGGTAAATCATCTTGAAAAACAGTCACAGCTCTGAATTAGGAAGTAAAGGACGAAAGAAAATGACCAACCGACCTGACCCATGGCTCCGTGTTGTTCACATGACTCAGATAACCCACAACAATTCCGACACTGTTCAATAGATTGCCAACCTTTGACATCAAACAGCTGATAAGTACTTTAAACTTACAGGTATGCAGGTATACATTGGCTGGCATTGACATTTTCTCCTTATTTACACCTATTACTGGACACTAAGTTAGGGACTAGTCTCGCTTCCCTGGCCACAAGCTTCAGTTTCCTTGTTGGCTGCAATATAGACATAATGTGAGATACCTGGTCACACTGTCATACCTCCCCTGGACGAACCTCTGCTGGGGTCAGGTGAGGTGACGAGGTCATGAGTCAGGTGTGGGTAGAACTCACATTGATGGGAATGTCTGATGGGGTGTGGCCGGTGGCTTAAGAGTGTGTAAGTGTGGGGTAGGGGTCGGGTTGGCGGGTTCAATGATTTGGGGGGTGGAGGGGGATTGTAGAGGGGGGTGTTCAGAGTTGGGTTTCGTGAATATTGTGTGTGGGTGGTCTAGGAGTGGGGGTGCAGGTGTGTGAGGGGGTGGGGAAGGAAAGGGGTGTCTAGGAGTGGGGGTGAAGGTGTGAGGGGGTGGGGAAGGAAAGGGGTGTCTAGAAGTGGGGGTGCAGGTGTGAGGGGGTGGGGAAGGAAAGGGGTGTCTAGGAGTGGGGGCGGCAGGTGTGTGAGGGGGTGGGGAAGGAGAGGGGTGTCTAGGAGTGGGGGTGCAGGTGTGAGGGGGTGGGGAAGGGAAGGGGTGTCTAGGAGTGGGGGCGGCAGGTGTGTGAGGGGGTGGGAAAGGGAAGAGGTGTCTAGGAGTGCAGGTGTGTGCATGTGGTAGATGAGATTTGTCTTTATTTATACAAAATTTCACAAAAATTATCTAGACAACATTATTATTGCCAATAGTTACACATGACATTTTACGCCATTTGGGAATGAAGATATCAACATTTCCCTAATATAAATATACTTGTCTCAATTTGAGACAGACATTCTCTGACCCCAAGTTCATTGTCAACTTTAACCAATTTGTTTTGCAAGTCAATATTTACCAAGTCATGTCCCTGAGAAAACCCCCTTCCTAGTCCTGACCCCAGAGGCCATGCCTAATTTACCAGTATCTGTAATGATGTTAGTCAAGCACCCTGTCCACAACACAGTGAGAAATATCTTTTTCAAGAAAACTCTTGTTATGGTGTCAGGACTCGACCCCCAACACAGGTCATTGTTTAATTTCTACACTATCATATGACACTAATTTTGACATTTGAAGGGTTCTCTGTTTTCTGCAACCCAACTAGTCCCATTGCTGAACTGACTGACTCAAGTATGTACTAAGATCGTGTTGTTCATAGCTCTGCCTATCACGGAGACTGTTACGCACAAGCTGATAGCACCACCATTAACATGCTTTACCTGACACTTTCAGGGTGATGTCAGCCTAAAGTTTATCATCGCCACTTTCTACGTTTTACTTTGAAATGAATTTACAACTTACACATCCGGTTTCATTACCAAGAATTAATGTTATGTAATCTATTTTTAATTATTTATTATTTGTTTATTATTTTTGTGCATCTAATTATCAAAGATCTGACAAAATTTACTTATCTAGCAATCACATATTATATCAAATTTCTTTTTCTTTTCTATAAAAATGGATGAAAAATAGGATTCAATTTATCATCCGTTCAATATATCATTAAGAGGAATAATCAAATAGTGGCAAAAATATCAAGTGTTTTCTTTTACTGTGAATGCCTTTGCTATTTTCCTGTTAGTTCATTAATAAACTGAATTACTTAACCTAAACTCACTCTCTGATATAGAAATACATTACCATTAATAATTTTGAATGTGAAATTTGTTCCTTAGTCCATACAGACTGATACGAACTGTGACTAACCTTGTGTTAATACTCATAACAATCTGTGGAGTAAACACTGAGGAGTGCGGGTCCATATACGGAAAGCACCTGCCTCCCTGTATCCCCTAACGATGAAACCACAGCCCTGGGATTGCCTTAGAGATTCAAGATGGGTCACATCAAAATAAGAGATTGAAACATAGATATGTATTATGAAATGATTTAGAGAAAGAAATAAGGAAGAAAATTTAAATTTTACTATTTGTATATCAAAATTTATAAAATGTAAAAAATTCATACTTTATTTTTATTTGTTATAATTGTACTGTTCCCCATTCCTGCCCCTCGTGAGCTTGATTTACCTACATCCTTGTATTACTCATATTGAGGCAACTAATCATAGGAAGAGGTGTGTCAGGTCAAAGGTCATGAAGGGTGGGCCGAGGTCAGAGGCCAGTAGTCAACAACTGGGATGGTTATTGTGTCAAGGTCATTGGAGGAAGCAAAACACAGTTGGGGATACAACTATATTATACCAACACATCCCACATGTTATTTAGTCACTCACACAGCAGTAATATCTTAGCTCTAATATCTTTTTAATTATCATACACTTTATCCCAAACGCTTCAGTCTGAATACACGACTGTGAATTTTGGGATTAAAAACAAAAAAGGATACTCATCACTCAGTGTGGACATTACAGAGTTTTAACTTAATTAACAAGTGCAAAAGTGAGCGTGGCTCACTAATACCCCTGACCCGCCTAGTGTGTCAGTAGTTACAAATTAAATAGCTAGGATAGGGTTAGCCTTTAGGGTTTGAAAAATTCCTAAAAAAATGGAAAATTAATAAAAACAACTTTTTTCTTTTGACTGCACCCCTCCATATGACACAGATTATACGTACTAAGTTTGAGATGAATCCACTGAATAGTTTAAGAGAAATCGCACGGATAAAGTTTTCGGACGGACGTTAGGGTTTGAAAAAATCATAAAAAAATGACGTTCGCTTGTCCCGCCGAAGACCCTGGTTCGAATTCCGACATGGGTACAATGTATGAAGCCCATTTCTGGTGGCCCCCGCCGTGATATTGCTGGAATATTGCTAGAAGCGGCGTAAAACCAAACTCACTCACTCATAAAAAATGGAAAATTAATAAAAACAATTTTTTTCTTTTGACTGCACCCCTTCATATGACACAGATTATATGTACTAAGTTTGAGATGAATTCACTGAATAGTTTAAGAGAAATCGAGTGGACAAAGTTTTCAGAAGGACGTTAGGGTTTGAAAAATTCATTA